GGGATATTTAAATTATCATGTTATTAAAGTAAGTGATCATCCATAGACATCTGGATCCACTTCCACAATAACATGGGTGACACCCATGTCTATCTCTCTCTCGCTATCCTCGATTCCAGGTCTAATGCTTGTCTGACCAATTGTCTGGAGATGTCATGTCCTGGAGGAGTTGTAACTTTCTACTGTTAAACTGAGGCTGTAGATTGATTTTGTAACCTTTAAAATCTACCGTACCAGGATCGCCAAACCATCACCCCCCCAACCTCACTCACTCTGTGCCATTTTCTTTCTAGTCGATCAAATTCAAGTTCTTCATCCTTGCTTTCAATTTGTCTCCATGTCTTACCCCACCCTATCTCTGTCACCTCCTGTGACCCTACAGGCTTGGCTGCTCTTGTTATTCATAAAGGCCCCCCCCTCCCCACAAAGGTCAGGTGCCCAACCAGCTGTGAAGCATTTTGAGATTTGCTCCCAATGTGAAAAGTACTATATAAATGTCAGTTATATTCTGACTGAAGTAAAATCTTTCTAAATCATATAATCACTTAAGTCGTACATGCACCTGAGTCCCATTCAGTTTCCAATCAAAACTGCTTAGATTTCTTTACACTAGTCATATTAATCATCTCCTAACTCATAATGCTACTCCCTGATCCCCCATTACTCCTTCATTTACCGGTTGCATTGAATGAAATTCTGGTCCGTTGAGATATGCACACTTATGGCTGGCTGCATTGAATTGCGGGAACTGTAGTCTTGACTCGTCACTACATGTGCAGAAGAACTTCATTTCCCGCAATCCAATCCAATTCCAATGCTTGCTGGTAACTGCACATGTGGCGATGGGTCAAAACACATTGAATTAAGGGAAACAGTCTTGATCCGTCACTGAATGCACACTTACCGGCTGCATTGAATTACGCCTGCAGGTTATCGATTAAATCGGATTTTATACCACTTTAACAGTTTGCCTGTAACTCCGACTTCACATAAGTCATATTAAATTTTATGGTTCTGATTGATATGACTTTTGTGAGTTTTACTATATGTTCATTTTTGGTGATCCACCTCAGGCTGCTTGATAATTATAGAACAGTCATTTTATCTTTTACTAAAAATGTCACTGTACATCAATTGCATGGAGCATCCTAACTGTTAATACTGTATTTGCCATGGATGATGCCCCCTGTTTCTGGCTGGCTTTAAATATTCTCTCGTCTTCCTGACATGTCAAAAACTGTGTGTCCAGCCAGCAATCACTAGTGCAGGAGCTGGATAGTTGACTTGTGTATTATCTTAGAAATATGATCTGAACAAATTAGAACTTCTATGGGATGTTAACACATGATTGCGTAAGACAACGTGGAGTAGCTCTATCTTGGAGTTCAAATGATACTTGTATCCATTTCAGCTTAGGTGACATGATGTTTTCTCATGTCATCTCAATTCATCACTGAGGTAATACTGGTAATTACGCCAGAAACTGGAGAGGGACTTCTCCAGGGACTGCTCTCCCTTGCTGATCTCTTTCTCTATCTCTCTGTACATGTATGCATACACACACGCGTGCGCACGCACACGTGCATGCAAATACAGACCAGACTTACTTTGAAAGAAGGTGCAATACCATATGCATTCGATATGAAACTTAAATACATTTTTGTAACATACGATAGTATATTTGTTGCAACCAGATGAATGCTGTGCTACTAATACAGTATTACAAAGATTCATCTTAATTATTGTAATCCAATTGCTGTTTTGCTGATTAGGTGATTGCGTATAATTATTTAGTTCACAATTAGTATCTGTTAAATTTAAAATAGTCAATATGTTTAAAGTCTGATGGCATCTCTGTAACAAATTGCACAGTTCACCTGCTTGATTCAGATTGTTTTCTGTAAATGACTGCTGACATTGGCGCAAAATAAACACCACCAAAATAAACTGTTTATTTACAGCAGCTCTATAGTTAATTAGTGTATTGACTTGGAAATGTAATTGAAACAAATTGGAACTTATTCTGTGTGATGTCAACAACATCAACAACAAAATTACATTTGTAAAGCGTCTTTCATGTTGGGTCCCAAGTCGCTGTACAGTCGGGAATCGAGACCCAAGCATGGGGGGCTGGCAGGGTTGGGGTGAGGGAGGTCAGAGAGGTAGGAGGCCGGTTGAAGACATGGTCGAAAAGCAGGATCTTGACTCGAGCCTTGAAGCAGGCAAGGGAGGGATCAAGGCAAAAGGATTGGGATGGAGTTAAAGAAGGTGGGAGCAGAGATGCTGAAAGCCCAGTCGCTGATAGGGTGGGTCATGGGGGAGACATGGAGCAACGGAAGGATTGGACGGGTTGATAGGGGCTCAGTAGGTCAGAGATGTAGGAGGGGGCAAGGCCGTGGAGGGCCTTGAAAGTGATGATGATGATTTTGAATTCTATCCTCTGAGGGATGGGGAGCCAGTGGAGCCGGGCGAGAGTGAGGGTGATGGGGTCATGGAGCCTGGCAGGAGAGGACACGAGCTGTAGCGTTCTGGATGATCTGCAGCTTGTGGAGGGCAGAGTTGGGGAGGCCAACAAGGTTACTCTTAACATACAACAGTATCATACTTCATTCAGAATGGTTGTAAATTGGTATTGTTCATATAAAATAAAGGCAGCGCTACAAGCTGCAGGGTACACTTGTTCAGACCTAAATGTAGTGTTTGAAAGGATTAATGCAAATTGCATTGTTACTTGGAACAATTCAAGGTGCTTACAAGATCGTACTTAGGAAGGTGAGTTGTGGGATTTTAATTGCCTTTGGGTTGCCTAGAAATACCAACTGATTATTAATTGACGATACTATTATGAAACACCATCTCTGTTTCCAAATGAGTAACATAAAGACTTTAAACTGACCTCTGTTTTGGCAGCAGCATGCCACTGGGGCTAACCTTTCATGAGATGACTACTAAGGATCGTGTGTTGCTATATCAGTTTCTCTGTTGCAGTTTTTTGGAGCGAGGAGAGAGAAACAGCAGCTTACAGTTTAAGGTAAAATTCATAAGTCAGTATAGCTATAGCTATGATCAAGCATTTGATTCTGAAATTACATTTTTAGTTGCTGCACTATTGAGGAGAGTGACTACATCGATGAAGGTAGATGACAAAATTCCAATACAATGTTTCAGCGAATATAGGGTGGTGTGTGTGTGAATGTGTGCATGCATGATGGGATGAGTTGGCTAAATACAGTGTCATTTTTATGTTACTGTGATCTGTCCTTCCTGTTTTAACTGTTTAATTTTCCATTCTGTAGCTCAGTGGTTAGAGCACTCGCTTCGCAAGCGAGAGATCCTGGGTTCGATTCCCGGGCAGAGTGAAACGTTGGGCAAGTTGCCTTACTCCACACGCTTCTGTTTACCTAGCACTAAGTAGGAACCCGGTTGTTAGTTGATTGGTGGATCGCTTTTCTGGGAATAAAAATCTCTTCAAAATACTAAATAAATAAAAATAATAATTTGATCACTCAATTTACAACGGTTTGAGGGACACTGCTGTGCGCAATTGGCTGCCGTGTTTCACGCACAAAATATACAGTCAATTCACTTCACAGTATATTCTGTGAAGCACTTTGAGATGTTTTGATGACATGATAAGGCTCTGTATCAAATGTAAGGATTATTATTATTACGAAGGTAACAAAGATACTCAGAGTGCAGTGTTTTAAAAGGCAATTCTTAATTTTTCTGTCAGTACAAATACTGCACCCAGAATTATCTTGAAGTATGTGCCTGCTAACCATAAGTAGCAAGAAACTATGTAACTTATTTTGGTTCTTCGTTCCTGCCCCATCAGTATTCTGAAATAAATCAACTGCCTTTTCCCCACGAAATACTTGGTGTAAACTAATGGCTTAATTTCTGTCTGAAATTCAGACAATAAATAAATAAAGGGGGTGAAACACCTTGGGACATCCTCCTGACGTGAAAGGTGCTATACAAATGTAATTTTGTTGTTGTTGAAATAGTGCTTGAGGCTGGATGATATGATTATGGTTCTACAATTTGTTTTATAGAAGAATGATAGATATTGTTGAATGATGGATATCTTACAACAGGTCCAGCCTGGTTCAGTTGGAAGCATTTACCTCTGAGCTACAGATTGTGGGTTTACACCTATGCTAGGACTTGAGCAAAAATCCCAGGCTGATGCATGTGTCCAATATTGAGGGAGTGGCATTGTTGGAGGTGTTGTCTTTTGGATGAGATGTTACACTGAGGCTCCATCTGCCCATTGAAATGGATGATAATGATCTTGTGACCACTGTTTGATACTTACTGCCTGATGGTGCAAGTTGGCTGCTGAGTTTGCCAACGAAATACACTGCAATTTCCTGTGAAGTGATTTGAGATGTTTGGACATTACAGTTAGTACACCAAACGCTAAAATGAATATTTGGCCCATTGTCTCTGAGTTGGTGCGAATTCTGCCAATGGACTTTTCTGCTCAAGTTTCAGTCAGCTTAGCTTCAACTGTTTGCAATTTCATTCCATATTCTAACAATCTTCTGTGAAAAAATATCTTATTTTTTTCTTCTGCGCACTGAGTATACATGCACATTAGGTCTGAGACATAATTATGGTGTACTCTGTGCATCGGCACTGATTCTAATACTTTTCATTTCCACTTCTATTCATGGTCTGAAAAGATTCAAAGCAATGAGTTGCAAAGTAGGCTCTATGTTAAAAGGACTCAGCTCCAATATTCAGCCATATGTTCTTTTTTTAAAACAAAGGATTTGAAATGTGATTTTTATTATTGTGACTATTGTAAGTATTCATTTTTATCTGAATATTCATGAAACAATTTGGTTAGATATTTTTCCAACAGTGATTCAATGTGATGAACATGAAAACATCACTTTACACAGTATTTTGCTTGTGTAAATTTTTTTGGCTTCAACATTGAACCAAAGGTTTCTTCAGTCTCATAATCTTTTTCTAATTTGTCTTTTCTAGGAATGCCTGCTGTTTTCCTGGTGGCTGAGCTTGTTTTGGGTCTTTGTGCCACCCTCGCATTTGGGAATACAGAAGTGAAGTTTGCAGGTCAAACTGAGTTTGTTGTGAATGAAACGAGCACCTCAGTTATACGTCTGGTTATTGAAAGAACAGGAAACCCAGCCAACATCACTGCACTCTTACTGGTAAGGCAAAGATATGCTGTACAAATAATCCTATAACATTTCCACAATCTTAAAGTGGTTTCAGTCTACACAGTAGGAATTGTGGTCAGGGTAGCTGTGCTGCATTGTGTACACCTGAATTAAAATTTGAGGGCTGGCAGATATTTGTGAACTGTGATCAATTTTTTATGTTATTTTTTAAAAAAGAAACTATTTTGAAGATGTAATCAACAATCTTCAATCTAAAATACAGGTTGAGATGATTGCTTATGGATTAACAATTTTCAAATGCAAATTATGAAAATGGACAATAATGAAAAAGAAGTGCTCCGAGACTCTTTCCTGTATGAAGTGTGCTATATTAATGCAAGTTGTTGTTGTCGAATACAGGGACTTTGGAATCATCTTCACAGTTAACAACAATAACAACAAAGTTACATTTGTAAAGTGCCTTTCAGATCGGGAGGACGTCCCAAGGCGCTGGACAGACAGAGTTATGGACCCGAACTGGGGGTCGTGGAGGGGGAGGGTGGAGGGCGGGGGGGAAGCGGGGAGATCGAACGCACTGTCAAAGAGGAGGGTCTTGAGATGGTTCTTGAAGGTGGCGAGGGAGGGGGCGAGGTGGAGGGACTGCAGGATGGAGTTCCAGAGGGTAGGTGCAGAGTGGCAGAAGACCCACCTGCCAATAGTGGGGCGAGCGAGGCGGGGGACATGAAGCAAGCCAGAGCCCACTGAGCGAAGGGAGCGAACAGGATGGTAGAGATTAGGAGGTCGCAGAGGTAGGGGGGAGCAAGACCGTGGAGGGCTTTCAAGGACACGGGCTGCAGAGTTCTGGATGATCAGCAGCCTGTGGAATTAATTACATAATTTAGTGCACACATGCATTTGGACATAGTTAGTCCCTGGGCTGTTATCACAACCTGAGTTATTATTATAATAATAATCCTTGCATTTGAAGCCATACCCTTATCACGTCGTTGAGATGTCTCAAAGCGCTTCACAGAATATTTTGTAAAATGGATTGATTGTATATTTTCAGCCGGTTGTGCACAACAATGTCCCACAAACAGTCGTGGATTGAGTGATCCAGAATTTTTTAAAACATTGGGGAGGAAAGTGATCTGCTAAATAACTAACTCCTATGTATTGCTAGGTAAACTGGCGTACGTGATAAGGAAGCTTGCTTAAGGTTTCCTATTATGAATTACAACTTGTAGTCAGTCACCAGAGCAAATTAACTAAAATTCTACACATTCCATTTTTGGTGTTTATAAATGAACCCAGTGAAGGGGAATGAGTTAGGATAAATTAGAAAGCTTATGTGTAACAGTGGGGAGGCCATCTATGCAAAAGTCTTTAGGCACTCACTATACTGCTTCCACAGTAAGTACTGTCAATCTCATCACTGAATAGGCCAATTGAACTAACTGATGTTCATAGACCCTTTCCCTTTCTTTTCTGATTATATGAATCCTTTATTTTCTTGACACTCTCTCTGGGACATGCGTAGACTCCCACTAATAGATTTGGTAGGGGAGTTACACACAGACCACTGCTCCTATGCGCTGACAGCATCAGCATCCAAGGCTGCACTCTCCACCTCTCGAAGCCAGTCAGGAACCTCGGCATTCTGTTCGACCCTGAGCTGTCCTTTCTTCCTCATATCTGCGCCACAACTGGCACCGCCTTCCATCACCTCCAAAACATCGCCAGACTACGGCACTACCTCACCCCTCACGCTGCTGAAACTCTGGTCCACACCTTTTATCACCTCAAGGCTGGACTATGGGTATTCTCTCATCGTCGGCCTTCCCGGCACCTCCCTCCACAAGCTGCAGGTCATTCAGAACTCTGCAGCTCGTGTGCTGTCCCGCTCCAGGCTTCGCGACCACATCACTCCCACCCTCGCTCGCCTCCACTGGCTCCCCATCCCCCAGAGGATCGAATTCAAGATCCTCATCCTCGCCTACAAGGCCATTCACGGCCTTGCTCCCTCCTACCTCTCCGACCTACTATCCCCCTACCTACCTGCCCGTACCCTCCGTTCCTCTGGCTCCGGTCTGCTCCACATCCCCCGCCCCAACCGCCCTACCATCGGTGGCCGGGCCTTCAGCCTCTCAGCCCCGAGGCTCTGGAACTCTATCCCCCAGTGCTTTCGTCGCCGCCTCCCTTTCCTCCTTCAAGGCCGGTCTCAAGCCCTTTCTCTTTGACCGTGCCTTCAACTCCCCTCTCGACTCTCTACCCCCTCCTCGCTCCCTCCCTTCCCTCCCCTCACCCTGACCATTTCCCCCCTGCTCGGGTCCTGACCCAACTGTACAGCGCCTTGGGACGTCCTCCCGACGTGAAAGGTGCTCTATAAATGGAATCTTGTTGTTCAGTGCTACGAGATATATAACTCAATCTTATGAAGCATTTTGAGATGTCTTGATGATGTATCAAGTGCAGGGACTTTTATTTTTATTCATGTATGAGCCTTGACAAGAAGTTTAGCTATTTGATTGTGGGAGGCATTGGTGCAAATCATCAACAACAACAACTTGCATTTATATATTGCCCTTCACGCAGGCTAGGGTCCCAGAGGGTGAAGGGCTCTTGCTCTCACTCAATTTTCTCTTACATACACGCACACATACACACACACAAACTTACACATAAAGTCAGCAGATCACTGGATATTGATCAGGAACAGAAACTGGCTGATTTTCCTTGCCCCAACCTGGAGTGTGGAAGCCAATTCTATTTATTATTTATTATTTACCGTTTTATTATTTAGACAAAGGAATGAGTTCAGATTTGTACGGCAGTGTCACTGTGTCGGATGATCTCTTAAGAAATTTGACTTTGTTTTTATACAGAGGGGGTATAACTGATGGCATGAGTGGCACCTTATGTTTTGTTAAATTGTAGTTTTATAAAAATCATGAGTGCCTGAAAATTACAATGGAAAGGTTCTTTCTTAAAATTATATTTGACAGAAATTGCACTGGAAACTTTTCTTTGTCCTATTGACCTGCCACAAACTGTGCTTGTTTGAACATCACATAATGTATTGCCAAAGCTGGGGTCAATGTCAGTTTACTTATTGTTAACACACGAAAAGGTCACTTAGAATAAAAACATATCCAGCTGAGCAAAATCTATCAAAAATTGCTGAAAACTTTCTTAAGGTTATTTTTGATGGAGGGATGGCCTTTACTGCTTCACAGCTGCACCAAGGAGGATACTTATGTATACTATTTTTCAAATATATATACACACATAAATGCATGTTTATTTCTGATAACCCCCATACTTTGCAATTTAAAATGTGTTAAATGTTATCACTAAATAAGGCAAATCTTTCATGTGATAAATTGTACAAATTAATAACTGAAAAAGTTTATTTTCAAGTTAGTGTAGAATGACTTTGCCATTTTAAATTCTTCTGGCACAAATTCAAGAAAACATTGAATGATCATACAATTAATTGTGTAAGAGCAAATTTATCAAGTGCTGCTAAATTATTTAGTGCCATTGAACCTTGCTTAAAATTGCTAATTTGCTGCTAAATCTATTGGACCATGTTGTTACTGTACATGATCATATGGCTGGTTTATAGTGCGTATTACATAACATGGACCCTCTTCATTGCATTCATTTAAAAAAAAAGCACTTATAAGGAGGAAACGGAAATATGGGGAACTCTCTACATGGTTCACGGGAGGAGAACTAACACCTTTCAGTGAATTACGAAACAGTAATCCAATTCGTGTGAAGTAGAAGTTGAAATTTGGCCCACTGCCTAAATTTACTCAGAGGTATCCATTGTTATTGGGGGTCTAAATTACTCTGATAGCTAAAAATAGTAATCATTATTGTTAAATATTAATAGTGGGGTTTTCTGTTATCCAGCTTTGCTGAAATAGTTACTTTTAGCAGTCAGAGTGCATTGTGACGTCCTGTAGCATAGTAGTTAAAGCACTCGCCTCGCAAGCAAGATTCCCAGGCAGGGCGAAAGGTTAGACAAGTTTCCTTATTCCACACACCTCTGTTTACCTAGCAGTATGTAGGAACCCGGTTGTTAGTTGATTGGCAGAACACTTTTCCGGGGATAATAATCCCTTCAAAAAAAATTAAATAATAATTTGATCACTCAATCCATGACTGTTGTGGGATCAATAATGATGTGCGCAATTGACTGCCACGTTTCACCCACAATATACACAGTCAATTCACTTTACAGTATATTCCGTGAAGCGCTTTGAGTCTCGTGAAGATGTGATAAGGGGCTATATCAATTGCAAGTATTATTATTACACTATCATTCACAATAACAAGTATGGTTGTGAATTTTCTGCTGTATTCTGTTCCTAGAGCCAGCTTGGTGATGTTGTGGATTGGTGTTCACACAATGTTTTACACTGTATTTTTGCATACAATCTCTGCTGTCGTTGCCTCAGAGCAACTCCTGCAGAAGAGAAGGAAAGCTGAAGGGCAGGTTTTTATAGACTGTGTACTGGTTCAAGAGTGAATTAGCAATATTCTTGGATCAACTGCCCTCCATTCTCTCTTGGCCATTTGTGGCAGGAACAGTGGAAAAAGCTGAGTGGAATACCCAAGCAGCTATCAGCTTCAAGGGGATTGTACAGGTGACTTTGAAGCCACATCTCTCCTGTAGCCCGAATCCTGACGACAGAATCTAACAAGAGAAACACAACTAATAGTAAAGATTGCATTGAACTAATGGAATTTAGTGGTTCTGCAAAGGCAACACAGCTCTATCTGATGTACTTATTTAATAATATTTATGTCCAACAAAATTTGGATAATAGTTGTTCATATTTAAATGAAGATCAAGAAAATGTAGATTAACTTTTTTACAAAAAACTAGGAAAGAGAAATAGAAAGAGAAAATGCTGTCAATCAGTGCCTGAAGGAGTAAGATAGGTTAACATTTTGAGTAAGTCAATTGATCATAACATAAGAATAAAAAGCCTGATGGTTAACTTGAAATCTTAAATGCAGATATATGTGGACTTACGTTTATTCCAACTGCTTTCAGCTTCGAGGGGATGATACAGGTGACTTTGAAGCCACTTCTGCTGCAGCCCGAATCCTTACTACAGAATCTAATAAGACTGTATACATAGCGGTCAGGGACGATGAGCTTCCGGAAGCAGATGAAACTTTTGCTTTTTATCTACAGCTACAGGTAATAGCTTTCATTTTCACAAAATCATAAGAGAACCACAGGTTTTAAAAAAAAAGCCCTTGGGCTGCTTGATCTCATCCTTCTAGACTATCAACCCACTGATTTCAAACCATTTCTTAAATTAGTCCAGTGTCCTGACCTCTGCCACACTCCCTGGTAATCTGTTTATCCTCTGTGTAAGCAAAAGCGCCAGGTGGCTGGGACTAGATGGGGCTCACTCCCATCCAATCTATATACACCTCACTTTAAGGGGTGCTGAAGGAGAAGGCCTTCTCTTGACCCTCTCCTAACACGTTGGCAGTGCCACCCACTTCTGGCCCGGTGGGCTGCTCATCAGGGCATCCTCATTTTTGATTGGCTGATGAACCTCTCAGTCAAGTCAACGTAAAGTTAAAATTAAACTTAAAGTTAACTTAGAGTCTGTCGTAAAGGGGACTGACCCTTCAACTGAGTTTGAGTCAACCCAATCTCCCCATCAAAGAATATTTTCATCTGCTGCCTATGTATGTAAGGTAAATACTTCCTGGTCTCTGTCCAAAAATCGCTCTTCGCAACTTTGAATGTGTGATATCTGCATTGGGGTATCAGGCACAGTGGCTGACTCCCCCCTAAAAACCTACAAAAGTATTGTTCTTGGTTTACTTTCTCTATTCTGTGAAATATATCACACAGAGTATACAGTTCAAGATCCTGGTCCACACCTTGAAAGCCCTCCATGATCTTGCTCCCCCCTACCTCTGCGACTTCCTAACCCCCTACCATCATGCTCGATCCCTACGCTCAGCGGGCTCTGGCCTGCTTCACATCCCCTACCTCGCCCGCCTCAACATTGACCGGTGGGCCTTCTGCCACTCTGCCGCCACCCTCTGTAACTCCATTCCACAGTCCCTCCACCTCGCGCTCTCCCTTGCCTCCTTCAAGACCGATCTCAAGACCCTCCTCTTCGACCGAGCCTTCGATCACCCTGCTTCCCCCTCCACCCTCCCCGATCCCGACCCGCAGCTCGGATCCCAAACTCTGACTGTCCAGCGCCTTGGGATGTCCTCCCAATGTGAAAGGCGTTTAACACATGTAATTTTGTTGTTGTTTATTGTATACTTCTAGAAGGCATAAAGCCTTCTGTATTTGGGATTCAAGAGCCTAAGCTTATCTAGCCTTCCTTAAGCTTCATCACTGTAACATTGGGGATCAGCCTCGTTGGTTTCCTTTGCAGTGCCTCTAGGGACTAGCTCGCCACCTTAAACCTTTCTAAGAAAAAATAGGATAATACATAATGTCACACTTGTGTATGATGTGTCCATCACAAGGTTGCATCATGAATGTTGCATGCACAAATTACTTAGTCTTTCTCAGAAGTGAATCTCTGGCTTATCTCTTTTAGCCAGTGTATTTTACATTTTATTCTGGAATGACCAAGCTAGAGGAATTTATATTTTTACAAAGAGTCTTGCACAAAAATCTTAATTTCTTCAGTGGATACGTTATGATTGTAACCAAGTCAAATAAAATAAAACTGGGATATTATGTCTCTGTAGTGTTGGTAATCTTGCAGCACAAGTTATCTTGGTTTCTGTCTTTCTGCCAATCTGTCTTTCTGCAAATGACATTGTTTTGATGCTTGACAAGGATAGGTCAGAGAGTGGTTAGAAATGACCTTCTCAATGTGCTCTTGGTAGGTGGGCTCAGTACAAATCTCTTGCAAGTCTGTGTTTCAAACTCAGTTTATACTGTGTTTCTGTGTGATTTTTGCATTGAATCACTATGAAAAGCATGGTATAAACAAAGCATAAAGCTTTACAGGCGACACAAAAGTACAGAATATTCAGTCTTTTCATGTTTGGGGACAAACTTGTCAGTGCCTCAGCCTTTGTTGTTCTCGGCCCATCCAGCATAACAGATGACGTGTGTATTCCCACTCATAAAGAACAGGTCTGTTCCCTTCAGAACTTCACTGCAATATGTTGTGATCCATTAGTTAGTACTATGATTGCATTCTTGCACTGCTTTGCATGGCTCTGAATATTAAATAGTAGTCAATCATTTTAACATTTTACAAATTTTTCTGCCAATAATCATTACCTTCAGAAGTTTGGGCATCACTTTTACACTGACAAGGAAAAAAGAAATGATTGGGATCCTGGACTGATTACAATGCAATAATATACAGTACAATAATCAACCCAACAGTTATTTAGTGTTATAATCTGTGAGAGTGCAAGTTTAATTGGCTTGTTCCTAACATTTGAACAGTCAGATGAGATTGAAGCCATTTCAGAAGAGTTTTGTTAGATTTACGAGGCATTTAATCAATTGAGGATCCTTCTATTTAACAACTCTTCACACTGATCCGCTGGATTGCGCAATTGATGTTCCTGATGCAGAATAAATGATTGTGACATAACTACAGGTTTTTGATAAATAATTTACATTATTGGTTACCAGAGATCATGTGGCTAATAGCTACTCCAATTAGTTATCCCAGAACTTGAGGATAAAGAACATTGGTGTCATTTTGGAATTTTAATGTTTTACGTGATATTTTTAAAACGGACGGCTGAAAATTAAATTATCACCATGGCTGGTAACAAGTCAAATAACTTGTTTTAGCAAAGACCACTTCCTTAAGCCAATTTATCAGCTAAAGTCCTAAAAACTATGTCCAAATTTTGTCCTGGCTGCTGGAATCACATAACCAAGGTAATCTTTAATTCCTGAGCCTCAACTGAACAAAAATTGTTTTTCGGCAAATCAGAGGCCAATTTTTCTTATCCTTGTATTTGTTATAGCACCTTTCACATTGGGAGGATGTTCCAAAGTGTTTCATAGAATTCTCTGTGAAGTGGAATCAGTGTGCATTTGTAGGCACACAAGGCAGCCCAATTTCACCCAGTAATGTCCTAATGTGGATAATAGGCCCCACAGACTTGAGACAATAAGGTAAAATCCACTGTGTGTAGATTAAACATTAGAAAAATATCCTCAAAGATTTAAAAGTTGTATAATATTTTAAAATAAAAAAAATAATTAAAATAGGAGAAATATGGGATTTGAAAATAAAGTGCTTAAAATGTTATTAAAACCAGTATATGAATAACTATTACTGTAATATTGGATTGTTCCAGCATTATGGTGTAATATTTGACAACTTAAAAATATGGTTCACCCAGGGAGATTAGAATACCCTGGGCTGTTGGCGGTGCAAGAGTTAAATGTAATTCCGTATGAATCTAAATATTCAAATTCTAATGCTCCTGAGACCACCGTGAAAATGATTTTTTTGGGGTATATGGCACTGCTGTTTGTTGTAGAGAGATGCAAATAGAAAATAAAGCAGACATCCTTCACATTAGGAAACCCTATAATAGAATGCATTTGTATTCTGCTTCAGACCTTCACTTATCAGTAAAACAAAAGTCAATGTACATCATCAGTTAATTCTCTTGTCCAAAACAGTCGCACTCTTTCCAATTCTCATTCTACTGTGTTTTGAGAATAAAAAAAACTCATTCACGTGAAACATTGAGCCAAACCTCATTTAAATTATAACCGCAGGTATTTCAAAGCAGAGATGACATCATGCATGAGCGAGGTAACATTTGAATGAAGTAGCGTGTGAACAGTAAGATGCTAGGGACGTTGCTGTGGAAACTGCTGATAATAGACTCCAGCGTGGACTGTATGAAGTTCAGATTTAGATCAAGTGATCTATAGAGTCAGTTGTGGCAGAGGACTGATATTCATTACATTTGGAAAGCTTAAAGTGTTAGAGAATGAATAATGTAGAAATAATATGGCAGCATCATTTCACCTTGTCTGGCACATTTGAAACCGATTAGCATTTTCCCACCAGATGCACTAAAAAAACACACTTTGCATTTATTTTAGTTTTCTGCATCCTTTTCTATGCATGTGTGTTATTTCTAATGTACAACAATAGGAACAAAGACAAAGGTCTTTTAAATTTTCTCAGAAGATATTTTGTAAACAGTTGTGACATTAGCTGTTAACTGTTGCAACGTCCTCCCGACGTGAAAGGCGCTATACAAATGTAATTTTGTTGTTGTTGTAATATAAGTTCAGCAGGTGAAATAACAGAATTAATACAGCTGACAGTGCCTTGATTGTGTTGCTTAGTTTGTATAAATGCTAGTTTATTCAATGTTCCTAAATGTATGCTTCTTTAATATTTTTATTTATCTAGATGCTTTTCCAAATCTTTCAAGATAGTCAGAGGTGCTCTGTGATACAAGTGTGGCAAAGTCATGTTATTTTCATGTTAGTTTTGAAGCACATTTTGCTGCAGCCTCTTTTGTCCAGCACCTTTTAAGCAAAGTATCTCCCAGTTTCTATGTTTTTCTTAGTGTTTTCCTGGGATAGGATTCCAACAGCATTTTACTCTTGATAGGCCATTAGGATTATGCTGCATGTTGTAATGGTCAATTATTTAATATTTCTTGTATTAAAAAAATTCCGAAATTAGATTTTTTTAAAAAATAAATAAAAATGAAACATTCTTGTGCAGAATTAAAGCAGATCTTTTGAGTATTTACTGTTGTTTCCTTCAATGAAGATCAGAGTGTTGCCCACAAGAATGGATTTCTATCGTGAAACGCATGCTTTCTGAATGCTGAATGCAAATGTAAAAGGGCTCCATTATTTTTTTACAAGTAAAGTTCCATAATATATAAGGATTTTAGGACAAAGTGTTTCACAGACGAGCTTTCTTCAGCGGAATTCCGTATACTGCATTGATACAGACAGTTAAAAGAAAGAAATGTACAAGACATCTATCTTCCCACAACCATTCATTTCATTGCATGAATCAGATTGAGCAAACCTTTGACCTGGAGCTGGGGATAGAATTCAGCTTTTTAACATTTAAGTCAAAGGATATTGTATAAAGACGAAGAACTGAAAAGAACCTTCATTTTCAATCAGAATTGCATACTTCATACCTAGTTTCTTATTGCTATGGTGTCATTAGCGGATTGTCAAACTGTGATAAATGAGTATTGAAAGCCTCTTATTTAACACAGAGATCCTACTCGAGCTGAGGTGTCCAAATAACTTGCGTTCTGTAGATCACAAGCAATTTGCTTTGCATTTCCTAATTGAAAACTAAATCTGCTTGGAAATTACAATTTGCCTCGAAAGACTGGTTAACAACAATCTGGATTGTGACACTAGCATCAACAATACATTTTTGGTTTGGCTAGTGATTTGTAGTGCTGTCCACTAGAAAGCGTCATATGTATTCTGAAATCGTTTATGATTGTTCTCCTTGGAATTGGTCAATTTTAGACTTTGTGCTGCTGCTGCTGCCCACATTTATGAAAATAAAGCATAAAGGTATTATTTTTATTGCGAGGCATGTTTGCTATCGTAAACATTCTGTGTGAAATAAAATTTCATTTAATTTATTTCAGGTTTACTAAGATGTAATAAACTTACATCTTAATAAACCTGAAATTCAGCAGGAATGTTTATATGTTCACACGGCCTCCAAATAAACTGCCCGTGATAAACTTAACAAAACTTATTTAACACTATTTTTCTGTCATTTCCAGGTTGCACCAGCAAACGTGACACTTGGAGCCCCCAGTATTGCCACAATAACCATTCTGTCAAATGACAATGCCTTTGGAATTATTTCTTTCAATGTGGTGAGCATAGCTTTCATCTTCTACAGTATTAGATATGGCAAATTTTGAAGACATGTTGAATATTGTTTTGGAATCACAAGATGTGATAGTGTGCATCAGAGCACTTTGGAAAACAGACAACATGAATACAGTGATAAAACACTGAAGGTAATGAAACAGAAGTATGTTGATATTAGAGAAGCCATTATTCAGTGATATGAAAAGTTAAGGTCTTGAGTCTTAGATGGACTGACAGACATTGGGATGTGCCGTGTTTGTTTTCACAGAGTAAAATAACAGATTCTTTAAAAAATCAAGAGGCATTGAAGAAAGTTTAATTGTCAAAATATGCATAGCAGCATTTTAATCTTAAATGTAATTTATTTTTGATCATTTGCTTTAAAGGGCACAAAAAATTAATTCATATGTTTGGCCTTTTTATGTTAAACTTCTTGCATTTGAGTTTTGTAATTCAAGTTCTTCTGAAAGTGTACATAAGGATTTTAGTCTTAAACAACAGATTGGTTGCCAGGAGATGTAACCCCATCACTGGACCACTTTACAGATTAGATGAATTTGTCCACGGGAATTGAGCATTGCCATGGAAACTGTTCTGCTGTCTAGCCAAATCCACACAGTGATATTTATTGCTTTATGGCTGATGATAACATTCTCTCTCTCGTAGTCTTCTCCAATCACTGTAGACGAGCCAAGAGGTGAAAACCAATTTGTGCCTATTACTCTCATCAGAGAGAAAGGAACCTATGGAACGGTAACTGTGGATTTTGAGGTAGGTATGAAACATTAATTGTCCATCTCATCCTGGTTTTGATAGCAGAAGATGCCTTAGTATGACTCGTGGATGAGATTAAATTTTCTCTGTACAAAAATGACCTTTGATCACCATAAAAATGAGGATTATGTGTGTGTGTGTGTGTATATATAAAAAAACTCTACCTTATCTTGAACAATTCTGAAAACCCCCAAATTCTGTAAGACACTTGATATGTAGTTTTCTTATAATACTCACTGACCCCAGTTAATTAATTACTATTAACTCAGACAACTGCCTACCTTAAATAGTGCTCCATGCTATGACTGTTGTTTTGTCTCATCATAGATAAGATTTTCATTAATGGCACTATTTTCATTGAAATCCTTCTCCCAGGAGATCTCCCACTGCTTTATCACTGATGACAAAATTGGCAACCACTGAAAAATATTGAATAGAATCGTAGAATTATACAACACAGACCGAGGCCATTCAGCCCATCGTGTCTGTGCCGGCTCTTTGAAAAGAGCTATCCAAATCAATCCATTCCTTCTATTTGCCTTTCTAGATCAGATGCATTGTTATGCCACTGGTTAGCTGCCCTCTGCCCAGGGAAACGCTGTCTCTTAATGTTTCTTCTCTTCCTGGGTCTCTGCTCAGCACCAGTCACTTGTGGAGTCTCAGTGATTAGTGCACTCACCTCGCAAGCAAGAGACCTGGGTTCGATTCCTGGGTGGGGCAGGGCAAAATGTTGGACAAGTTTCCTTATTCCACAGGGCTCTGTTTACCTATCAGTAAGTATGAACCTGGTTGTTAGTCGATTGGCGGATCACTTTTCCGAGGGTAATAATGCCTTCAAAATTTTAAAAATAATAATAATTTGGTCACTCAATTCACAACTCTTTGTGGGATACTGCTATGCATGTTTTGCCCACAACATATACAATTAGTATATCCAGTATACTCTGTGAAGCTCTTTAAGATGTCTCAAAGACGTGATAAGGTGCTATGTCAAATATCAAATTACTATCCAAGCCTGTGATTAGGAATTCATCCTGTCATGGGTATGAATCTGCAACTTGCCATTCTTCAGCATAACTACTGGTTCCATATTATGCTGCACTGCTGCTCTCTGTGACTTTTCTCTTTTTATTTATCAGACACAATTCCTCTCTTGTCAATAATATTCCTGAGCGAGCATTGAGTAAAATTTATTTTGATTGAAAGAACATTTCCACAATCATAAATTACGTTCATATGAAAACGTGGATAATATTTTCACAGTAAAATGATGTTCTATTTTATAAACAATACAATTTGAATAGGTATTTAGAGAGAAATAATATTAAGGGATATGGCAGGAAGATGTAGAGGTGCGATTAGAACATGTCTGTTGCACATGGAATGGTCTGAATGGGCTGAATGGCATTTTCCTGACCTGAACTTCTTATGTTGCTATGTAGTATGTCAGCTAACATGGACCTGGCTTCAAAGATTGGGTTCTGTGGTAACAGCATATCTGAGCACCTTCCACTAACTCATACAGACATAGCAAAATAATACAGAATTCCTGAGTGTTTCATTATACCAAATTATATCTGTTTTTCTCATATTTTAGCCTTTTGCATTATTGAGGAGTTCAGAGCTATAATTTATGAGTAGGTTTACTTGATGAAACCTAACTAAAACAGAAATTAATCTAAACTAAGTAGTACATTTTTAGAATAAATACTTCTTCAAATTCAAACCATCTTGACATGAAGATTATCGACTAGTTCCAGTGATGACGCAGTAAAACCTATTTTTAAAACAAAACGTTGGCTGTTCTTCATTTTGATACCATGAAATGTATTTTCTAGAGATTATGCTGTGACGCACGATGTAAGATCTGAGAATTTAATTATTGCAGTTATTATGTTTACTTTGCACTACCAGATAACAGGCTTGAGTTCTGCAAGCAAAGACATCAGTCCAACCCGGGGACGTGTTATCCTTCCTCCTGGGAGAGCTATAATCATCTATAACCTCATCATTCTGGATGATAAGGTGAGAAAAGAGAACTTCACAAAGAGCATGAACAAAACAAAGTGGCTGTTGAGTGACAAACCTTCTCAACCCCAGATTAAACAACAGTTGTTTAACATGTGGATTTTGTTAATCATTAATAATATTCAACAGATGTTTTGCATTATACTTATTCCTTCAAGAGACAACTGCCTTGATGTGGGACATTTTTACTGAAAGTAGAATAATGTTTCACTGAAATAACCCATGAGCGTTTTATTGTCAGTATCAGTTTTGTCATGACTAGATGTGGTAATTTGCTCTCCGTCGAAACATACAATATATTGGCCTCACTCTTTAGCTATCATCCTGGAATCCCTCCAACTCACTCCCTTCCTCACCTTATTCAAGTTCCATCCCAAGCCTTTTGGCTATCATCCACTCTTCTCAGCTCCCACTTCCATCTTGGATGCCCAGCAAACAGTGTCAAGTGTGTTTTGGCAGCACATTGATTAATATTAAATCAATTCAACCTCTGCTACTATAAAAGTTCTTAGATGGTCAAGTGGATCATTACCCCCAAGGGACCATTCACTTAATACTGTTGAGCAGGCTCTTTAACACTATTTAAAAAGAGAGCACCCAATATCAGAGTTCTGCACTTCTGACGAGTTGCATATGAGGAGAAATCATCTCAGACTTCTCCACTTAAGCAGGGTTTATATTCCTGGAGTAGGAAAGCAGTTAGGAGCAGAAAGCCTGAATCCCAATTGCATTTGCAGAGCCTTTAGAAAGGTTTTTTTAATGTTATTATGGAAGATTAAGGAGTATGATTGTATATTATTGACGTTAAAATTGTCCCTTAAAAATGTTGTTATCTTTGAATGGAGTTCTGAATCGATCTACACTTGCCTTATGTCATCCTGACGAAAGCAACTCCACAGGCAGTTTTTGGCAGCCAGGCTCCAATGCAAAATAAATCTGATTCTAAACTCAGTTTTCAGAGCAATTCAGTATAATTTTTACAGTGAGTCATACAACACAGCCCAACAATGGTCAATCAATGACTGAAAGGAAGCAGTCAGCAAAATCAAGAGTACATGAATAGAGGCAATAAAAATATCTGTCAGTTTCTATGTGAAACTGTGGCACTTGTTGGACAAGTTAAGATTGTACAGAGCATATTTGGCAGAACATGAACTATTGAGACTCTCCCTCAGTTCAATCTGATTGCTGAGAGGACTGGTTTACACCAATAATGATAAAAGATAAAGTGAGTTCTAAGCTGGTCCTGGTTTTAAAATGCTTTTTCTCATTGTTTTATAATTCTGTTGATTATTATATAGATTTAGAATGTTTACCTCACAAACCCCTAAAGGAAACTCACTACCCAAAAATTTAAATATGAAATTGCTGAATCAAAGACCTATTTGCTGCTTTCTTTTTCAATGACCACAGTTTTAAGCATTTTCTTTTTTCTCTAGATTCCTGAAAATGATGAAGTTTTCAGAGTCCGGTTGATGAGTGCAGAGGGAGGAGCAGAAATCAATTCCACCCAAAACACCTTTCAAATTAAGATCAATAAAAATGACAGCCCATTGCGATTATCACAAGCTGCGTATGCTGTGTCAGAAGCTGATGGTGTGATTACCATGTCAGTGATTCGTGGAAGGGACCGGGATGGAAATGTCATTGGTTCAGACAATGCTTGGGTTTCTATTAATTACCAGATATTAACTGGTAACAGTTCTGCTTGTGCAGTATTAATGTCTGATTTTATTGACCTCCAGCCTAATAGGACCATTGTTTTTCCACCATATGTTTACGAAGCGAACCTGAAGTTTCAGATTATTGATGATCTCATCCCAGAAATTGCAGAGACATTTCAGGTTGTGTTGCTTGAAGAGACACTGCAGGGTGATGCAGTTCTGCAAAATCCCAGTGCTGCGTACATCACAATTGAACCAAATGACAAACCCAATGGAGTTCTGTCAATCAGCAGCGCTCTTCTGACGGAATATCTTATCATTGATGAAGACTTGACAACAAGGTAAGGGAAAATACAACTTTTAATGATTTTTACAACTACAAAATGTTGGAATTCCAGGTTGTAAGATTATACCTAGTACATATTAATATATTAGAATTCTGTAGTATTTAATAATATACTATATTCTTATTAAGATGCTATATCAATACAAGTTGTTGAGCATGAGCAGCACATTAATGTATCATTAATTATTGCACAGAGGTACTGTTTTTGCATTGGGTACGTGAATCGTTCTGGAAGTGTGGTAACATAGGACTCAGACATCAGACATTTCTCAAATCCAAAGGATAATAAAATATGGAGTCCTGTAGCTCAGTGGTTAGAGCACTCCACACGCCTAATAATAATCCCTCCAAAAAAAATAATAAATTGTTCATTTTCAATCCACGACTGTCTGTGGGACATGGCTGTGCGCAATTGGCTGCCACGTTTCACACACAAAATATACAGTCAGTTCACTTTACAGTATGTTCTGTGAAGCGTTTTAAGAAGTCTTGAAGATGTGATAAGGCGCTATATTAAATGCAAGGATTATTATGTAAATAAAAACAAAATTAGAAAAATCTACAAATATTATGTTTATTTTATTAAATACAATTGGCAACTGACAAGGCTATGTGTACTTCAAGTGTATCATCCATGAAAATTCTTACATATCTTTTGTGTATAGCAATAATAATCCAGTAGGTTCTTTGAATCTCATATTTCCAGAACCCTACCACCTTTGCAATAAAGCAACAAGCTATTTCTGAAATAATCCCAGTGCCCTGATCTCAACCACCATTTCTGATAATCTGTTCTGTTAATTACTCTCTTTGTAAAGAAATACTGATGTCTGCCCTCATATTACCCTTCACAACACTCAACTTGCACTTGATGTATCTGAAAGCATTTGAGGTCATACCTTGTAAAAGTAAGTGTTAATAAAGTTAGTATAGAGCATTAGGGTTGGCGTCTGGTTGACCCATATATAGTAATCCAGACAGTAACTGAACATTGTTTTATGTTCTGGTTGCAGATTTGATAAAATTGTCATTGTAAGGAATGGAGGAACACATGCTGAAGTTTCAGTGAATTGGCAGATATCACGGAACAGCAGCAATTCCTCTGCTGTGACTACAGATCTCGTGCCAGCCTCAGGAATCCTGACCTTTGCTGAAGGTCAGATGTTGGCGACAGTAAATCTCACTGTTGTTAGCGATGACTTACCTGAGGCAGCTGAGACTTACCTGTTCCAACTGCTGAACCATACTGTCCAAGGAGGAGCAGAACTAGATGAACCCACACAAGTAGGTGTATTAAGACTATATTTTGACTGATACTATAGTGTAAATAAATATTATGTTTTTTTAAGAAAGGATATTTTACTTCTCTTGTATTCAGCAAAACAACTCTATTCTTTTCAAATATTGTGATGGGATCTTTAATGTCTAACTGAATAGGCAGATGGGATCTCAGTTTAATGTCTCAACCAAAGGATGGCACCTCCAACAATGGATCGACACCCCACCCCCCCATCCCACAATGTATTGGGAGGTCAGCCCAGATTGTGAGTTCAAAGTCCTAACTTGGGCTTTCAACCCACAACCTTCTGATTCATAGGCAAGAAGTGCTACCAGCTGTGCCAGACTGAAACTTGGACACACGCTTTGCTCAATACAGGGCTGCAACCTATTACCCAGAATTTTGAAATTGACAGCTGATGAGTTCCTGGGTGCCTTTTCAGCCCTATAATGGGCTCCCAGCCAAGTTGTGCTGAAAAAGGGAGGTGTTGACTGAAGAAGAGCCTCTTCCTTAGGAAGAAAGAATGCACAATCTTTATGGCAGTGATCATGCTACTAAGAATGACGTTTAAAGCTCTAAGCCTGTGGTCTAATACAAGGAACCTAAGAGGAGTAGAGGAGCAAAAAGATCTGGGGATTTAGATTCACAGATTTCTAAAAGTAGTCGCACAGGTAAATAAGGCTATAAAAGGGTCAATGAGGTCTTGGGCTTTATAATCCCAGTGGGATAGAACATAAAAGTGATGTTGAAATTATACAAAACCTTGGTTAGATCACATTTGGAGCATTGTGTCCAATTCTGGGCTCCACACAATAAGAAGGATATAATAGCGATGTAGGTTAACAAGGTTGATACTAGGACTGGCAGGTTACTACTTTGAGGACAGACTGGATAGGTTGGGCCTTTTTTTTGCTAGAGAAGAGATGTTTAAAGGGGTACCTTTAAATAATGATGCAACAATACTGTAGGAACATGTTGCATTCAGGTCAGCCATTTATTCAAATAATCTTTCAATGATTGTGTTGTATTTTGTATTGTGGAAAAGGGGGTTGGGGGAATGAAATGGGAAATGAAAACAATTCACACTTTTTTTCTTTCTCTTCTTTCTTAGATTGTTTTTTACATTCAGGACAGTGATGATGTCTATGGTCTGATTGAGTTTCACCCTTTTGAAGAACAGAGAATAGAGAGTAGCCCTGCAGGTCGCTTTTTGTCGCTGAGCTTTGCCAGGAAAAATGGAACTTTGGGAGTTGTGAGGTTGAACTACACTGTCCTCTACATCCCTGTTGGCGCGCTGGACCGTTCTCAAGCAAAGGATAATGTCTTAAATATTTCTAGCAAAAACAATGCCATCTTTATGTCAGGACAATCGGAGTTCAGTGTTCACTTACCAATAAGAAATGATGCATTTCTTCAAAATGGGGCAAGCTTCCTTGTACAGGTATGTCCATGTTCATAACTACATTTTGTGATCTGATGCTGATTTGACATTAACAGATTTTCAAAACGCTTTCTGTATAACACTGGAATTTAGAAATATCTATGTCAGTGATACTACCTTATTTAGTGAGAGATCAAAGTTAGTTTAGTTCCTTGTGAGACTTCTCACCTTATTTGTTTTAGAGTTGTTGGTGATCTCATTATATGGCACAAAGAAATCTGATGTTATCCCTTTGATGGATATTCAGCAGCAAAAATGCTATCTTTTAGGTTTAATTCAAAACCTTGTTCATTAATGGGAATTTTAAACCAAAATCCATTGTGCTTTGAATGAGTATAAATCAAATGGGGGCAGTTTCCAAGATGTATTGTCACCGGACCATTTATAATTTGTTGTAAATCGGCCTTGAAAGCCTCTTGCCATTGCAAAGCTATTTTGAGCAATAATAACTGGAATGTGCTGAGGAATTGAAGACAAGTAGTTTGATAAGAAGAAAAGATTGAGTTCTTCAATCTATTTCTATCCCACATCCATCCCATGACCCGTTTTGCCTTCCCCCACCTCCGCAACATCCCCTGGTTCCACCACTGCCTCTCCTCTCAGGCCACTGAAACTCTCATGAAACTCGATTATGAAAACTCCCTGCTTTTCGGCATTCCCAACTCTTCCCTCTAGAAGCTGCAGATCATCCAGAAATCTGCAGCTCATGTCCTTTACTGCACCAAGCTCTGTGACCCTATCACCCCCACCCATGCCAACTCCACTGGCTCCCCAACCCCAGAGGATAGAGTTCAAAATTCCTGTCCTCGTCTTCAAGGCACCTCCACGGCCTTGCTCCTTCCTGCCTCTGCTCCCTCCACTCAGTAGGCACCGGCCTGCTCCAAGTCCCCTGGCCAGGCCTTCAGCTTCTCCGCCCCCACAGTTTGGGACTTTATCCCACAGTCCCTTCGTCTTGCTCCCTCCTTTGCCTCCTTCAAGGCACGTATCAAGACCCTCCTCTTCGACCGTGCCTTCAGCCACCCTCCTACTCCTCCCCTCCCTGCCCTCCACCCCCCGATCCTAACTACCTGTTTGGTTCCAATTTCCTGACTGCCCAGTGCCTTGGGACGGCCTCCTGATGTGAAATAATAATAATAATCCTTGTATTTGATATAGCGCTTTTCACGTTTTCTAGACGTCCCAAAGCGCTTCACAGAATATACTGTAAAGTGAATTGACTGTATATTTGTGGTCGAACGTGGCAGCCAATTGCGCACAGCAATGTCCCACAAACAGTTGAGGATTGGAAATGACCAATTTATTATTGTTTAGTTTTTTGGAGGGATTATTATTAGGCGTGTGGAGTAAGGAAACTTGCCCAAGGTTTCGCTATGCAAATGTAATTTGTTGTTCAAGCAACTCACTGTTCTCAGGTTTATGTTACAATGCAAGTAGAACCCATTGGTATTATTTGATCACAGCTTCTGCTACTCTTTCAGTTATTGCTTTGTTTTTGTGACTCTTTGCACCACTGCCCAGATTCAAACAGCTGGAGAGAAGTTTCCATTGCCACTGATGCAGTGAATGGGCATAATTAATTAATACCCCAACGTATGTTAGAGCAGTTCATGAGTGTATATTTGATCATTTTAACTGTCTTCAGTCAAGTTTGAGCATATGGTGATTAATTAGTCATAGCAGTGTACCTTCCAATGCTGTCGCTGATTTAAATAGAGATTGCAAATTTGCAGAATTTATGATATTTTGGAATTGTTGTTCTGAAAATCTCTTATTTTGAAACCTGTTACATTCTCTTGATGGCTGAGGTTACAATCATTCAATAATAAATCACAAAATACACAGTCACTGCACTTTATAGTATATTCTGTGAAGCGCTTTGAGACATTTCAACTATGTGATAAGGCGCTATATCACAGTCAAGGATTTTAATAATCATTATTCCCACACAGGAATTGTTAAATAGTATGTTAACCAAATTCTAACAGCCCCATAATTTCAAACCTGTTTCAGGTTTCAGTTTCTATGAATGAATGACCAGTCTGTCAGATGGGATTGTTGCAGAGTTCAGGGTTACAAACAAATTTAAACTTCAGTTATGTTAGCTCAGGAATCTTTAACACAAGTAGATGTCAGTAAAACACGTGTTTTGAAGAAACTCAGAGTTCAGTTCAATCAACTGGGCTTCCCCCTATGAATCTTAAGAAGATGTCAGAAGAAATGGCTTTCTTGTTTGTAGTTTTAGGAGCTCTGTAAACATTTTGTGTAATACAGGGTGACCAAAAAGTTGTAATACCATTACAATGTCTAATAAGTCTTAAAGAATTACTGATTTTTTTTTAGATAATAGGGTAGATATCACGACTTTTTGGTCACCTTGTATTAGAATATTTACTGACAAGAATGCCAAGCTAACGGTGAGTGGAATTGCTCCGAGACGCTGTCTTTTGTTGAAGTGCGCTATATAAATGCAAGTTGTTATCTTAGCTGTATAAAGAGGATAAATAATATTTATGAAGATCAGAACAAATTAACTTTAGTGAGTATTGTTATGCAGTCAAAGGTAGCAGCTAATCTGCTCAGCAACATCCCACAACCAGCAATGTCAAATTGAATCTTTTTGGCTGAATTTGGATATCAGGAATTTTGGCCACCAAAATGGAAGAGCTATAACTATGTGAGGTCTTCAGTAAAACAAAGATTGCATGCTTCATAATAATTAATATGGATGAGATGTTAAACAAAGTTCCCATGTTGTTCAACTTCAGTAATTTCCCCAAATCACACTTTTTTTTGTTAAGTGCTGGTTTCCCAGCGCTGCAATTTGTACCTTACTTCCTCAATATGTCAGTGAAGACACTTTTATGTGATGAAAAACAAGGGTGGTATTAGATTGCATTTTCAACTCAGCTGCTGCAGTGAATAACTTGCCGAACCAAATCCTGAATTGTATCCAAGTCAAGCTGTGTGTTGGCTGCCTGTCCTGCCCTCTGCTGAACTGAAGTTTGTGACTCTCTTTGTTGAAAAATATTGCTTCTTGGCTCAGTCTTTAGAGTTTTTCATTTTCTGTTTGTCAATAAACATACAATATTTACTCACTCCCAAAAACAGTGAATCTAGTGGAGGAGAATAATGGAGGATAAACCCATTGATGTTCTGAATGAGGAGTTAATGTGTAGTACACCATGATATCTCCACTTTCTTCCTGTCTGCAATGAAACACAACTCTTATTTGTGAATGTTTAATCGCAAGCTGAACTACATGTCAATTTACTGGAATGACTTTTATTCTTGTCCAAATGGATACAGTTAGTATCTGTTTTATTATATCCATTGAAATAAAATAATTTCATGGCATTTGAAGGAAATGTTTTGGTCTTGGTAATAATTTTGGATGATTAAAGTAATTTTATTTTCCCACAAATAAATAGATGTAGTAGAAATAAACATTTTATTTTTGCAATTTATATTTAAATGCTTTTGATGCAGATGTTGCAAACTACCCAGCTCCTGTACCTATATTTTAACATCTGCTTCAATTACATGGCTTGCTGTAGTTGTACATTGTCCTGCTTCAAATCTCAGCAGCTTTTGTTTTATTTGGGTATACATTGGATACGTGTTATGGAGTATTAAGAGACTTGACCATGCCACTCTTTCTATATGATGAGGACCTGATTTTAATTAAGTTGTCAGCGAAAATTGATGAGAGGTCAGAATTAGTCCAAATGCTTTCCTGTAATGATCTAGTGAAATTTAGGGCAGATGAATATCTATAAGTGAATCTCATGAATCATCAAGTTTGTTTATCAGTCACAAATAAGATTGTGTGGGTGTCTGTTTGAAGAAAGATTGGTGGAAAATAGGGAGTTTATTTAAAAAGATGTATAGTATATTTGAAATGATATGAAACAATGCAAAGGTGGAAGCACAATAGTAATTGTCCTGAAAGCAATAAAGAAACAGAAAACGTAAGTCTAATCCTGCACCAAATCGATTCATTGCTGTTTTGTTGCTCATTATGAGAGATATGGAGAGGGCATTGTTCACAGACGTAGACATGAATATCAGTATTATTCCTGGGGACTGAATATATTATTGCCAGTCCTTGGAACTACAGGCATAAATGTCTATCAGTGTCAGTCCTTTGAGCTACCTATCAGTGTATCATGCACAATTTTATTACTCTGCTCTTTACCCACCAAAACAAACAGAAGAAAAATCTAAACAAAATTGTCAAATTGTCCCCGAATCTTGAAAGTAGTTTGTTCAAGCTACCGGAGTGGATTGCAGTTACATAGACTATGAAGTCATTTTTATTGTTTTTTTCTGCCTGTATTCTGAATAAATGTGGCAAGAGTTTTCCAGAAACTTTCAAACATTTGATTCACAGGTGCTGTTACGCCACCCGTCATTAGTTTGCTCACCTCCAATCCTCTCACTGAAGTTTGCCTTAACACAGCCTCTAGTTAGTCACATTGCCATGCATCAAATCCACAATAAACTTGTTTGTGTCTCCATGTTCTGCCAATGAGCCAGGCTGGGCTGTCGTCAGCAGTGCCATGGGGTACTGTGGACCCCCATGGTTCAGGAACTGGACTGCTGAGACCTTCACAGAGGGCTGTCTTAATTCTGACACTCTGTGGCCAAACATGTCACCTTCGAGCCAATTAAGCTTGACAGAGACCCTGTTTAACTCTCTCCCAACCCCCGGGAGGATAGTCACAAGTTGGTTCCATACTGTTCCATATTAAACTGTATTTTAGATCTATTTGTGGTTGTCTTATATTTATGTCGTCGTGTTCTAACTCACCAGAAAGTGGAAACAGTCAATTTCTGTTTACATTATCGTACTGTTAGGTCCCTCTCAATCGTCGCACTGTGCTATTAGAGAGCAACATTTTTCCAATGAAAGACTGTCGAATTCTCTTTCCTGTTTTAAGGATTGTACAGAGTATGCTAGTGCCTCATAACATCCAGTGCACCTGATATTACTTAATTTTAAATCACATAATACAAGGGTAGAGATAAAAAGCAAAAGCTTTGCATGCTGCAATTCTGAAATAAAATAAGAAATGTTGGAAATTCACAGCAGGTCAATCAGCACTTTGTTCTCATAAGAGAACGAGGTTAATGTTTCATCAGAACAATTTGTCAGTGTTGCCGAATTGGTACCTCTGCGTCGGAAGGTATTGGGTTTGGGCCCCACATCAGGTTTTAAATTCATAATCTGGATTGACACGCCAATGCAGTAGAGAGGAAATACCGCATTATTGGAGGTGCCGTTTTTCAGATGAGAAGTTAAACCAAGGTCCCATGTCTGGCTGTTTCTCTTGATTGAGATGCACATTAAAGAATCCCAAGGCATTATTTCAATTTTCATTAGAGATTGTGGAGTTCTCCAGTATTTCTTGCTTACACAAATTTGCCAAATTTCAGATTATGTGATAACATTGTATTAGTGTTTGTGAATCATTGCTAAAGCAGATTTTATCTACAACACAGTGGTCTCAAAAGACATTCGCAGGATCTAATGTATAGAGGTTGTGTATTTTGTAGCCGATCACAGAAGCTGATTTATACGCAGCATTTTCTTACAAACAGTCATGAGGTTTACAGCCTTTTGCAAAAAAAATCTGGGTGATTGTTGAGGACAGTTAGCCAGACTGAATTCAAGTTAACAACCAATTATAAGGATTACATGTGCTTTAATTATTAATTGCATAATTAAGCATTTGTAATTGTCTTTACATATGGTTTGGACCCTCCTTGTGGGAAGCCTATTTTATCATGGATATGGTTCCATATTCCTGCCCAAACATATGCACTTTTCAGCAGGAGCAGAAACACTGATGATTTGTTCCTGTCCTCCATATGGGAACAATGATTTCATTTTAGGACGTCAATTGCTGACCCATCTGAAATGAGCTAAATTGGCCAGGAGTAATTTAGCCAGGCTGTGATTTTATCCATTGATGCATTAAGGAAGGCTTTGTTCTGATTTTCTTTAAGAATACTCTGAGACCTTTAGACAGAATCATTTAACTCTTACAAGCCTATGGTATTTGTTCCAGCTGGATACAGTGGAGTTGGTGAACATTTTTCCTTTGATTCCATCGGTGAGTCCTCGGCTGGGTGACATTCTGAACATCTCGCTGACAATCACTCCCGATTTAGCCAATGGTGAGATTGGATTTACCAGCAATGAGACTCTTTTTGTTTCTGAACCAGAGAATTCTTCTGATAACCAGGTAAATGTGAATCACATGAACTGCAAGTTAACATTTGTGCCAGAAGATTTCTGCTCATATCAACTGCAAGTTAGATAAATAAAAGGCTCATTAATGTTTGCCCCAAATGTGTGTTTGAAAATGGATTCCTTTTTTTCAAATAAAATCCCTGTAGTTTTAAATTATTTTATAAAAATAATATAAACTAAATTATGGCATTCACTGCGCCATTGCAATTCATTCAGATATAATCTGATCAGGCTGCATTTCCGATGGAAAAAAATGATCTCTGGTCTGCTCAACCATAGAACTTTATGGCACAGAAACAGACTATTTATCCCATCAATTCTACAATATGTGTTTTCTCTACATGAGCCACCTATTCTAATCCATTTCTTTTGCTTGCTGTCCATACCCTTTAATGTTCCCCTTTTCAAGCTGGTAATTTGCAATTTCCAGCAGCCTGGTGAGATTGTCTGGTCCAAGGAAGTAATAAACACATTCCAAATATAACATATGTTCACCGAGTTGTGCTCCAACAGACCTGACATTTCTTGTGCAGTGTTTCTACAAACTGACTGACTCTAAGAAACACCACTAGGAATATAACACCACAAGGAATACATTTCTACACATCCAAACACATAAGACGGTGGAACTCCACGCAGTTTAGTCACCTTCTGTTACAATTTGGAGGGTATTCAGGAAATTTTCTTAGATTGAGACATGTACACAGTTTACAGTCTGCTATCAGTCTGTGCCTTTTAATGAACTAAAACTGTATCATCTGATTACTCGCATGGCTTTTCACACAGCATGCCTTTAACAGGATTTAACAATATGATTCTCGGTAATTAATTTATTATCACACAGTCTCCAGTATTGATCGGAGCTGCAAGGTTTGCAGAGAATACCAGACTTAACATTTCAAGGATGATCCTTCATTCAAAATGTCATAAGATAACATTTTCACTTTTTACAGTGAAATTTTCATATTTCTTTTAGAAAGTATTTGGACGTGTCTCTTTCTTCCAGTAGTGGTCCTGCTGTCTGTTTGCCTCTGCAGCTTTAGTTTTGAGATTCAAGTGACAATGGCATAAATATAACAACCTTGGACGAAATAAAGCAAGGAAATCTTACTATTATGTCTTATGTGACATAACAGCTAGCCTTTTCACTCAACACTGTGTGGGTAATCAAGATCCATGGGACTCACATCAATGAAGCAGAATGCAAAACACCACCTATATCCAAGAAATCACAAAAAGCTTGAAGCCCAAAAGTTTATTATTTTGATTAAAAAACACCTTTCCAAAAATACTATTTGATCTTTACATGTGGTTCTGTTTCCCAGGTTTCTATTGCCTTACAACGAGATGGGACTGATGGCCTGGCAGCAGTGTACTGGAGTTTGTCACCCACGGGGCTCAATCGTGGAAATGTCACCAGTGATGACCTTGGCCCATTCAGTGGTTCTGTCACATTCTTCTCCGGCCAGAGCAGTGCTGCAGTGAACATTGTGGTGAAACCAGACGATTTGCCTGAAACAAATGAGACCATGATAATTTCATTGGATAGGTATGCTTTTTTACTGTGTATTTTTGAGATTTTTTAAACTAACACACTTGCTATTTTTCCAGTCAGTTGTTCAAATGTGATAAACTGATTAAATGGGTGTCCACTTCTGACATTATAACTATCAGAATTTTATTTCTATTTGACACAGCTTAACTTTATGCTGATCATGAGTGAATTAGTCCATTTTTAGCCGTAGCATTTGTTTCAGTGATTCAAAAAGAGTTCTCAATTGTATCAAAACTAAAAAANGTTAATCATTTCAAGCAGCAAATGTTCAATTAATTCTGACAAGTAGTATTAATTCTAAAATGACTGAAAGTGCTGCAAATTTCAAGATAGTTTGGAGACCCGAAAAGTTATTTGATTTTCTTATATCAGTAGCTGTGTTTGTTGCCTAAAACATTTATCAGCTTTACTGGCATCCCATTTATTTCCTTGCTAAGTATTTTCTATGACGTGCTCTACCACTGTTTTTCCTGTTGAATGCCATCAAAGATGTTTGAATGATAGATTTCTGGGTTTAGTTTGATAGATATACATTCCTTTTTAATAATGATACATCCTTTTCCATTTAGCTCACTATCTCAGACTTTGGTGCAGTGTGAATTGAGCATGAATCCTCACCATGTAATCCTGTTCTTTAGCTGTGAGTTCCATCTAGAAACTTATTGACTGTTAATACCACAGTTTTGTACAGAAATAGCGTTTGACACTGGAGAAAAGCTACTAAGATGGTCTACTTGGATGTTGTGAATGAAAAAGAAATACTATTTTCTTGAAGGTGTTTTAGTTGATAGCTTCTGAGCAATACTTATGCTTACAAAATTGAATTATGAATATAACACCTCTTTCTTTAAGAACAATGCATCGTCCCATTTTTTAGAAGGATTTCCCCATTCCTCTCCATATGTTGTATTCCGACTCAGAAGGACAATAAAGCACTGTCTGCAGTTGCTAGTCTGTAAAAGACCAATAGATTTCTAGGAGAACTGCCCAAAGTGACATTGAGACTTTGAGCTCATCGTCTGGGCTGGCACTTGTAGTACTGGAGGAGTGCTGCATTGTGACAGGTGGCACCACTCAGATAAGATGTTGAACCAAGGTCCTGGCTGCCTGTTCATGCGGATGTTAAAGATCCCATGTCACTGTTCAAAAAGGAACATGATAGGATTAGTTTACTGTTTAAACATTATTTGCTGAATTACTACAATTGGTTCATACATGAGGGAGAAGGGAATGGAGGAGTATAAGAGAGGGGAAGAGAAGGGGTAGAGGCTCGTGTGGAGAATAAGCACTGGTATGGCCCAGTTGGGTCAAATGACCTCTTTCCATGTTGTATGTAATCTTGGCACAAAGTACCGTGAATAGACTTTGACATTCTCGCTGGTCCAGGGACCATGCAATTAAATGGAAACTACCAAACCTCTTGATGGCATTTGTCAACAGAGCAAACAGGGCTTTCATAATGTGACTATTACTAGATGCAACAAAATAAGAAAGTCTTTTACTCAGTTTTCTGAAACATCTTCAAAATTAGTCTTATTCCCTCCTACTCTGACTGTCTGCAGGGTAGAGACAGAAAGATTTGTGGTGTACTTTGGGTAAGTAGAGTGAGTTGTGCTCTGCTCTTGTTGTGAACCATCATGCTGGTTTTATGTTTCAGTTTTTGGAAACTGACTTTTCATTCTGTTTTCTTCAGTGCTTCATGTGCCCTATATTACTGTACTGTTGCATGCAGCATGATTGAAATCAAGGAGCATGATTAAATTGGTGCTGAGTGAGTGCCTTCATTGTATAAGATTAATTAACCGATTAAACTTACTTTTTTCATTGTAATTTATATATTTTTTCCATACTTCATTCATTTTGTTTGTAATGAACAAAGCAAAGTTACTAGCAATTTAACGAAGAGTTGTTCACCCACTGCTATTTTATTCTAGGTAACTAACTTGGCTTTACCCAATTGACATAATTTGAACCAGATGCACAACTTTTTAAAGTAAAAAGTAAACGTAAAAGTTTAAAAGTTTAAAGTAAAGAATGTTTTTTTTCAGTTATTTGCTTATTCTTTGATATGAATCAAAGGGTGCTGAAATTGACACACTGTATAGTAGACTGATTTAATACAATATATTATATCACAAAAATACACAAAATATATCACAAAATATTCGTTACAATATAATGTATGCTTCACAATATATTCTGTGAAATGCTTTGAGGTGTCTTATCGATATGATGAGGTGTTACATCAAACAGAAGGATTATTTTGTTTAAAAGTTTTAAACAGACCACATAAAATGACCAATAAAATAATTAAGCATCCCACTGTATCTCTTGGGGACAGTTCTAAATAGTCATTCCTTGGATCCCAACGGTAAATAAACTCCAAAATATTCATATTAAAATGTAATTTGTACAGTACCAATAAAAACATATTTCAAAAGAATCTTTTTCATGTAATATCGTTGTTTTGGTAAAGATTGCAGCAAATTGTATCTTCTAAATTGTGTTTTGTCTGCAGAACTAACCTGGATAATCAAGTTCTGAAATCAGGATTTACCAGCAGAGAAATAATTATTTTACAAAATGATGATCCAGGTGGAATCTTTGAGTTCTCCCCACAGACTAGAGGACCTTATTTAGTTCAGGTAAGTACAGGCGAGACTGTTTCAAATGAAGATCCAGTTGTAAGATTTTAAACAGTTATATTGATTGTCCAATTGTTATATATGTCATTTGAGAGTTATTCTGTATGCTAAACCAAGGTCCTGTCTGCTGTCCAGGTGGACAATAAAAATCCATGGCACAATTTGAAGAGAAGGGAGTTTCTCCCGGTGTCCTGGCCAACAATTCCTCAGAAGATCGGTCATTCAATTCATTGGTTATTTGCGGAATGTTACTTTGCACAAATCAACCACCCTTCCATCCCCTACCCTCTATCTCTCTTGATTCCAACCCGTAGCTTGGGTACAAACGATTAACCATCCAGCTCCTTGAGATGTCCTCCCAATGTGAAAAGTGCTGTATAAATGTAATTTTTGTTGAGGTTGTTATGTGGTTTTGTCTCGTCTTGGCTCTTGCCAACCTGTGCCATTATTCTCCGGAAATAGGTAAGCAGAATGCGTCTTCCCAGGATACATTACACATTCCATTGCAGATTAAGAGAAATGTCCATGTTTTGGTGGCATACATATGTGGAACTTTCAGTCTTGTTTGGATACTGTTAAGCATGATGCCACATTCTGATTCAATGACTCCATTACTTTATATAGAGAATTATCCGAGAACCAGTGCCAATTTTTAGAAATTTCATTTACATGTAAGAATAAAATGCAGAATTTAGAGAGACTGGGATCTGGGCTTTTGTTGAAGGGAGGGATAGTGAAATGATTTCTGAATACTATATGGAGTCTTGTAGCTCAGTGGTTAGTTCACTTGCCTCTCAAGCGAGAGACCTGGGTTTGAATGTTGGACAAGCGTCCTTATTCCACACACTCTGTTTACCTAGCAGTAAGTAGGAACCAAGTTGTCAGTTGATTGGCAGATCGACTGGGGTAATAATTACATTTAAAAAATTCTAAAAATAATAACAAATTGGCTATTTCAATCCATGACTGTTTGTGGCACACTGCTGTGAGCAATTGGCTGCCGCATTTCGTCCACAAAATATACGGTCAATTCACTTTATATTCTGTGAAGCTCTTTGAGACATCTCGAAGACATTGCGAGGATTATTATCATTATATGTGGTTCATTTCTGGTTTATGCTCGTGACAGACCAGCCAACTTGGCTCATTGGCAGGACTCTGAAGACCAAATTGTGGGCAGAGAATTGATTGCCTTGTCTTAAAAGTGATCGTGATCTGCATTATTCAGGATCCTACCACACCATCAATTCCTACTTTTCTTAGAAAATGTAGTCATTAACTAGTGATTAGCTTAGATATGTTCTTTAATTTTAACAGATCATAAACTTTTTTTTTAGGAAGGTGTTGCTTTTGAATTGAAGATTGTTCGATACCGTGGGGCATTTCTGAAGCAGTTTATACGCTATAGTGTGGAACCAAGTGAAACTTTTGAGTTTTATGGAAATACAGGGATTTTGAAATTTGATCCTGGTGAAAGGGAGATTGTAATAACACTGCTAGCAAGAGAAGATGGAATACCAGAGGTAACATTTTGTGTAACAATTAACCAGTTATATATATGTTTGCCTGTAATGTAGTTCATTGTTCACACATTCTAGAAATAATTAACACATCTATATGTTCAAGTGGTGAGATTTCTTTAGTTTTAGCTTTCTTGAGATTCCTTTAAATTACTCTTTGTTTTTAAAACAAACTATTGATTCAGTTTATAGGACAGATTCTGTTATCTTCTGTAAAGAGGCATTGTGTTGTAATATGGGCAAAGAATAAATTTGGTGACTACTGTGACCATCTAGGTAGCTTCATGCTTGAAGTACTTTGTAAAATGCCTTCGGCCATGCTCCCACCCTTCCTACCCTCCACCCTCTTGATTGCAACCCCCAGCTTGGGTGCATACCCTTAACTGTCCAGTGCCCTGAGACGTTCCCATTGTGAAAGGAGCTGTATAAATGTAATTTTGGTGGTGTTGCTGTTAAAATAAAGATAAATTAGGTTGGGGGAGGGTCAGTAACTATTTTGAAGAAACTTGAATACCTGCTAATTGTTATTACTTTCAGACAAATAGTTAATAACTTGGTGGAATGGTTTTAGAATGAGTATAATCTGGACAAGCAGTATGACAAATTATTTGGAAATTTGATGCTTTGTCAAAGTTCACCAAAGTCCAAAGAATAATTACTGCCAAACTAATACGCAGAGAAGGGGAGAAATGGACACACAAAAGTGTTAAGTAGGGGAACAATCAGCTCATGTTGTTGTACCTCATTGCCAGTATTACTTTTGGATTTAAAGGTATACCCAGCAAGTGAAAATATTGATATGATGGTTAAAGGAATATGGTTAAGGGAACATGATTGAGAGTAGAAGATATCCATCGGATTCATCCAAAGAATCTGTCTTTACCAATGATAAATCTGTGATCCTGAGATAATCTGTACTTGAACTCCAAACATCATAGGGCTGCCCTCAGTGCAGTATCGAATATGAGACCAATGTAGTGTGACTTCAGAATCCAATGCTAGGAGCTCTGAAGAGAAATAAAGGGAGGATTAAGTGGGAAGCAGAGCTGTAAATTAAAACAAGTGAACAATTACATTATTAAGGTAGAGTAAGGAAGGCAGAAAGAAGTTACATTCCTATGAAGAATGAGAAAGTCAACATGAGAAACAAACTGTACAAAGGTCATAACCAATTTAAACTCCAAATAAAAATATTTTAAAAGATTCCAGCAAACAAAGTACACGGAGGATTGGAAGTTTATGGAAGAAGCCTTTGAGATGAATTGTGAGGGAAAAACTATTTCAGATGTCACAGTGAACATAGAATAATAACAGTATAAAGTTTTCCTTTGATCTGATCCCCTACTTGTTCTCAGTTGGAAGAATACTTTTCTGCAAAGCTCAGCAGTCACGGTTCACCACCAAGTAAGTTGGGAGCTGCTACAGAAGTCAACATTACAGTTCTGAAGAATGATGATCCCCATGGTTTGATACAATTCAGCACCCCAGAATTCACCAGGAATCTAAATGAAAGTAAGGGTGACGCGGTATACACAGGTAAGAGCAACCAACAGAATCAGTGTGTTTTGTGGAGGGGTTTGAGGGGGAAGAGAAGAATCGTGGCAGTAGTTTCTGCCAGCTCCTTTCAAAATTGCACGATTAACAAATTTGAATTACAGAACAATTGTCATGTTGTAATCTTTTAGCCATGAACTAATATATTTCGGGTCAATGCATCACGTTTTTGTTAAAACAAGGGACAAGAACAATTGGTGCTTTCAGTTAGTCTGCATTTGACAAATGCTTGGAGTGTGCACTCATGTCAAGGATGGATGACTTCTCTATGAAAGGTCACTGTAAAGCAAATTGAGTTCAAACAGTTGCAGTCCACTTCTCAAGAGAGGTCCAGCACATCCCATGTGGGCTATTAGCAACCTGCAATGTATATCTGAGAGATCCCAGTACTCCGGTCATGTGTAAAGTATATTTTAAAAAAGTGAATTCTTTATTCTGGTTTATTTCTTGAAAGAAAGTACTTAATGTGCTGGTTATATCATGTTTTGTTTGAGGAATAAAAAAAGCATATTTTCAAAATAATTACGCTTATCAGTCCTCAAGCACAAATAAATATCCCATTTTAAATATGTAAGAAATATTTGTTAGTGTTAATGCTCAGTAAATATTACACCCAGACAGTAAAATTGAATTTAAAGCAATACTCCTGGTTATTGTTGCAAAACCATCAATAATTTTCTAAATCTATATTGGTTCAACTAAAACCCTTCCAAACATCGCAAATACTGTTTAAACAATTTTTGAAAAAAAATAACAGTGACAGAGGTTTATTTCATAATGATTGGATTTCGAAATGGCTGCTGTGCTGACTCTCAAGTCCAAATATATAAAGGTACTGAACATGCAACTTGCAATACTGAGCTTCTGTGTCCTTTGTTTGAGGGTACGGTGAGCACTGACAGCCTTCATTATATGGCTGAATAAGAGCAATGTCACAGATCATGAATGTAGGAGCAAGGGTGGATCATTTGACCTGTTGAGCCTGCTCCACTATTTTATTAGATCATGGCTGATCTGCAATTTAATACCGTATCCTTGATTCCCTGCCTAACAAATTAAGGTGCTATTGTGTGCAATTTTGCAACAGCTTATCTCCAAACAGCTATAGTTAATTGAACATTTTTCTTTAATTTTAACAGCTATCTTCCCAGTAATTCGTGACCAAGGCTCTTTTGGCAATGTTAGTGTTTTTTGGATTATTGATCCCATTTTTACTGAAGATGTTTACCCAGTCCAAGGTATGGTCTCCTTTAACAGCGCCGAATCTTCAAAAAACATTACTCTTCAGTCCCTACCTGACGAAGTAAGTATCGGTACTTCCTAATTCAATACTTTCTAAGCCAAATTAAAGAGAATGTCTTTCCTCTAGAATGAGTAAAGCTCTTTTAATGCAAGCTGCTTAAGGTTTAGATTGAACAATATCATTAAAAATGTCAATGTCCTGTATAGTTGGGGATGACTGTTTACATAGAAATGATCAATCTTTCTGAATATCTTAAAATGATTAAGCCAATTCTTGTAAAATTACATTTATAATAATAATAATAATCCTTGCATTTGATATAGCGCTTTTCACGTCTTCTCGACGTCTCAAAGTGCTTCACAGAATAGACTGTAAAGTGAATTGACCGTATATTTGTGGGCGAAACGCAGCAGCCAATTGCACACAGCAATGTCCCACAAACAGTCGTGGATTGAAAATGTATTGTGAAGTGGATGGACTGTATATTTTGTGGGCGAAATGTGGCAGGCAAATGTGCACAGCAGTGTGCCACAAACAGTCGTGGATTGAGTGAGGCATTATTACCCCCGGAAAGCGCTCCACCAATCGACTAACAGCTGGGTTCTTACTTTCTGCTAGGTAAACAGAGGCATGAGGAGTAAGGAAATTTGCCTAAGATTTCGACCCGCTCGGGAATTGAACCTGGGTCCTCTCGCTTCGAGGCGAGCGCTCTAACCACTATGTTATGGGAGTCCATAATAACAAATAGGAAATGGAAATCAATTTTATTGTACATCTAGGTATAAATCTCAATTTGAGGGTCCAATATGATTCAATGCTGTAAATGAAATGGATTTTATGATGTAACAAATGCCACAATCTATATAGAGTATTGGCTGACTGTTTATGAAAGTCACCTGGAATGTATTTCATTATAGTCACAGAGTACACCAAGAACATTAAGGCTTGTGTCTGCAGGAAACGTAATGATCGTCTGGTATTAAAATATTCTCATGAGTGTTTTGTGGTTGATTTTTTTAAAGAAGTACAGCTAGTGGCGTGAAAACTAACTTTACATAAACTATGAAACTCCAATTTTAATTCACTTTGTTATCTTTGTAATCGTTACGCAGATTCCTGAGGATATGGAAACCTTCACAATAACTCTTTTCAATGCTACTGGAGGTGCCAGGATTGGAAATGCATTTAACGCAACTCTTCACATTAATAAAAATGATGACCCGATTTATTTTAAAGGTTGGCTGTACTTTTTATGTTTTAATACACATTTGATAATGGAGTTTTCTTCTTATATTACAGCAATCTATTTTTTAATTCTAGACAAAACAAATTGATAGAAGTAGTTAGTGAGGTGGATTATGATCCTAATCTTTGTCCTTTTCTTTCTTTGGAACACAGATTTTGAATTCAACTCAGGCAGATGTAATAGTAGGGTTGTTTATCTGGTAACTATTCCTATATGAATTGAGTCAAACAGTCTCAACAAAATTACCAGTGGGTACGGGATGATAATGTAGAGGGGTTTGGGGGATGAGGAAAGAAAAGCTGGTTTCTTGTATATTCTGTCTGCTGGGTGAAACTGCCACATTTTCCAACTGTTATGATGACTTCAGCATGGAATTCACACATTTTGGGTGTTCTCATTATATTAACCACTCTTGGCATTATTTGTACTTCTTTCTGCTTATCACTAAATTTACCTAGTTTGTGAACACTTACAGTGATTTTCTTCTCAGCACACAAAAGCAAGGTTAGTAAATTTACAGATAGTCAGTGATTGATAGTCTCCGCCTATTACAAATGAATCACTGAAATGTAATTTGTGTCAGTGTGTGTAATTAGTCTACCACAAGACTTGCAAACGTTTTGCAAACACGTTAGCTTGTTTAAAATTTCTAAGACTATGAATAATGACAGTATAGTATATTTAATTTAAGACATTCTATATAAAAAAAGTGTTTACGTCAGAGATCTTACTCTTTACTGAAATGGGTTTTACCTGTGCAGGGAATTCAAAATAAATTTTGAATCTGTTTAAAAATCAGAAACCAGAGATTGCATTGAAAAAGCTTGTATAAAAAATCTTTATGTAATTTCCATTGGGACTTAACCAAAGGCATTTCTGTAAAAGTATTGTGAATATAAGACCAAACAACTGTGTTGACTGTTAAACTGTTCAGGTCAGTGCTGTTTGCTGCTGTTATTGTTCAGAAGCAATTCTGATTATCTTAGAATAAATAAAATTTGATTGTTTGTTTTGAGACGCTATGCTGTGTGGAGGGCACAACGTAAGTGCAAGTTGTTGTTGTGTAAGTATGAATGAGATTCAAGCACTTACCAATAATAATTACAATAATAATAATCTTTATATTTGGTATAGCGTCTTACCTATAGGCACAACTTCTGAAGGAGATCCCAAAGTGCTACACAGGATATACTGTAAAGTGGAGTGTCTGTGTGTTCTGTGGGTGAATGCAGCAGCAAATATGTACACAGCAATGTCCCACAACAACAACTTGCATTTACGTAGCGCCCTTCATGATGGATGGCGTCTCAGAGCGCATAGTTCTATTGCTGGAGCATATTCTGTACGATCCTTTAAATGTGTTGCAGATTTTAAAAATTATGCTTTAAAGAATAAAAATAAAATGTTCTGGAAAGAAAAAACTTGTATATGAATGCAGTGATTTTATCCTTTTCCAATGTATCTCAGATTTAAGTAATTTAAAAATCAAAAGCAATGGAATTCAGTCCCGACAGTATATCGGAATGATGAAAAACAGGTGACAGCAAATCTCAGGGAAACAAAATCTTGCAAATCACAGTCTACCCCAAAAGTTGTTGAAAGAATAGTATTTATTATTTTAGTTTGAAACTTTCAGTAATGCTTGTCAGTAGGAACATGATACCAAGGTGAGTGTGAAGTTGGAACTGATGAAATGACTGTCAGTCAACATTGAAGAATAGACCTGTTAATCAAAACTGAAAAGGGGGAAGATAAAGGAGTAAATGTTCCATCCCACGGTCCCTTAAATGTGATCAACATATTTTACACTAAATATTTTTAGAATAAAAGAAGTCTGACCTTGATCTCTCCCCTGTTTAATTTTAGAGCCAATTACAATAAGAGTTCAAGAAGGAACAGTTGCCAATTTCACAGTTGTTAGAAATGGAACCACTGACTTTGTGGCTACTGTTGTTTATTATGTTGAGAATGGAGGCACCTCCAACAGTGAAGGAGACTTTCTTCCTTTGAGTGGGAACAATACACTGATGTTTGACATAGGAGAAGAAACTAAGACTGTTTCTGTTGTTATTAATGACGATGACAATCCTGAGACCGATGAAACATTCTACATTGAGCTGCTTAATTCTACAGGTAATGCCTTGAAGGCAGAAGGTTATCATTACTAGTAACATTTGTCATTTTATTCATAACTTTCAGGACATTTTCGATTTTCAGAACAACAAAAGCTGTATTGCAGCAAAATGCATTTCCGTTAGTTTTGTGTATTTAAGTGATTAAATTTTGGCTCATATTTGATAGCAATATTCTTTTTACAATAGCTTTTTATGATTATTTTACTATTTTTAATATTAACTATATTTGTATGATTGATCAAAACACCAAATTAACTTAGCACCCTGTGCTGTAGATACTGAGACAAATGGTGAGTTTTCTTTACTATCACAGGCGATACTGTTGTTTATGGGGCCATAAGAGCCACAGTTATAATTGAAGCAAATGATGATCCTAATGGAATCTTTTCACTGGAACCTCTTGAAAAATCTGTACAAGAGGGTGACAGCAACAATTTTATGTAAGTAACTTCATCCAGCAGTTTTTAAAAAAAAGTCCATCAAGATTTAATTTCAGATCAGGGAAAAAGCCTTATTGAACTTTAAAATACCTGGTGTCCTCACACAATGCTTCTTCTGTGCAAACACCCCCTATTTTTGTACGTGTTACCATTCATTCCCATACGTTGTAATCAGCGTGATGAATCAAAGTCCTCTGACTCCTCTCATCCTCTTCCCTTGAGGAAAAGCCCATTATTTCTGCTCAACTACTTTCCCACAAAGAGCACCTGAGATCAGTGGAGTCCTGTAGCTCAGTGGTTAGAGAACTTGCCTTGCAAGCGAGAGACCTGAGTTCAATTCCAGGCAGGGCGAAACCTTGGGCAAGTTTCCTTACTCCACACACCTGATAATAATCCCTCCAAAACAAAACAATAATAAATTGGTCATTTTCAATCTACGACTGTTTGTGGGACATCGCTGTGCGCAATTGGCTGCTGCGTTCGCCCACAACTATACAGTCAATTCACTTTACAGTGTGTTCTGTGAAGCGCTTTGGGACGTCCTCCCGACGTGAAAAGCGCTATATCAAATGCAAGGATTATTATTATTATTAAATGGAGAATTGTGGGTGCAACCATGCTACTCTACGTCACAGTACACCTATATTCTATCTATTTAGAAACTATTTTCATATATACTTCCTTACCATGTTGGTTGGCTTGGCTGAAAGGAATTTTTTTAAAAAACAAGTTGTATCAGAGAAATGGTATATTTACTTCATAATGAATAATAATTTGTTGTCCCTTGCATTTTAAAATGTAATGTATAATATTCAATCCAACATTTTGAGCACACCTTTTCTTTGTGTTTTTGAACAGTATGTTTGTTTCAGCTGTTTGGTTATTTTTAATTCAGTTAATTCACAACCACTGAAGCAACTTATACAAACCCGAAGTCTCAGTAAGAATTTAATAGATAATAATAATAGTGCTTGCATTTGATATAGCGCCTTATCATGTCTAGACGTCACAAAGCGCTTCACGGAATTTACTGTAAAGTGAATTGACTGTATATTTGTGGGCAGAACACGGCAGACAATTGCGCACAGCAGTGTTCCACAAACAGTCGTGAATTGAGTGATCATTTTATTTAGGTATTATGATCCGCAGAAAAAGTGATCCGCCAGTCGACTAACAACCGGGTTCCTACTTACTGTTAGGTAAACAGATGCGTGTGGAGTAAGGAAACTTGCCCAACATTTCTCCCTGCTGGGAATCAAACCCAGGTCCCTTGCTTGCAAGGCGAGTGCTCTAACCACTGAACTACAGGACACAATGTAGCCACAATGAATACCTTATTTAGATTGTGTTCTTTTCTGTTGTTCTTTGTCATTTTACATGCAGGATTGTGAGACAGAGAGGGAAGTTTGGCAATGTTTCTGTTTCCTGGCACTTATTTGTGAATGAATCTTTCTTGAAACCTGGGCAAGAGTTTATAGAAACATGTGGTACTTTGCTGTTTGCAAATGGAGAACAATCCCTTCCTATAACACTCCATGCACTTGCTGATGGGATTCCAGAGTTTAATGAAATATATACTCTGAGGCTGCTAAATGTGTCAGGTATGTGCATGTGGCAAGCCATAGTTAAATAAACAATCTGTTTTATTGTCCTTTGCAAAGATAATGCAGTAGATGTTTGTTAGGACACTTTCTGATATAACGATAACCTCTTACATGTCTTAAATTATTCATTATTTCCTGTTTTACAAAAAATATATAAAATGCTCTGTTTGAAATATGCCTCTTGATGTGACTTGAAAAGATCAGAGATAATAGGTTTTGTCAAAAAGTAAAATAAGTAGACCTAAAATTCTCGGGCAATACTAGTTAAAATTTAGCAGTTCTTCAATAAAGGAAAAGCTTTAGTTTACTCTTTGAACTCTAACTTCTGAGACATGCCATCTCTTATTGTAGTGTGTTTGAAAGATTTTCTTTAAGAAAAATGTTATCTCAGTTCTTGACAAGAATAGTTAGCATAGAACTGTGTTTAAACCTTTATATAGCTGGTATCTATTTAGTGAAATAATTCCTTAAAACTAATAGAACTTTCATTTAAATTTATAGGTGGCAGTCCTGGTCCTGGTGGTGAACTAGCAAACACTAGCTTGAGTGTCAATGTTGTGATTCCGTTTAATGACGATCCTTTTGGAGTCTTTGTCCTGAACACAGAGAGCCAAGACAGGGAAATAGCAGAAGATGTGCTTTCAATTGATGATATTTCCTATATTACAAATTTCACCATTTTGCGACAGAAGGGTACATTTGGGGATGTCCGAGTTGGATGGGAAATACTATCCAGTGCATTCAGATATGGACTCCCTCAAATGGTGGACTTTATACTGGTTGGAACATTTCCTAGTGATGTTGAACTAAGACCTCATGCAAGGCGTCACCACACAGGTACTGACGTTCTGTACTTTAGTGGAGCAGAAGATGCTTATGGAACTGTTAGTCCAGAATATCATCCAAGAATAAATTATATATTTACAAATTTCACATTGTCTGCCTGGGTGATACCTAATCCCTATACAGATGGGTTTATCATTGCGAAGACAAAGAGCAATGGCACCATTTTCTATGCATTGAAGATGATAATCAATGAATCGCATGTGTCCATTGTGTTTTACTATACTTTGTTTGGGTCAAATGTTACACATGCTAGCATGGTAACAGCTTTGAAATATATTGAAGAAAATACTTGGATTCACATTATAATCATAGTGGACGATGGAATTCTTGACTTTTATCTGGATGGGATCTTGCTTCCTGATGGTACCAAGCATTTAAAAGCAAAGGTGATTGCAGATGGTAAGTGCTATAAAAATGTGGATTGGATATAAATTTAGACTTAAAATAAGAGCCACAATTGACATTCAAACCATAATTCTCTGATTAGAAAGCAGATACTATGTTTTGTCTTATTGCTGGACCCTCATTCTGCCATGGTTTCAAATGATCTCCCTCAGGCTGTCTAATCAATAACTCCTCTAACAAGAGAACCCACATTTTTGATACCTCTAGCTTCAAATATTGACTTGGACATTAAGCTGAATGAAAGGCTAGTCATTGAATAAAGGTAAATGAATTGCCTTATGCCCATCCATAATTATCCATAAGCACAGTTGTTTCAAAGTTGTGTTTATGTTCCTGGATATTCATAGAGACCAACAGTGTGAAAAACAACAGAGCAAACGTCTCCATGCTGCCAGGAAATGTGGTTGCAGGAGAAAAGTATGCCGTTTTAGTGCTTTGCCTCTGGATTACTAACCAAATCTAGTACTCATTGACTAGAGTGTTACTTTGCCATAGTTTTAATTGAACTCTATCCAATTATTTAGTTCAATACTCTGACTCAGAACTCTAATTTCTGTCATCAGCACCCACAGTTTCAAAGTCTAAAAATCTCAACAGCAATGAGCCAAATATAGTGATAATTTTCTCGAATTGTTTAAATTTGCACTGAATATGGATGGCGTGAATAATTTTTTAGTTCCTAATTTAACACTAATAATAACATTGAAATGTACATCTAAACGTTTAACAGTTCTATTTCTATATGCTAAAGAAATAATGTCACACATCTCCAGGCCCTGGTGTTATAACTGTTGGAGCAGATGCCGAAGGCCAGAATAGATTCACGGGACTAATGCAGGATTTGAGAATGTATGTCCGTAAACTGAGCCGAGCAGAAATCCATGAAATTCATGCCACACCAGCAAAGCTAGACCTGCAGCCAATATCAGGATACCTGGAGTATAGACAGGGAGAAAGAAAGAAGTCGTTTATTGTCGCAGCAAGAGATGACAGTGAAGAGGAAGGAGAGGAGTTTTTCACATTAAAGCTAACAATGGCTTATGGTGGAGCCAGAATATTACAGGACGGGGCCATAGCGAGGCTGCGGATACAAAAAAGTGATGGTGCCAATGGATTGTTCGGCTTCACTGGAACTTGCATTCCACAGGTAAAATTGTTCATTCAGCCATATATGGATGGCATTAAATGTCTGGAAATTTGCTTTTGACAATATTCACGTGAAACTAAATCCTGCTACAGTAGGCAGTCTTCTTTAAGTACAAGAGATTTTGAAATGCACTATTTTGCATGATGTAGTTCTATGTATTCTTCTTCTGGGAACCCCATGTACCTCATGCAAACATACAAAACCTCTGCCATGACTCTGCCTGATTTTCTTTTCCTATGCCAGGGCGCTGAGGTCACTTGCAGGCTTTTCCTTTCTGTCTCGTGACTTACTGGTCTGCAATAGTCAGATGTTTCACCTTCTAGGCAACAGAGGGTCTCTTTCAGTGCTTATTGTATAGCACTTCTGCAACTCATGAAGTTGGGTTAAGGGTTGTTATTTTAGATGGCTACCTTCCTTTCGTGAATCACAAAGAAAATTGTCTGCTTTCTTCTCGAATCAACACTCAGTTTGTTTGTGCTTGTGATTATTTCTGTCTATTGAACATGTCAACAAATCTTTATTGTTTTCTTTTTCTGAAGACTTCTGCTGAAGGGTCTACAATATCGTGTATTGTGGAAAGAACAAGAGGAGCCCTGGACTACGTCTATGTGAATTATAATATCATGCAGATCGATTCTGACAGCGGCAATGTCACTGATTTTGCCAACTCCAGTGGAACCATCACTTTCCCTCCTTGGCAAAGATCAGAGGTAATATTATGAACTAACCATCCAATATTTACAACAGGAGAGCTGCAATGGCTCTGTATTTTAGAGCATTAATATGGGCATTAGTGGGATTTGGGGCAATGGATTTGACCCCACACTGAAGTTTCTAAAGACATCTTCTTTGGGAAATTACTGAGAAAAGGTCAGATCCCATTCACTCTCCCGACTGATTTTCCCATGCTAGCCAAGGATACTGATGCCAGTTGGAGCCACTCCAATTGATGCCATGGATGAGATTAGCTAACCCAGCAAAGACTGGGGAAACAGATTTGTAGTTTAGACCTGCATGGCTCAGTTTCATTCCAGGAAGTGAATTTACCAAATGACCCATTACCAAATGGGAGAGAGAGGTGAGGAGCTCTAATGACATGTCTAAATAAAAATCAACATCTCATCTTCTGGTATTGAATATACCAGGTGTATTTTTTTTTGCAGGGATAGTGAATTCCAATTATGTTTTGCTGCTTTTTCTGTAGGTTCTGAATATACATGCTTTAGATGATGACCTGCCTGAGCTTGCTGAGCACTTCATCATATCATTGGTTTCCGCAATATCAGGAGATGGAAAACCTGGCTCTACCCTAATGAGTGGAGCTAGTATTGATCCAGAGAAGATGCGTACAGAGGTTATTATCAAACCCAGTGACCACCCATATGGTAAATATTCTGCAATTATTATTGTTACTAAACTGGGAAATTTGGTTGGCATGTTATAATAATAATAATCCTTGCATTTGATATAGCGCATTTTCTTCGAAACATCTCAAAGTGTTTCCCAGTCGGGCTTTCATCCTATTTGCCCCACTCTGTGTAACCCCACCTTGGAATCCCTCTGAATTGCCCCCTCCCTCACCTCTTTCAAGGTCCATTTCAAGATCTTCTTCTTTTACCGTACCTTCAACCTCTCTCAGGTGCCAAGCCAGGACTATCAAGCACCTTGAGACATCCTCCTGATGTGAAAGGTGCCATATAAATGTAAACTTGTTGTTGTTAGCTTCCTGGAGGTAAGAATCATTTTGGTATTCAAATCATCTCATGTCCCACTGCACCATCTTTCAGGTTTGTTACAGTTTTCTACTGGACCACTGCCAGAACGCGATCAAATCATTCCCCCTGCCCACACTATACCTAGAATCACAGTGAAAGAGGAGGCTGGACAAGTCAGACTGCTGGTAGTCCGTGCACAGGGTCTTCTAGGTATTGTCCTGGTGGGTTACCAGACTGTCCCCCTCACGGCTGTCAGTTCATCTGATTATCAGGTGAGAAGAGTACTCAAAATATCAAAATATGTATGGCCCTAGAAAATTTGTTTGGAGTAATGGTATAGAAGCTGCTATATCAGATCTATTGAGTAAGAAATAAAACATTTTGTGGACTATTTTACAGCAGACTAAAGCCATGGAAGTTTCTGCAAATGTACAATGTATTGTGCTGTTACGGACGTATAAAAAGACAAATTCTTCGTAAAATGCAGACAGAAGGAATGCTTTGAGAATTAAGCCATAACTTTTTTGAAGCAAGGGCCAATGTTCTTGTTTGAATAGCCTTCATCTTTTTTTAAAAAAATGTTCTGCAAATGATTTTCCATTCAAACAAGAACCATAAACAGTTGGATGCATCCAAGTAATTGTAATAGAACCTCTGTGTAATCTTTATTGAACTTATTTATTGTGTGATTCTTTCTGACCTGAGTCTTGGGTATCGGTCATCCTTAAAAGTTGGGTCAAATGTTAGCATCTGGTCAGGATATGGTCCACAATGGTGAAGTAGCTGAAACTGGTAACACCTTTAACTTGCTTTCAGAGCACTGCAGGTATTCTAGCGTTTCAGCCTGGAGAACGTTACAAATACATAACTATAAATATCACAGATGACTCAAATCCTGAAATGCCAAAGACCTTCAAGGTGGAGCTTACAAATTCTGATGGAGAAGGTAGGCATGAACTATTTATTTTTCCTTTGTGAAGTACAAAAGGCGACAGAAATAGAAATTGTAGAAATTAAACATACAATGTTAAGCCAACACAGTTGCACTCATAAGTTGGTACTGCAAGCAATTGCGCAACAGAAAGGTAGGATGTGAGTTCTTATGCTCAGTTACCCATATGCAGAGCTCAAGGTCTAGCCTTGAGGAGGAAATGCAGAGCAGAGGCCAGTCAGATTCTGGGAGTGGGGAGAGTGAGAATTAGTTGAATATGTCCCCCCCACCCTCATATGTTTTGCATGCCTTTTGCATTGTCATTGTTAAGGCGACAGGTCACCAAAAAGGGAGAAAAATAATAGTTGGAAGTATTAAGAATGGGGAACAAAATATATTTGATTTTTTTTTCTACAATAATCCCTGTCCCAGTAGCAAAATGAGAACTTTTAGCACAAATACCTGCACATTATATTTTTTAGATATAATTTCCAATTTATCTTAGCCTTAAGAGATTGCCTTAAAATATGAAATCTTTCAGAATTTCAGAACATTTTTAAACGTAGTCTTAATTTGAAATCATAAGACAATGAGTTAGATCAGGTCTTGGGATTTGAATTATGGACCTATCTTCTGGACGAAGATTGTAGGGTATTCTACATTTTGAATAACTTGATAAAATATGATTTGCAATTCATAATTGCCATTTGATTTAAAATACATTATTTAATTAAGATAACCTGTGCGCAATAAAAAAAACCTTCTGGATGATTTTTCAATTGAGTTTTTCTCTCTCCTTTATTACTTATGTTGACCTGTTGTGTGTGTGTGTGTGTTGAGTGTGTGCTGAGTGTGTGTGTGTGTGCTGAGTGTTTATTCTGACATAGCTGAAATCTTTGACATAGCTGAAATCTTTGACATAGGGAGCAGCGGGAGTGGTGATGGCGAGTTGGACCTCTTCCTTCCAGCTGTCCATGTGCGTGGTAAGAACATACGGTCTTGCTCTTATTTACTGTATTCAACATTTTAAAATGAATTTATATTCAGCTGCTGAGTTGTGCATCAGACATTTAAACCAACCTGCGACTTGCAGACTGTGTAGAACACTTCTATTTATCCAGCTTCTGGTGATTTGGCCCATAAATTTTTGAAATGATGCTTGTGTGCCTCTGTTAACCTCTCTGATTACCAACCTTTAGGTTTCAGTCAATGATTTTTATAAATCATTTAGTTCACCCAGGAAAAATAGAGGTGGGTCTCGACACCCAAAGGTTATTGCTGTTGATTCCTGTTTCAGACATTGAGACAAGTTATTAGTTTCTTCAAGGATTTTCACAAAACCATTTTCCCCAAATTCTTGGAGATCGCGTATCACCAAACACGGCATTTATCTATAAATCTTGTCGCCATGTATACCAATGCCCCAAAGGACAAGAACCAACAAGCAGATAATTAATATTGTTAAATGTTATCCTAATATTTCATCAATTTACTGTCCTTCAAACAACTTTTGGAATTCAAAAATACATTCACTTTTAAGCTAAAGTTGATGATTGCAGTGATTGGAATTAATACTGTATTCACTTTCCCAGTTTCTTTCTCATTTACTACTTTTTATTGACCTGCTTTTTGATACTCCATCTTTTATTCTTACGAGTGAATAATATTACTCTATGGAATAATTACCTGCCTTAACTGTTACCTGGAACAAAGCTGCCAGCTTTAAACCAAACTGCTGGATCCAAATCATGCTCTCCTTAAGATACATTTGATTAGAAGCTCTGAACATTTCTTAGTTTTGCAAATAAGTGTCTTTCAATTCTTGTATTGAAAGCCAGTCCTGTACTGGAAATCTTCCTATTTTGGAATATCAAAAACCCCATTTTAACTTGGTGTAAAACTCCCTTTACTGAATCTTGACAACCACGTCTCCCTGGGACTGAAATAGTTCTAAGATTGTCTGGTGAAAGCCAGGGAATTCAGGATAATACAAGGCACTGTTAAAGGTTAACTAGCCTGTCTGATTCATCATGAGACTTGGAGGTGTAAATGTGTCCTCAATCCATGAATTCAAAGCCGTAATGGCATAAGAGTGGTGGTGCCAATGGGAAATCACTGACCTGCACGGTTAATTTTTTTTTAAATGAATACAATCTCAGATAAGTTCTTCAGCCACACATGTCATCAGTGTCAGTGTTTCAATTTCCCATGCTAATCGCCTTCCTCAACATCCCCACACTCTTCAGCTCCCTTCACTCCCAGCTCAAGCTACCAGTCAGCTATGTAAAATGCTTTGGGACATTCTACATTTATACTGTATAAATGTAAAAGGTCTTGAGTTATTATTTAAATATGAACTAGTACTTAGGATTATAAGATGAGCCCAAAATAGCTCTTTGCGTTGAGAAGATTAAAGTTTCTGTTTGTTGAATTGATTTTCAGCCAGCCTTGGGATAGCATCAGAGATCATAGTGACAATTGATGCGTCTGATGATGCCTATGGAGTGTTCCAGTTCAGCAATGATTCCTTACATGTTAATGGGACAGAACCAGAAGGAGGTCATGATATTGTTCTTTTACAGGTCAGCAATTTTATTTAGCCTATTGTAAAACTAAACATGTAAACTAGAGGACTACATACACTAACGTTGAATAAGTTCTTCTATTCTTTTATTTGATTAATAATTTAATTCATGCATACATTTTGGTGGTGTAACATTTTGGATCTCATTGAAATAAAGTTTAAAATTGGCTGGATCTCCATTATGCAACTTGAGTGTTTAATGAACTGTTTGAATTTTCAGGTTGTACGTGCTGGTGGTGCTTTGTCTCAGGTTACTCTGTTTTGGGAAGTTGCCTCTGATCCTTACTCTGATTTGCTCAATACCCATGGCAATATCACATTTGAAATAGGACAGACTCAAGAGAGTATCATGGTGCAAGTGGCTTCAAACAATATTCCTGAATTGGACAAAGAATTCACGGTATACATCACTAATGTTTCCAAAGGCAACCTGGGAGTTTTAACAAATGCAACCTTGATCATTCTAGCTAATGATGATCCATATGGCGTGTTCATCTTTTCGGGAAGAAATCGGCCAGTCAGTATTAAAGAAGAGGAGCAGAATGTGACGCTGACAATCCAGAGGTTAAAAGGACTGTGGGGCATTACCATAGTCACATACACAACTTTTGATGATACAGAGTCAGCGGATCTCCCATCTCACATTGCCAGGGCAACCAAATGGAGTGATTATCTTGCCATATCTGGATCAGTTATCTTTGAAACCAATCAAACAGAAGCTAACATAACCATTCCCATACTGGATGATCTGGAACCTGAGCAGCGAGAGTCTGTGTTTGTCTGTTTAAGTAATGTAATACTGTTGAAAGGAATGCAAAACAGACTAAGTGAGTAATCTAAAATGCTTGTTTTATCTTTTTGTTTCTTTCCTTTTTTCTTTTCCTCATTCCAACATCTTAGTCTCTTTTGTCCTTGCATGAAAATTTTAGCTTGTAGTTTGGCTGACAAGCCAGTGTAGTAATGAGGGATCACTGCATTGTCACAGGGTATCCTTTGGATGAGATGTTAATCTGAGGTCCAATTTGTCTGTTAAGATCAAGTGAAAAGAGAAAGGTATTTCTCCTAATGCCCTGGCACTTGGATTGGCACTTGTGATAAGTATATTATGAGATGTGGAGAAATGGTGGGGATTCAAAGACCTGACTTGAATTAATAAAATGGCAAAATAGTTTTGATGGGCTGAATGCCTTATTCCTAATAAGTACTTCCTGCTCTAAATGCCAACCAGGAGCTATCTGAGCTTGGAAAATTCAGCATTGGCTGAGTAAACAATACTACTTATGTGGTAATGTGCTTAATTGAGTTACAGTAAGCCATAGTCCAGCTATGCTGCTCTATTAAAATTGCTGTATGATTGATATTTGATAAAACTGACTTGTGTTGATACATGGCTCATTGGAAATAATACAGTCCAGCATTCAGGGCTGGTTCAAAGATTGTACAAGAGGAAAACATAATTTTGTTCAATGACATTGTTGAAGAACTGAATAATCAGGCTAATAATAGTACATGATGCTTAAGACAGTGATGGATATAACTGTTGAATAGCCTGCTCATTTACTAATCGTTTAATTCTGAAGTGAACAAGGCTTTTTTTGTATGTATTACTACAATAGTATATGCAGGTATAATGGATATTATAATCATTACTGAAACTCCGTTTTTTAGTTTCTGAGTCTCCACGCCTTGGACCAAAGAATGAAATCATAGCACAGGTGATTATTGATGCCAATGATGACGCATTTGGAATCCTGCAGCTTTCAGCTACTGCTGTACAAATTTCTGAAAACTATATTGGACCGATCATCAATGTAACCAGAACCGGAGGGATATTTGAAGACGTTTCTGTGAAGTTTCAAACTTTTTCAATGACGGCAAGAGTTGGTATGCAAGATTTATTCAGAAGATTTTTTGAAACCATTTTTCTGTACCCACACCAATAATTTAATACAAAGGCAATTTTGGGATGCCGATATGCACATTTTCTACATTAGAGTGTTAGGACGCAGATTACAAATACAATTCTGCACACATCTGGTTTAAGAACAACATTGGTGAAGCCCTTAAAGTAGATTGTCTACCTTTCTTGTCGATCACTTATGATACAAAGTACAGACACTTTCATACATGAGCGAGAAGGGAAAAGAGAGGTATGGAAGAGGATAGGAAAAGGAGATTAGGATGCGTGCATGCTTGTCTGGAATATAAATACTGGAAAGGACTAGTTGGCCGAAAGGGCTGCTTGAATGTTGCACAATACAATCTAGATTTATATGGCGCCTTTAAGTCGAGAGGGAGTCTCAAAGCACTTAAGAGTCAGTGTATTATGAGCCAAGAGAAAAAAAATTTAATAAAAATATCCATTTTTCAAAAAGTGGAGAACAGTGCAAGTTAGCAGTGGTGGTTTCGTTCATTTAATTGCACTCTCACCTTGCCAGAGGGTTGTGGGTTCACTTCCCACTCCATGGCTTGAGTTACTTCCAACTGAGTATTCAGGGAGGAACCTTGATTGCTAAGCTTCACTACATGAGAATCTTGGCAAAGTAACTCCCTGTATAAAGCAATTTGAGACTTTTTGATGCTCTGAAGTGCGATATCCAATGAAGTATTATCATTAAACTATTGACCAAATGTAATGTTAACTTTGTAATAGTTTTACCAGCACAAAACTCTGCTGGAAAATAATACATGTGTACCATCAATAATAATAAAAAGATTTATGCAGTATACATACAGTTGAACGCTGTTGTAACACAAGATCATTGAGGATCTGTTTATCGGTGTACTATGGACCTGCGCCATGGTATACTGGAAATGCAGTATAGTTCTGTTGTTGATTTACATGTTCATTGTGCAGTGAGTATTTCATGGCACTTCCTATACATAGTGTGCGTACGTGGAACATGCAGGGGTTAATGGTAATGGTTAGACAGAGGCGCTGACCAGCCATTGTTTGACACACCCAGTTATAAAGCGGGGTTTGATTTTACGGACCTAGATTGCCAATGTTCTATTTAATTTTATCGAATCTTATTCATGTGCATTTTTGTTTTGTGTAGGTGAAGATTACAGTGTAGCATCTTCTGATGTCATTTTACTGGAAGGGGAAACCAGTAAAGCTGTACCAATTTATCTACTGAATGATATCACCCCTGAAATTGATGAGTCTTTTCGCATTGAGCTTATTAACCAAACTACAGGAGGAGCTGTACTCGGAGAACTTACCCAGGCAACTGTCACCATCGAAGCCTCTGATGACCCTTATGGATCTTTTGGTAAAGTCTGTTCTGTTTATAGATAATACAAGATGCTATGGGAGATGCGTCTAATATGTAACAAAGGTGCAAATCTGCATTACAGACGGTTAAGCTTGTTATTTTCATATCCCATTCCAAACTACCTTAGAATACTTCACACTACAGTATTATCATTTTATAGGGTGCAGTAGGATGTTGTACAAAAAAAAGTTCTGATAAGACTAAATAAGTTGGACAACAGTACGTAAAAATCCTCTTTGACCAACCTCTTTTGACATCAGCCCTCTCTCCCCAGCTCACTGTTAAGCACTCCGAAATGGTACCCTGTGTGAAAGGTGTTATATAGATACAAGTTGTTGCTCACAAAATGGCCATTTGGAAATTGTTTCAGTTTGTGATGTATAAGTTATCTTTGTGAACTTGATTTTGTTTGCACAGCAAAACTAGTGTCCTATTTATTAGAATGATTCCTGGTGTCACATGCCTAAATTATAATCAAAGGATAGAAAAACTTGGGTTGTATTCTCTCGAGTTCAGAAGATTGAGGGGTGATCTAATTGAGATATATAAAATTATGATGAGATTTGACAGGCTGAATAGTGTTTCCTCTGGTGAGAGAATTGAGGACTAGAGGCCGCAGACTTAATTTTGAGGCTAAACCGTTTAGAAGTGAAATAAAGAAGCATTTTTCAGGCAGCGGGTGGTGGGAATGTGGAATTCCCCAGAGGGCAGTGCAGTCAGAGTCAGCTGAAGAATTTAAGAGGCAAATTGATATATGCTTGACAGACAGGGGTATTCTGGGATATGGAGAGAGAGCGAGGAGGTGGAACTGAGTTGTGGATTGATCACGATCTTGGAAAGTCGTGGGACAGGCTCGATGGGCCAATGGCCTACTCTTGTTCCTATGTTCCTAAAGCTAATAACATGAGGGAGATAGTAATGCACCCTAACATATATACTGAGAATATTATTTTCAGGCATTTAGCTGCTGATTTAGGCACTTGAGATACTGATTGCATTTATAAAGGTTTAATCCACTCACTGTTTAAATGTAAAAAATGTACTAACTCCACAGAGTAACCCGAGGCCTGAAATCAACCTAGTCTTAGCCTTAAGACTATTTGCCTTTAAGAAAACTGTCTTCCAAATGAAGACTTAATTTTAAAAAAATTCTGTGTGATTTTTAAATTGAAGTCAAAAGAGTCATGAAACTAAAGCAAGGTCAAACTTCCAGTCTGAATGTGGATACAAATTGTGGCATTTACCATCGCCAACAAATAAGTAAACTCATGATCTCAACAGTACATACAGTAATATAAAGTAGTGAATACGCAAAAGTGACTGCAAGGCGCTAATCTCACCTTGAGTTCAAATAACACTTTAATTGTTGCTTTGCCTTCATAACAAAATTTAACTCATTTGGGAAAGCACTTTGAGATTTTCATTTATATGAAAAAAGCTTTGTAACGTAAGTTGTAAATCGTGCTCATTTTGCTCCCACTGTATATGATGTAATTGAAACAATTGACCTGTAATTACTTACATTCACAGTGGATAGGATATCCAGTAACTCAAAAGGATCAAGTTTAAGATCCTCTCACTCTGCCTTAAAAATCCTTTAAAAATGTATTTCTTTGACTGTGCCTTTGGTCAACATTATTAAATTTCTCTTTACCATACTCTGGGCTTAGCATTATATCTGTTGAGCAATTGGGGATTTTTATTCTATATGAAAGTTACTATATAAATGCATGTTATTGTATGTCTAATGAAATACATGTATGCACCCTATTCTACATTCCAATTTTTAACTGTATTTTATTTTTGAAAAAAATGAACTTGTGTTAATGGAGACCAGGTTGCAGCGTTCAAATTGCTGACACGAGACTCCATTGTGCTTACACTGCTCATCTAATTCATTTATATACAATGGATTATACAGTGTGATTTGGTTTAGAACATATGAATTGCAAACATTTATGGAAATGGAGGACTTCTTAATGGTTAATTTTTCTGTTATAGTTTTTCAAAGTACCAAATTCATTGTCGAAGAACCAGAGTTTAATACTGCAAAGGTAAAGCTTCCCATTGTTCGTAATGGCGGGACACTTGGGGCTGCCACAATCCAGTGGGTTGCAACAATGAATGGACAGCTTGCTAGTAGTGATCTTCAGTTGGCATTGGGTGAGGTGACATTCACACCAGGACAAACAATTTATACCTTACAATTGGAGCTCCTAGCTGACGATTTCCCCGAAATTGAGGAGGTAAGGAAAATGGATTTAATGAGTGAACCCATCCATGAATTTTGTCTTAATATTGTAATGGGTGTGGGGTCAGGTCGTGGGTAAAGCCTGACCAGATTGCGAGTGGAACAACTCTGTGTCTGAGGGTATGGAGTTATGAATGTTGAGGCCATGAAGTGTGCAAGCAGTCAGCTATTGGTTTTGTGGGGCTGAGTGCTGGACTGGGAAGCTGGCGGAATGCTGCTGACTTGGATGCAATAAGGGCCATAAGAGTGAGCCAGGTATGACATTTGACATCATACATGTATCAATCTGCATATATGTTCCATGAATGAAATCTATGATCAAAAATGATTTTTACAAAACAAATAGGAAATTAGCAAAGCATTAATCTATCATTTTAAGAACAATTTGCTTATTTACTAAATTGTTCTTTTAACTAGTTTAATTTGGCTATGTGTGTATGTATGCAAAAAAATAGATATTTAAACATTAGTATTTTATCTGCAGGTTATCCATGTGCAGCTTACCCATACTTCATCAGGGAGTTCTATTGGAACAGATAAGGTGGCAGATATTATCGTACCAGCAAATGACAACCCACATGGTACTGTTTACTTCCGGCAGACTATATACAGAGTTCAGGAACCACTAGAAGGAAATTCAGTAGAAAATATTTCATTGAGAAGAAGGTATGTTGAGTCCAAACTAAGTCCAGCTTTTAAGAGACATTCTGTTCACAAACACTAAACAGATGTATATTTGTAGAATACTTGTGTTTCTGTTTCAAAAACAACACAATGCAGAATCTTTTGTTTGATTGTATTCTTTTCTGAAATTAATTATAATCACATTCAGTATTATAATCCTAATCAGGTAATGAATTGTAACTGCCTATTATATCCCTGATATTCATATGACATACAATACTTGCAGCTCAAGTGGTATTGAGTTTTGGGATATGTCCCCAGAGAACTTCGTTTAAATGTAAGGTAATCCATTCTCAGTGCAGGCTTTAAAAAGCTGAAAATAAAATGAGCTGCCAGTAGTCATATCACTCGCTTGGCATATTTATTGTAGAAGATTGTTATTGATGTATCTCTATTGTCACATAATATAGTAGCCAGTCAAACCACAATTAGAGTTTTGTTTAAAAAAAAGCATGAACATGTATCTCAGCTTCTTATTGGGGATATTGAAAAAGTCTTGATCCAAATTTAACTTGGACCATATTTTGCAGAAACATTCTTATTTAATTCTGGTGTTCAAGTGTAGAACCAATGTAAACAGGTCAAGAGAGATATGAACAGGTGAATGTGAGGCTGAAGCAGGATTGTAAGCAGTAACTAGAGATGCTTGCTGTTGTTGCTGGTTCATGGCAGACCTGAGCAATATATATGGTCCTGGGTTCTGTGATAAGAACTGAAGAACATGCCAGTGTTGTTAACTTTGACAGAAGTCGCTGGGAACACTCAGCAGGTCAGTCAGCATCTATGGAGAAAGGATAGTGAGTCAACGTTGACTCAAACAATGACTCACTTTCCTTTTTCCATGGATGCTGCCTGATCTGCTGAGTGTTCCCAATGACTTCTGTTTTTGTTTCAGATTTCCAGCAGCTGCAGTATTTTGCATTTTGTTAACTTTAACCCTGTTCTGAATCTAAAAAGGTGTTGGTGCTCATGTATGTTTTCTCATACAGTGTTGTGCTTTCTTATTTAACACAGTGGGGGGTATTTTGGACAGCTGCGAATATTCTATGCCACCTTTGAGACTGATGTTGTGGCCCTCTTGGTTAAAGAAGGACAGGACATATTTTCCTACTATGACCCTCCGATCCTTGGCATTCCAAATGGCCAGTCTACTCCCCAGGTTAATGTTTCACTGGAACGCGATCCTCTGCACACATGTGCAGCTGCTTGTCTGAAAGAGCGTGCCTGCTTTGCCTTCTCATTCACAAATACCACTGGGAGGCCAAAGTGCTTATGGATGGCTTCAACATCAAACATTTTAGTTAACGGCACAGAATTTACAACCTATTGCAAGAATACTTCCAGCGTGTCATCTCTGTTCAGCACCCAGGCAACACCAGGCAGCGATTATGAGCCAATTACTGGAATGTCAGTAACCATGCGTGACGGAGATCAGTTTGCCAATCTCTCGGTTTCAATACAAAGTGACACTATTCCAGAACGAGATGAACAATTTGCCATTTCACTTTTAAGAGTTGAGCTGCTGAATGAAGCGGCAACTCTGAGAAACCAGCCTGCAGTAGGGCAACCGAATGTCGCCAGTGTTGTCATAGCTATGAATGGCGATGCATTTGGGATCTTTCTGATTTACAGCACCAACCCTAATGCCACAGACCAGGGCTTGTACCTTGAAGTTACGGAACAAGCACAGGTAACTGTGCAACTTGTGATAGAAAGGAGGAGAGGTAACCTTGGTCAGGTGACTGTGGAGTGGAATGTGGTTGGTGGCACGGCTTCAAGGACATCGATTTCGTTGGTGATGTTGGTATTTTGACATTTGCTGAAGGTGCGTCCATCTTTCATGTTTAACATTCAAATGACTTTTTTCCAAACCTGTGCTCCGTGCCATCAGTGCACGTATTTAAACATGAAGAAGATTGTCATAGTACTGGAAAACAATAACTGCACAACCTAGTGTCATTTTTGTTTCATTCAAAACTTAGATGATACAGTAAATCAGATCTGTGATTTTTTTCCTGTGTGTCTTTTGTGTAGAATACTGTAATAATTAGTTGGAACTATGCCTTTCTCTAATCTTGTGGGTCTATGTAAGAGTTATTGTACAGTAATGCAGGTGGAGTTTTAAAATAAATCTCACCATTTTTAGATTTATTATTAATTAGTAGGATTTATTATTATTGGTATTATAGTACTAGTTGTTGTATTATTAATAGGACATACATTAAAAATAGGTTAAAGCACATTTGATTTTATTATTTTGAAATGCTGGCTACAACATGGAGAGGAACAACCAATATATTATAGCAGTTCTAATGTAAATTGTTATTTAGAATAATTTTGAAACATTGTTAACAATAAAATCCTATTTCTGATAGCTTTTCAACAGTTTATGTCAAGTGTTCAGTGAAAATTATAATTAATTATCTGGACCAAAATATAATTAATATTCGGAGATTAACTTGTAAAGCCTTGGTTTGCTGCATTACACATGACCAATAGCTTTTATTTCACTATTTATTCTTATTGTAAAATAAAAAAACTCTGTCCTCTATGTAGGTAACAAAGTCAAATTATTTTAGTATTGCAGAACTCCAAACACAAAGTTCTAATGTATTCTTATCTCTACAAATAGCTTGGTGTATTTTTTGCTCAGCCTTTATAATGTAATTTCCTATTATAAAGATTTAGTGGAAAAGTTGGCAGCTTTTAGCCCCCAATGTAGAAGCATAGAGAAGAAATAATCTGTACAGCCTGAACTCGAGGTTCTTTATTTCTATTTTTATTTGCAGGGGAGAACAGAAAAGTCATCACTTTGACAATTGTAGATGATAAAGAACCAGAAGACAGTGAAACGATTCTGATCGCTCTTACACGCACTGAAGGTGGCAGTCGTATTCTGCCCAGCTCTGACACAGTCACTGTTGTTATCCTGGCAAATGATAATGTTGGAGGAGTAATTAGTTTCCAGACTTCCTCCCGGTCGGTCATTGGACGTGAAGGTGGGTTTCTGTGTTTAATGACGACACTTCTAATCTTTGTTATTGATTCCTACAGTACCACAGTCTTTTTAAACTTTCCTTTGCCACATCAAACATGACCGCTGAGGATAGAATAAATAACCTCTGCCATGTATGCAAAATAAATAGAAAGACTTTGTGATGGTTAACAATTTTATTTTATCCTCTGACTCTTGGACTTGGCAATCTGTATTAGCATTTTTGTTACTTTTTAAAAAGGCACTTTTATATAAATGCAAGTTGCTATAGTTTTAAAAGATATGCAATACTTGAAAAACAATTTTGTGTCACCCTGCTTTGCCATATAAGGTAAATTATAGTTGCATTATAAGTTGAGTATTAATGCACAGTATTTCATTTGTGAATCTTACATCAGTTGAACTGCAACTGTTTTGAATATGTGCTAGCTATTCTGTTGGAAATCCTTCCCAATTTCACATTATTCAAGTGATATGGACACTATGCATCTCTCTTTCCCTAATATATTGTCAGTTTTTAATCAGAGACACGCAACATCACATTGTTAGAATGTGGATTTTGAGAAATAGAAATGATTTTGTCAATGGTATCAGGCAGAGTTAAAACATGACATTTTTGTATTGTTTTACATCACAGAATTTGGGAATAGACAAATGGATTGCAGTGCTATTTTGAGGGTCCTGGAAATATGTATGCTCCTATATAATTGACACTGAGAACTTTGTCAGAATAATAATAATAATAATAATAATAATAATAATCCTTGCATTTGATATAGCGCTTTTCACGTCGGGAGGACGTCCCAAAGTGCTTCACAGAACACACTGTAAAGTGAATTGACTGTATATTTGTGGGCAAACGTGGCAGCCAATTGCGCACAGCAATGTCCCACAAACAGTCGTAGATTGAAAATGACCAATTTATTATTGTTTTTGGTTTTGGAGGGATTATTATTAGGCGTGTGGAGTAAGGAAACTTGCCCAAGGTTTCGCCCTGCCTGGAATTGAACTCAGGTCTCTCGCTTGCAAAGCGAGTGCTCTAACCACTGAGCTACAGGACTCCACAGAATACTTCTGAGTATGGAGAAAATTACATTTTGAAAAAAGTTTTAATAAAGAATGATGATAATTCCTAAATTTGATATAGCGCCTTTCACATTGGAGGACTTTTCAAAGTGCTTCACAGGATATAGTGTGAAATGTAACGATTGTGTATTCTGTAGGCGGATGCAGCAGGCAATTTGCATACAGCAGTCCCACAACTAGCAATGAAGTGAACGAAAAGTTGTATTCGGGGGATTGATTTTTGGCCAAATAAATCTAATAAAAATCAGCTTTTTCTTGGTTGAGCATTTCACAAGTCCAAGGCCCCAATATAAACATGGAAATTCATTTTTCAACTTTATTTTTTAAAAAAATTTATTTTTAGGACCTTTATGTACAAAATATCTATTGGATGTGCAACTAGTCAAATGTGTGCTGCATGATTGAAACCAAATGTTTCTCGCTAGGACGCGAGTTTGGGAGTTCACTCTGATTCTCTTTTCCAATTTTTAGGAGAAAATCTATTGTTCCTGATTGAAAGGAGTCCTCCTGGGCTTGGCAATGTTACCGTTACCTGGAGCATTCATGGACGTTATATTCAGGAAAACTTTGGAGATTTCAATGGAACCCTTTTGTTTTCTGAGGTAGACAATTAGAATACTTTTTGGTTTAATAATGGGCTGATTCACTGCTATTTAATTTGCCAGGAGTAAAGTGAAAAATTTTGCTCATGCCGTAAAGTGATGATAATAAAATGTGGAGATTGTCGTAGTTTTATGATACACAATGTGCAGTGTACTTATAGAACTGCGTAAACTGACATAAATATAGGAAATAGTTTCAGAAAGCATGTCAGTCAGCACCTGATCCTGCGTTTGTTGCTCGGAGAAAACCCACATCATTCCCAACAGCGTAACACCATGAAGCTTTGGTACACGTGCAACCCACCAAAATCGGTTTGTTTTTTACTATAAGGCACCTTAAAGTAATCTCTTTCTAACTGCTACATCTTCCTATTTGCACAATGAGGTCATCTAAGGTCTGAAAAGAATTGTTGAGAGTCAGTGACCTTTGCAATTGAATCAACCATCAACCAGGAGGTGAGATTTGCTGTGGATTTAGTTCACAGCAGATCATCCCAGCCCAGATTTGTGTAGAAAACATGTGTAAGGCACAGTCTCCCCCTTCTAAAGCCGGGCTGCCTCTTTCTTATCAAATTATTTGCGTATTAAATTAGCATGTGATTCAACTGTACAAACAATTAGAATCAATTTCATTATTTTACATTATTGATATTAGACCAATGGACTTGTAAATTGCCTTGGCCAGTTTTGTCACCTTTTTAGTACGTGCTGTAAGATTCCAGCCCTGTGAACCTCACTTGTTCTTAATAAATCTTCACAATGACCGACAATCTCCCATATATTTCTTCTTGACTTATATGTTACCGTTTTCTAATCGCCGTGGCGGTGGTGTGGCTCTCATCTCCCGGTCCCCCTTTGGCCTTTCCCCTTATTCTTCCAGAACCTTCTCCTCCTCTGAACACCTCACCTTCTACCACCCCTCCAGGCTTTACCTCAAAATCCTCCTTGTTTACCATCCCCCCAAGCCTTCCCCCACCTGCCTCTCAGACATCTCCACCCTCCTATCTTCCCTCTCCGTCTGCTCTGAATGCCTCCTAATCTTAGGCGACTTCAACCTCCACTTCACACCCTCCTGGTCGATCTCTGCTGACTGGTCCTCCCTTCTCTCTTCTCTTAGCCTCTCCCTCATCCACTCCCCAACCCATGACCGTGGCCACCCCTTTGACCTGGTGATCACCCGGGGCCTCACCGTCTCGGACATCACCATCATCGATAAAGCCATCTCGGACCACCACTTCATCTCCCTCAACACCTCCGTACCCCTTCCCCTTTTTCAACCCTCCAGCATCACATACCGTCCATGGAAAAAATTTCCTTCCTGTCCACTGCCCTGAAGTCATCTGAACTCCTTCACCTCTGTCCCTCACTGACCGATCTCCCCTCCTCACTTGTCTCCACAATGCCGTTTTCTCCATTCTGGACTCCCTTAGCCCCCTCACCTCCCGAACTGGCTCATACTCCTGTAAATCCCCCTGGTATACCAACCATCTCCGTTCCATCAAGGCACAAGTGCGAGCTGCCGAACGTGCCTAGACCAAATCAAAAAAAACAGTCCATAGGCAGATTTGGCTTCACCACACCAAGACTGTGCTCTTGCCTCCGCCAAATCCTCCTCATACTCCAAGGTTTTCCTGGAGGCATAGGACAACCCCAGGTTTCTTTTTTACACCACTAATCGGCTACTCCGTACACCTTCCCACGCCTTGCCCATCCTCTCCTCAAACTGCAACTGCGAGGAGATGCTGGACTTCTTCCAATCCAAAATCGAGGGGATACGTTCAGCTACCTCTGCCCTGTCCACCGCACCCCCACATCACCTCTCCCTAATGACCCATTCCCCACCCATCCCCCCTATACTTCTTCGACCCTATCTCCCTGCCCCCTCACCATGACTGTCCGCAAACTCAAACACACTATCTGCTCCCTTGATCCCATCTCCACCTCTCTCCTCGTCTCCCAGCTCCACCTTCTGGCCCCTCTCATGTTCGACGTCATCAACCTCTCCTTGTCCACCGGTTCAGTCCCCAGCCCCCTAAAAACAGCCGTCATCATCCCCATCTTGAAAAAACGTTCCCTCTACCCATTCCTTCTCTCCAGCTACCAGGTGAAAGACCTGAGTTCAATTCCAGGCAGGGCGAAACCTTGGGCAAGTTTCCTTACTCCACACGCCTAATAATAATCCCTCCAAAAAAAATAAATAATAAATTGTTCATTTTCAATCCATGACTGTTTGTGGGACATTGCTGTGCGCAATTGGCTGCCGCGTTTGCCCCCAAATATACAGTCAATTCACTTTACAGTATATTCTGTGAAGCGCTTTGGGACGTCTAGAAGACGTGAAAAGCGCTATATCAAATGCAAGGATTATTATTATTGCTGTCCCATCTCTAACCTCCCATTCCTCTCCAAGGTCCTGGAACGAGTCGTTGCGTCCCAGCTCTGCTCCTTTCTTTCTCGCCATTCCCTCTTTGAACCCCTCCAATCCGGCTTCGGTGCTGCCTGGTTCAATTCCTATTTCTCTCACCGTCTCCACTTTGTTGCCTCTAACGGTTTCTCCTCCAGCCCCCGCACTGTCATGTAAGGCGTCCCCCAGGGCTCTGTCCTTGGCCCTCTCCTCTTTAATATCTACATGCTCCCCCTTGGTGACATCATCCACAGACATGGGGTCAACTTCCATATGTATGTGGATGACACCCAACTCTATCTTTCTGCCTCCACCCTCACCTCTAGGACCACTGCTGTCCTGACAGACTGCCTGTCGGACATCAAGTCCTGGATGAGGGCAAATTTCCTACAGTTGAATGTAAACAAGACTGAGGCCCTCCTGATTGGCTCACGCCAGCGCCTCAGCACCTCAGGCTCTGGCAGCATCAACCTCCATGGTTGCACACTACAACTCACCAAGTCAGTCAGGAACCTCGGTGTCTTGTTCGACCCTCAACTGTCTTTTCTTCCCCACATTCAAGCCATGACCCGCTCTGCCTTCCCTCACCTCCGTAACATCTCCCGAGTCCGCCACTACCTCACCCCTCAGGCCGCTGAAACTCTTGTTCATGCCTTCATCACTTCCAGGCTCGACTATGCAAACACCCTGCTTGTCGGCCTTCCCAACTCCTCCCTCCGCAGATAATCCAGAACTCTGCAACCCGTGTCCTCTCCCGCACCAAACTCCGTGACCCCATCTCCCCCATTCTTGCCCAACTCCATTGGCTCCCTATCCTTCAGAGGATCCAGTTCAAGATCCTGTTCCTCACCTACAAAGCTCTCCATGGCCTCGCCCCACCCTTCCTCTGCAACCTCCTAACCCCCTCCACTCAGCCAGCTCCGGCCTGCTCCACGTCCCCCGACCCACCCAACCCACCATTGGTGGGAGAGGCTTCAGCCACTTTGGCCCCAACCTCTGGAACTCCATCCCCCAGTCACTCCGCCTCGCCCCCTCCTTAGCCTCCTTCAAGTCCTGGCTCAAGATTCTCCTCTTCGACCATAATATAATAATAATAATCCTTGCATTTGATATAGCGCTTTTAACGTCGGGGACGTCCCAAAGCGCTTCACAGAACACACTGTAAAGTGAATTGACTGTATATTTGTGGACGAACGCGGCAGCCAATTGCGCACAGCAATGTCTGGAGAGAAGGGATGGGTACAGGGAACGATTTTTCAAGGTGGGGATGATGACGGCTGTTTTTAGGGCGGTGGGAACTGAACCGGTAGACAAGAAGAGGTTGATGACGTCGAACACGAGAGGGGCCAGAAGGTGGAGCTGGGAGATGAGTAGAGAGGTGGAGATGGGATCAAGGGAGCAGATGGTGGGTTTGAGTTTGCGGACAGTCATGGTGAGGGGGCAGGGAGATAGGGTCGAAGGAGTATAGGGGGGATGGGTGGGGAGTGGGTCATTAGGGAGAGGTGATGTGGGGGTGTCGGTGGACAGGGCAGAGGTGGCTGAACGTATCCCCTTGATTTTGGATTGGAAGAAGTCCAGCATCTCCTCGCCATTGCAGTTTGAGGAAGGATGGGCAACATGCCATTGGCCCCCATCCTTCCCCTCCGCTCCCTTCTCCGCCCCTGACCCATGCTCGAGTTTGATACGCTGTACACTGTCCAGCACCTTGGGACATCCTCCTGACGTGAAAGGCGCTATACAAATGTAATCTTGTTGTTGTTATTGTTTTTTCTCCTGTGTCTTGTGTAGGAAATGAACTAAACTGCTGCTAATTTTCTCCTCGAACTACAGCAATCACCAAATTATATTCAGGACAGGGTTTTCTTTCAGAAATATCTGCAGAAAAATAACTTAATTATCAGCAGCTGCAGAAAATCTTGTGCTCCCTGGGTTGAGGTTTATTAGATTTTCAATTTTACATTATTTCTTATTAATGTTATACTTAAATCGAAACAAGCTTGAACCTCCACTGAATTCTCTCTTTTTTGAACCTTAACCCCACAATTCAGAGGTTCAGTCCATAATTGTCTGAGAATTGGTTTCAAAGGCTGGCCAGTGGGGAATTAGAACATTAATGCTTGACCTGGTTGTTTCAGTGCAGTGATCCCTGATGTGTTTATCAGGGAATCTGCCGCTTGTAAAATGCAGCGGTTGAGTTATTTCCTTAGTAGCAGCCATGAGTTAAAATATTTCCAGGGACCAATGGAGAAGGGAGCCTACATACTTATCCACAAAAAGATTGTTTCCTGCTTACTGTTCTCAAACCCTCTGCAAGCGCTGCCTTTACAAAGTTCAAAAAGTGCATATGTTTAGATTAAAACATAGCATAAATAAGAAATCATGTAAAATTTAAAAAGATAATTATTCAACCCAGGAAGCACAATATTTTCTAGAGCTGCTGTTAGCTAAAGTTTCATTTTACAGATATAAAGTGGAGTTACCCAGTGGCTGAAGCAATGCCAGACTAAAGCCAGAGGCTGAAACATTTGAGGTGATTCTGCACATTGGGTTCAGGTTGTAGACAGTTTTGGAGCTAATTCAGTCTCTAACAACAAAAATAATAAAGATGCTATATGAACAACTATAAAATCCCCATCATTTAAAAAGATATACAGTTCAGTTATATATAAAAAAAATTGGTCACTCAATCCACAACTGATTGTGGGATACTGCTGTGTGCAATTGACTGCAGTGTTACACCCACAAAATACAGTCAATTCACTTTACAGTATATTCTGTGAAGCTCTTTGAGACGTCTCAAAGACTTGATAAGGTGCTATATCAAATACAAGGATTATTATTATGTTTCCTGAAAAGAAACCTTTTCCTGAATATAGTGTGATCATCATTGTACTTCTGATTTTCATTTCACAGTTTTTCTAATATTCTGGCTGTTTTTGTCATGGCACGGTGAAATCTATTCTTAATTCTAATCTTCCACTCTACCACTTCACAGGGTGTTCTAAACGCATCATTCTTAGTGCGTTTAGTTGATGATCATATTCCTGAAGAAAAGGAAGAATACAGAATTATCCTATCAAATGTCAGAACGCAAGGTAACATTACACATCATTATATAGAGTATTTCTGTGGCTGCGGTTGTAGGATCAACTAATTGAAAACATATTACTTAATTGCAGTGAGGAATAATCACATTGTCTGAATACAGAATGATAAATACTAACTCACCCTTGAACCTTTGTACCACCATATGTTGTCTTGGTAGACAGCTAATTAAATGGAGTGATCCCATGGACTAGCTAGTTGCTAGTAATTCTCATTATTTGAGTAATAAATTATCATTAGCTGCTAAGTGGCTATCGATGCTTATCTTTGAATCTTGGATTTTAATAGTATTACCCCAGGGTTCTTACACTATTTAGATTATACATTTGCCCACAAAGACAGATGTACTTTTACAATCATCTCAAAGAAAGAGGCTGAATGTCCCAGGACCAAGCAATCCTCGACCCTTGATATTTTGGATCTCTCAGTTGCATCTGACCCCATAAAATAACTAGTCAGAGTCAGTACAATGAGACACGGTGAGGGTCTGGGCAAGTGTGGAGCAAGGGATAGTCAGTGGGTAATTGCTGTGATGATGTCAGACCTATCCAATTCTTTGGAAGTTACTTTTCCCATTCACACTACTAAATAGAACTGGGCATAAGGTTAGGAGAAAGTTACCTGATATTCAACAACCAATTACATTTGTATAGAACCTTTGAGGTCAGGACGACGTCCCAAGGTGGTGGACAGTCAGAGATCCGCACCCGAGCTGGTGGTTGGGATCAGAAGGGTTGGAGGGTAGGGAGGGTAGCGAAAGGACTGAAGGCGCGGTTGAAGAGGAGGGTCTTGAGATGGATTTTGAAGGAGACAAAGGAGGAGGCGAGGCAGAGGGACTGTGGGATGGATGTTCCAGAGTTGGGGGGCAGAGAGGCTGAAGGCCTCCCGCAAATGGTGGGGCAGGCATGGTGGGGGACCCGAAGCAGGCCGGATAACACTGAGCGGAGGGAGCAGAAAGGTTGTTAGGACATTAGGAGGTCACAGAGGTAGGGAGAAGCAAGGCTGTGAAGAGCTTTGAAGGTGAGGACCAGGATCTTGAACTGAGTCCTAAGAGTGATGGGGAGTCAGTGGAGTTGGTTGTGCATCGGTGTGATAGGGTCCCGGAGCCTTGTGCGTAAGAGAACACGGGCTGCAGAGTTCTGGATGATCTGCAGCCTGTGGAGGCAGGAGTTGGGGAGTCCCGACAAGCAGAGAGTTTGCATAGGCACAATTCCTCCCAATATTTCGATAGCATTGTTCACAAAAATACGATGAGCTGGGCATCACCGTGCGACTTATGCAAAATGTATGATTTCTCGTGTTGCAAAGAAATAACGCACAAAATAAATAGCTGTTTAAGGGTTATTTTTACTTGACCTTGAGCTAGATTTTGCTTTGTCTACCGATTTGTGGTATTGCTGTTTCTCTTTTCTCTCATTGTACATTCCACTTCCTTTCAAATACTCTTAAAGGAAATTCATTTTTCTTATGTTAGTCTTATTTTCTACTGCTTCTGCCCACTTAGCCTTTCTTAGAGCCTCTCATAGTTCAACGATTTCCATCCTTAAACTTATGTACATCTGTATTATTTGGGTTCTGTGCTTTAGCATTGAATCTAACTATGAAATACTGGAGGCAGAGTAAACAACCTGGACATGAATGAATACTCTGCCTTGAATATAATAACTTCAGATTCATTTCAGAGATATTTAGCTGATTTAAGACTGAGCTGTTGCCTTGCATTTTACTCAATGTATTTACAAAATCAGAATAGATCCTGTGAATTCCTTCATTGTGAGCTTTAAGAAAAAACACACAAATGATGGTCTTGATCAATAAAGGGTTTGAAGTTAGCATTTAATCTTGAATATGTTGAATTGAGAGGACTCAGTATTGTATGGTGGATATAATTTACCAATAACATGGAAATGCATTAACAACTGTTCATCTTGCGCCACCTACTGGTCGTTTTTCAGTTTTGATGGTTGAGATTAAATTAATGAATCCATTTATGTCTATATATATATTATATTATATGTAATACATTTCCTAATTAGAAAATCCTGGGACTGAAAATGGAATACATATTGTTTACATTTTGTTACTTGAATATCAAAATCATTGTGCTTCAAATCATATCATTGTGCTTCAGATGGCATCATTGCTACTCTTCAAAATCCTATTGTTAGGCTTCATATCCTGACAAGATTAGGTGTAATTGACTAAGGACAGTGGTTCCTGTACCGCTTGACCCAATGAGATATTAGTGTAGAGCAACCATCATGAATTGACATGATCATGTGTGTCTAGTTACAGGTGGATATTCTACAATTTTACTTAATTACTTTTGTTTGGATCAGAGATATATTATGCATGTTCTAAAATTTAAGTTGTGTGTGGCTAAAAATAACCTTTTTTTTGCAGGTATTTCCTCAACAGGTGCTGCTGTTATTGATGACCAGGGATATGAAGCTGTCCTAACAGTGGAAGCCAGTGATGAACCACATGGGGTAGTGAATTTTGCTCCGTCCTCCCGAATGGTTTCAGGTCAGGAAGGGAATAAAACCATTCAGATATTTGTCAGCAGAGAATTCGGATCTCTAGGTAACACAATATAGATCACTGTTGTGTAACACATTGCCACTACTTTTGAAATGTGACTAGACTTCTAGTTTGTTCTACATGATGTGAATTTCAGTAATCTATTGCAATGAATGTGAGATTTGCAAAACAACATTTCAGCTTTATACGAAGTGCTTGTGTAGTCAACTACTATAGCATGCATAAATAAATGGCAGTAATTGTTTTAAGCTTGAAAACTATGTAACTGTCGAGAGACAAGCTAAAAACAATCTATCAGCTGATAGAATAAGGACTCGGTTCAACTATTTTAATGATCGGACTAATATTGTTTGGTACCATTCTACAAAATAGTGCCATTCTATAAAATAATGGGATTGAAAAAGTGTTCCTCTGGGGGCTCAGGACATAAGATCTCTGGCCTTGATGTCTTCAAATGCTAACACTAACATACGAGTTGATACTCGTTGATACAACATTGTGTGTTATAACATGATGTGTTTTTTTATTTATAATTAATTAGGCTTGAGTGCAATTCACTATTCATAAGAGTGCAGATGAAGTATAAAGCAAGGCTGTGGAGTTGTCTTTGTAGTTGGAGCAACACAGTTTGGCAATGGTTTTAATTTTTATATTAACCCATTAAAAGATACAAACATGTTTAAAGGCAGGTATTATTATTTTTAAGATCTTAACCCAATGATGATAAATTTTACACTGTTTCCTTGTTAAATATGATGTTTTTGTTTGTGAACCAGGAGCTATTAACATTACTTATGAAACCGTGAAGGGGTCTTTGATATCTCTAAATCTAACTGAGGGGTCATTGGCTGAACCTGGTCTTGATTTTCTGCCTGTGTCTGGGTTTGCGATTCTTGAAGAGGGAGAAACCACTATTGCCATAAACATCACTATTTTAGAGGTAAAAATGTCTCCAACCTGTTTTTTTTCTTACTTCATATATATGGAGAGCTTGGTTTCTGGGCTACCATCAATTCTGTATTATCAAATCTATTTATTGACTAGGTTTAGTGCATTTGGAGAGTCTTGAGCTTCCAGTAATTCCAAATAGAACATACTCAGATATATTTTGTGCTGTAGTAATACAGTAAAGAAATTTGGACTTAATAGAGGAATTATGTCTTCAATATAAGACTGCATCGCTGAATGTTATGTATAATTCATGATGGCATGAAAGATTCGTTCATGTAATAAAATTGATTCAACTATAGGAATACAGTAGAAGTGATGTTCTATCTAATGCACCTCATTGTTTTATAAGTTAGATTTATAAGCTAAGTCGAGATGGAATTTCAAGCCGATAGTATACTTAGTATTCAGTAAAGAATTGAATACATGCAGCATATTAAACGACAACAGAAAAACCTGAGCAATTTATGACTATCAGCTATGAAACCTTAAACTTTTAAACTTTAAATACTACTGCCAGGTAGTTTTCATTTTAAATAATTTGCACCAATTATTTTTCCAATGTATTTTCCATACCATTTTATTGTGACAGTGTTGTTAAGCCATTGTGATGCTAAATTCCTACTATTTCTGTTGATTGTTCTTTACAGTCATAAAGAATATCGCTCAACACTGCTGCATAACAAGTTTTTTTTTCAACAATTCTTTGTTTTTTTTATAAGCGGTGTGCTATAGTATATCATTATATAATTTTAGGACATACCAGACCTTACACCAAATAAGTAGTTACTTATATTTAATTGTACTAGGTTTATAGATTTATTAAAGTTTTACTAAAGTGTGTTTTTTCAGGATGATATTCCTGAACTGCAGGAGTTTTTCCTCGTCAATCTGACATCAGTGGAGCTCATCCTACCGCAGTCAACTTCACTCCCTCCCAGACTGGGTGTGTACATTGTGTTTTGTATCCATCTATGTTTATATTGGTTCATCAGGGCTGAATTATATATTTAATATTATATCCAATTCTTTTAATTTTAAACTCTGTTTTGGGAGCTGAAAAGTGAGTAGGTAATCTATTGTGGAGTCCTGCAGCTCAGTGGTTAGAGCAATCGCCTTGCAAGCGAGACACCCGAGTTCAATTCCAGGCAGGGCGAAACCTTGGGCAAGTTTCCTTACTCCACACGCCTAATAATAATCCCTCCAAAAAAAAACAATAATAAATTGGTCATTTTTAATCCACGACTGTTTGTGGGATACTGCTGTGCGCAACTGGCTGCCGCGTTTTGCTCACAAATATACAGTCAATTCACTTTACAGCATATTCTGTGAAGCGCTTTGAGAGGTCGAAAAGACGTGAAAAGCACTATATCAAATACAAGGATTATTATTATTATTATGACAACTGCCAATGCCACTTTGTAACTAATGGTGTTATGAAGTCTACGAGAATTGTCTTCTGATTCTGCCCCTTTTATGCCATGCGAAACTAACTTATCACATCAACATCACACCCTATGATGGGACTAAGATTGGCAGCTTGCTGCATGTGAATCATGCTATGTATTTATAATCCTTGCATTTGGTATAGCGCTTTTTCATCCCTTCTGGACGTCTCAAAGCGCTTCACAGAATATACTGTAAAGTGTATTGACTGTATATTTGTGGGCGAACTGCGGCAGCCACTTGCGCACAGCAGTGACCGACAAACAGTTGTGGATTGAAGTGACCAATTTATTATTGTTTATTTTTCTTGAAGGTTTATTATCAGGCATGTGGAGTAAAGAAACTTGCCCAAGGGTTTGCCCTGCTGGGAATTAAACCCAGGAATCTTGCTTGCGAGGCGAGTGGTCTAACCGTTGAGTTACAGAGCACCTGTATTTGTAGGATATCAATCATCTAGGTCTCCATTGGACAATTATACAATGGCCATTTTAACCATACTGAGTTTGTTCCTGTGATGTTGTTTATACCTAATCTTATACCTCGTTTATATTGAGAGCTTCTGATTTTCAAAACCCCCTGATAAAACAGGCCCATAACATAAGGCAAATAACTTGCAAAAAAAATCGGTGTTTATCCAATAAATACCTCAAAATCCCCTAAATGGTTACTTGTCCTGTCGCACACTTTGCAAGCTTGAGAGCACCTCTCTCCCTCCGTGTGTGCAGGTGTGTCTGAATCTTCCATTAAAAGTAACTCAAAAAATGCTAAAAAATAAACCCTGTAAACCAGAAGTCCTATTTATTTGGCAATGAATCATTGTGGGGAGGAAGTACTGGAGTCCAAGCTGTGGGTTCAAATCTGATTTTTATTGTATATTTGATGATGAATTGGTGCCAACATTATTGCAGCTCTCTGACAAAAGTATAGTTTTAAATACAGCATTAGTGAATCCAGTTTGTTGTGGTTACCCGATGGAATTGTCTGTGCAAAAGTGTGTTTTTGTTGAAAGAGGAATGTTCAATGTTACTCATTACTCTTTAATTATTCGTTTCATTACTCTTACTCATTAATTCACTTTTCTTCTCTTAATTTGAGAGGAAGAAAAAGAACCTTAAATAGATAAGAGGGTAGTACTACATTCTAAAGCTATCTATTTTAGGATGTGAATCTCTCCAATTTTTGCCATGAAAATTTTTATCTAAAGCAAAAAAACTTGTGAAGCCATTGGATTATTTGATCAGCTCTTTACTAAAACCTGATTTTGGTGTTTTATGAATGTTTTCGGGGTCACATGCCTAATACCCCCAAATAAGGTGTTTGAAGAAGTAGGGATAAATTGAGGAAAATAGTCATTAAAATATCACACTTTACAATAAAGATTTTATCATACTATCACTGGTTATTGATCTGAGCTATGTCATCAATATAATATATATATTATTAATATTTCTATTAAGCAGGTTGCAGATGATAAATACATTCCATTAATCAACAAATAATTACAATAAGATACATAATTTAGAGTCTGCTAGATATTCTGTACAGCAGGTAAATATAATTTGCTGGTAATTATTAATTACTGGTACAGTTTGTCACTTTGAAATTGTATTCTCGAATGCTAACTAATTTTGTGTAGAATTTTGTATAATATTGTGTAAAAAATTAGGAAATTTTTATTCAAAAATTATTGATCAAGACTTTTTCACAACATCACAAGAGAAGTTTGGTTTTGAAGGAGGTACTTTAGCCCACTTGATTTCATACCAAGAAATACAACAACAACAAATTACATTTGTATAGCGCCTTTCACGTCAGGCGGACTTCCCTACAGCCCACCTATTATATATTCAACTAGTTTCTGTTCAATATTCTGACTACTATCACCCTTCTAAATCAATCTTAAGTTTTACCCTGAACATTTATGGGTGTAGAATATTCTTCTTTGACTACTATGTTTAAAAACATTTCTTTTACTTTTTCCTTCTTTCCTTGCATTCTCCTTTACGTACTAGAACCAATCCGATTCAGACTTGCAGGTAATTAATATGCAAACCAGCATGGCCCAATGTATGCTGTGTTTCAATAAAGCCTTAAGGTTACCCACATTTTAGTTAGGTTCTAAATTCATCTATTACATAATGAGTATAGTTTGCTTTTAATTTCTAGATGCCGAAGGTCTGGTTTCTCAAGTAACCATTGATGCTAATGATGGTGTGAAAGGAGTTATTCAATGGCAAAGTATTGAGTAAGTGTTTTATCATGAATATAAATATAAACAACATATAAATATAAATTACAATAAGATATATAAATATATATTATTTATATAGAATATAAATATAAACAACATGTATGTTATTTAATAAAGGTGCAGTTTGTTTGTTACTTTGAAGGTGTATTCTCTAATACTATCTGTAATTCTTCAAAGAAGAGCTTTGAATTGCTGTTTGGTCATCACAGTAAGGCTTTGGAGCAAGCATCACAGTTAATGAGTGAACCGATTTTGCTTCAAAGTTCAGTCTGTAGACCGTTTGGAGACCTGCTAATTGGCTCCAGTGATTGAAGATGGGATTTAAAAAGACTTGAAAGATAACATGATCACATGAAAGCCTGCCCTTTCTGTGGATCAGGTGGAAGGAACTCGTATCGGGCACTGTAATTTACTCATTTTATTTCCCGAGGCAAAGTGTTTTCTGTCATGGTGTGCTTGTACTGCTGGAAGTTAAGTGATTTTGCTTCCAATGTGGAGTGAGAAGGCTGATTTATATTCTTAATTCCTAATGACATTGCCTCGGACTATTAAAATATTACAATAATTACTGATTATCAGAATTCTGTGCATGTGTGGCTAAGCAACGAAAATCTTGTCTTACATTTTTAATGTTGTTAACGAGTTGGTTGAGGTTACATTTAACAGTCCAAGATCTTTCAGAGGAGCCCTAGAATTGTGGAGCCCAGGTAGATAGACACTTGTGCTTATACTTCAGAGGGACAAAGCTTCCCTAGGCGCTACAATTACTGGCAGCATCAAAAGTGTAGGACTCCAGCATCATGTGGCTTAATTCAATTTATGTTGCATATGACATGGCGTAACCACAGCACAATAGACTCCGTGTGGAACTTTATTAAATGACTTCTGAATATCTAAATGAATTGTACAGGTGTTGGCATCACTACTTATAATAATAATAATAATCCTTGAATTTTGGTATAACTCCTTATCACGTCAACAAGACGTCTCAATGCTTTTCACGGGATTTTATTGTGAAGTGACTGTGTACTTATAGACAAACACATAGTCACTTGGGAACTCAGAGAATTTTTACTGAATGGATAAAGCCTCAAGTGAGATGATCCCAAAACATTTTCTACTGGAGTATGTGAAGGGCTTTGCTTGACTTCATCAACTAGATACTTGAAGTCAGCTTGTCATCACTCTGCTCCTTTTGTGGACCCCAGCCTATTTTTAATTGGAGTTATTTTAGTTGTAAGGATCCAGGTTATATATTTGAATGTGCCTAAACTAATGTATTTTTATGATTTAAGCTTTACTGTCCTACAATTGAATTCTTCATTATTCTTTGTCTTCAAGTTTTGAGGTGAATGAGACGACTAACAACCTGACTTTAGTCATGTATCGAGATAGAGGCACCTATGGAAATGTGTCATTGTTTCTCTACCCCCAAAATCTTGAAGCTCAACTTGGCCTGGATTTCAGTGTGACACCAATGGTAAGAATATCATTGCAACGTCCAAATGTTATATCAGCAAGTTACGTGTATGCAAAATGTACAGTTGATCTAATATTTTGAAATGTATTTTTAAAACCTGTTTAAAAACTTTACTTGTTACTGAGATGTTGATTTTAATCATTGGTCAACAGGACCAGAAATATGAGTGGACCTGTTCTGTCAAGACATACAGATGATCTTCGTACAGGTTCAGGTTAATCTAGTTTTCTTGGGTTTGCAGACTGTTGTTTTTGGTGATGGGGAAAGATACAAATACATTCAGATTACCATCTTAGATGATGATGTTCCTGAAGGAGACGAGCATTTCCAAATGATTATTGCAAGTCCATCCTTTGGGCTGGAGCTAGGGGAGAAAACCACAGGTAAGAAGCTACATTTATGCCTATATATTCCAAGTCGTAGTGATGCTGACTTGATGGCATTATTGATTTAGCATGTGGTTTTATTCTCTTTGAAGTTACCAATCTGCTATTCTGTACATTTTTAATGATATTTCCTGTTATGAACAGATATCCCAAAAGATTGGTAAATTTTGCCGAAAAGAGAAGAATTATCCTTTTCCTGATTTCATTGAGACATAAATCTAATCTTTCTGCAAACGCTATTCCTTGGGCATATTTGAAATTGAGAGAGGCAAAGAAAACAATAATTTCCTCATAGAAATCTATTCTTAGAAAAATATTTAACTTATTAAAAATGTTTAGCTCTTCTATTAGTCATATAAATCTTTTTTTCTAATTGTATAATAGCAACATTTGTCTTTGTCAGAATATAAAGGAATGCTGTAAAAATCCATAAAGGGTACTGCTTGACTTAACGAACCACAACATTAATTTTGCACTATAATAACACAAAATGTGCTCAAATAATACAAGCAGTTCTAATCTACTGGGTTTGTGCTGGCAAGGGAAGCACAATTCCATGGCCATTATTTAGAAGATAGTTTGCTGACTGATAGTTTTATTTTACTGGCTAGTGTAGCTAAAGCACCTTGAAAAGATGCAAGTGTTTTATATTAAGTTATTAGATGCAATGTAATATGCTGGCTGACTTTAGCTTGGAAAGAGATACCAGTGGTCAGTATTATTTCAGCCACAAAATATTACTGGGAGTCCTGTAGCTCAGTGGTTAGAGCAGTCGCTTTGCAAGCGAGAGACCTGAGTTCAATTCCAGGCAGGACGAAACCTTGGGCAAGTTTCCTTACTCCACACGCCTAATAATAATCCCTCCAAAAACAATAATAAATTGGTCATTTTCAATCTACAATTGTTTGTGGGACATTGCTGTGCACAATTGGCTGCCGCGTTCGCCCACAAATATACAGTCAATTCACTTTACAGTGTGTTCTGTGAAGCGCTTTGGGACGTCCTCCCAACGTGAAAAGCGCTATATCAAAATGCAAGGATTATTATTATTATACTGAGATCTATTAATTGTTAATAAATATGTTTAATGCACACAAATAAAAGCCACTATAATATTATCGAGAGAATCACTGTAATAATAATTAATGAGTGAAATGAGCCGTTGATCACAGTCGAAATACTGAGGTAGTTCTTGTTTTTAATTTGTTTTAGCTCCAAGGAACGTGGAAACAGAAGCCAGCTATTTGGTTCATTAAGCAAGTTTTTAGGTCATGACAGATCTTTTGATCTAGTTTCCTTGTCTTTTTCCACATTCTATCCATATCAAATGCTAATGCAAGGATCATTATTAACTGTTAATTCCCTTACTTCTATATCTCCTATTCAAATATCTCAATTGTTACTATGTGTCTAGGGTAATGCATTTCCTATTATCCCCAGTATTTGTGTGAAGAAAGGTATCACTTTTTTCATCTTGATCTTGAGAGGCACCTATCTCAGTATCAGGCTGACTATATTGGTAGCCTTTTCACCTTGAATCAGAAGATTTGAGTGTTCAAGTCCCATGTTAGGATTTTAAGATCAGAATTTATGCTGATGCTCCAGTAGAATGCTGGGGACACACTGCCTTGTCAGACGTACTGTCCTTCGCATGACATGTTAAACCGAGGTCCCATTTTATCTGTTCAGGTGGATGTTAAAGATCCTATGGGATGCCACTATTCAAAAAAAAAAGAAGGGAGTTTCTCACAGTATTCTGTTTAAGTTTATGTCGATTGTCTTTTGCTGTTACAGCCACAGTGATCATCTTTGCCAGTGATGATGGCCATGGTATCCTCTCGTTTAACAACAGTGAGCACTTTTATCTTAAGGAGCCTACAGCCCTCGGCTTGTCAGAGAGCGTTGCAACACTTCACATTATGCGGTTCCCACCGCAGGGGACATTTGGAGTAGTCACTGTTCAGTACCTTATCACAAGTTTGAATGGCTCAGACCCCTCATTGGATCTGACTCCGACACAAGGCTTTATTGTACTTGAAGAAGGAATCAGAATGAAGGTAAAATGTTTGCATTCATAAATTAGGACAGTCTTCTTATAATTTCTTTTCATTCTACTTTACTCACACTTGACTGAATCACGCTAGCAGTCTTTTCACTAGAAAGTTAAAGTAAACTAGTCACTAAGTCAAATCACCTCAGACATATTTGTCTAATTTGTAAGTACAGTCAAACCTGTTCAAGCAACCACCTCCATTCAGCAACAGCTCGGTTCGACAAACAAACTGTTGGCCACCCTTATACAGAGGCCACTTTGGCTCAGTCCCTGAGAAGTTGTCGAAGACAGGTTTGACCTAATAAGTTAATAAGTTGATTGGTTAGTTGTATGTCTGTTCAATCCTTTCATGTGGCTGTTAACTGAGAGTGAAATCTGGTCTAAATTCAGATTTTTGCAAATGTTTGATCGAAGTAAAACTTTCCCAGTTAAGCTTCAAACATTTTTCTTTTGAGTTCCTGGGAGAAAACAATACCTCTAAACAATGGAAAATGACAAACTTGAATGGATTTATTTATCTAGTAAATTTCCTTCAACAACCAATGACATTGCTTACGGAAATCCTATTGGAAATGAAGTTGTGTTTTAAGGAGAAAAATAATGCCATTTTAAAATACTTATTACCATCACTCCACTTCACAATAAATCCTGTGAAATAGTATGGGACGACCTCCCAACGTGAAAGGCGCAATAACAAATGCAAGAATTATTATTTTGTCATTGATATCAACAAAGGCAAGAAGGAATCAGATAACTATTTGATGAATAATTGAATTGAGGGTTATGAGGTATAGAGAATTAATGCAAAGTTGTTTAGTTATTATTACTTGTATCTTGGATATGAACCATAATAATCTTTTCTGCTCCTTTATTTTCCAAAGCACCTCTCTGATTCTCTTTTAAATTATGTGATTGTATTAACTTCTATAGCCTCTTGTTGCATTGTAATCCAATGCTAATAATTCTTTGTTCCAAAACTTTTCTTTTAATCACTCACCCTTAAATTTCTCAACATAAAATGATTACAATTGGTCAGTTACTCCATGGTTGTTTGTAGGACATTAGAGTGTGCAAATTGGCTGCTGAGTTCACCCACAAAATGCAGTATATCCTATGAAGCACTTTCAGATGTCTTGATGATGTGATAAGCCGCAATATTAAATGCAAGGATAATTTTATTATAATAATAGTGATTTTATGTGTACTTGCTCATTTCCATAAAATTTATATTTATACAAACCTTTGTTCAATTTGTTCTGTCTCAGACATTGCAGATTTCTGCTATTTTGGATGAAGAGCCGGAGATGGATGAGCAGTTCACAGTTACTTTGTTTGCCCCGACAGGAGGGGCCAGAATGGGAGAGATAGTACAGACCCTGATAACAGTCCTTCAAAATCAGGCACCATTAGGAATCTTCAGTATCTTCCCAATCGTGAATAGGTCAGTAAAAGCAATGTCATTAGACTTTGGTTATTAAAAAGATAATACTGAGAGCAAAATGTTAATTTCCACCCAAAGTGCCAAGTATTTGAAGAATGCTTCATTTACATTTGAACAGCATATTTGTCTGGCGACATTATCTGCAGGTATGGGGTCCACAATTACATGGATACAGATGACCCCCGACTTTAATGCCCTCGATTCCAGGACCTGCTGTTCTGACTGACTGCTTGTCAGCCATCAAGTAAACATCAACAAAGCAGAAGTCATTTTACTTGGCTTCCACTAATGCCTCCTCACCTCAGCCGTTATTCATATTTACCTCCTTGGATGCACATTCCAGATCACAAAGCCTGTATGGAACCTTGGCATTTTGTTTGACCCTCACCTCCCTCTAATTCTCTCACCTTGACCAAGTCCGTTGTCCTCGATCTCCACAACATTACTTGTTTCTCTTCTTACCTCACCACCCTCCATCACAGCCTCGTCTCTAATTGATAACTTCATCACCTCTGGTCTTGATGTCCCACATTCTCTTCCATAAAAGATTCCCACCCACAACCCGCTCCACTGACTCACGGTCCCCAGGAGATCGACTTCAGATTCCTAATTTTTGTCTACAAATAACTCTCTAGTCTTCCTCCACCCCTATCACTGTGGTCTCCTGTGGTTCTACTGCCTCAGTTGTTCCTTTTGGTCTGCTAACTTGGTCCTTCTTCATGTCCTCTACCCCGCCATCATAAACAAACTTTCATTCACTTTGCCCTCACTCCTTGGAACCATTCCATAAATCTCACTACTTCGCTCACTGTTTTCAAACCCACTAAAGAAAACTATCTCTTTGAACCTTTGACCATGTCTCACCTACTCCTCCCCCCACACCCCCCAATCTTTGAGACTGTCTCCTAATGAAATGCACATAGAAATGCAAGTGCTGTAGTTGTTGTTAATAAAGTTACTTTGATTTATCTTATTACAAATGTAACATTTCTTCAGGGATTAGCCATCATATGTTCCTCCATGGTGAATATTCTTCTCTATAATAATGAGCAGAATATCTGTTTGTTTTGAATGGCAATCTTTTATATCCTTTCCTATTTTACTTAGGACTCACTCGGTGAGTTTAGAAGAAGGAAATAGGACATTGTATTTGAAGGTTTCTCGGAGTAATGGCCTGGAGAGTAGGGTCAGTGTGGAATGGGAGACGAAATCTGGAACTGCATATGGAATGAGTAAGTTGTTACAATATAATGGTTGAAATGTTTAACTTATTAATATTGGGATCTGTAAACTGACCTGCTTCACATCACCCCCACAGAAGCTACTCTAAATCATTGTCATGCTTTCAGCCACCTTTGCCAACCTCTTCTCAGCTCCCTGCAACTTGACTCTCCATCACTTGTGTTAATTGCCCTGAAACTTCCTCTTGATGCTGCATAAATATTAATAGTTGTTACGAGCTGTGCAAAGCATGTCTCAATTTATAACTCATGTGTACACAGCGAAGTACAGATGTGCTTAATGATGTAATTAACGAGAAATGAAAATAATTGTTTATTAATGTCATCATTTGTAGTCAACTGGTCAATAAATACGTCTTTTATTGCTTGAATACATGATTATGGGCAACAGTAATACTCTGAAACTTTAATATTGAATTAATAAAGAAACTAGCTATTGAAGCCAACTATGGTAATATTAATCCTGTAACTACAGTAGAGCCCCATTATAGCGCGGTGGTTTGAATCTAAAAAATCGTTACCAACACCATAACAGGTGAGTGCTTCCACTTTCAATCTGCATGCATATGGCAGCCGGCTTCCCATGCTACAAAAAACGAGCTGCATAGCCTTCTTATATTTTAGTAAGTGAAGTTGGGATCCACACCCAAACTGCATGATAAGTGAATCCACATTATAATAGTGGTCTGTACTGTATTGAGTTCCTGTTTTTGCAGAGGGTGATGTACGAGTGCTGGCCACAGTACAGAACATACTCGAGGGATCAGCTGCTGGCTGGTGTTTCTTCACATTTAACAACAGCATGTTTGGAATTCTCCTCCGAATGTCTGAAATCGGCTTCACTACAGATGTTTTGTCAACACTTTATCAATGGCAGGGAGTGCTTGTACCGATGCAGGTAAAACTCTACAATGGGGGAAAAAAATAACTAAACTCTTTGACTTAAGCTTTTTTTAAAAAAAATCTTTGAGTCTGAAAAACTTATATGACAAAGTGCCGTTGTTCTTCTCACAGGATTTCAGAATACAAGATCCAACAGCCTGCACATCCTTTGTTATAAGCGAAACATCTTATGTCGTTATTGCTCATGGTCAAGTAAAAAAAGAGAGAGCATCTAATATCAGTGTTTATATGTTTACACTGAAGTCTGGATTAACTCTGGTATATTATTTTATTTTGTTTTTACTACTAGCCTTAAGGAAGCTATTTTCAGTTTAAAGCAGAATTGAACATTGTCACTGGGGTGAACAACCTCGGAAATAAAGGTGACATGTAGCATGCAACATAATTCATAGATCGCCAATGGAACGTTAATAATATAATTGGCTTCAACTGCATTGTAAAACACTCTGCATATTTACTTTGAGTGTTAATTGGGATTTTTAATTGTTTTCTTGGTACAATTAATATTTTCATTCCTGTCAATGTTAAAGGTCAATTGATGTTTCTTGCATTGTGTTTTATTATTCACAAATTTCAGTTTTACTTGCAAAGCATGCTTTTAATCCTTTGATTCTCCCAACAGATTCAGTCTTTGGCTTTGTTGGGCAGCAGTAATGTGAAATATTTTGCTCATGATAACCAGGATTATTTGATCGTAGGCAGCCAAGTGGACATTTTTGGAATCGGTTTACAGGTCAGAAAATGTTTTTTTCTTTTGCGGTGGCCGTTATATGCTGATGCTAAAAAAGAGGAGGTATCAGTTAAAAAGAACAGAGTAGCTTGTGGAGTTAGTTAATTCCCTGCCCCCCTCCCCCGCCCCACCCCCTCAAAAAAAAGTGTTCATGGCATTATTATTCACGGCAAGGAGTCCTGTAGCTCAGTGGTTAGAGCACTCGCATTGCAAGCGAGAGACCTGAGTTTAATTCCAGGCAGGTCAGGGCGAAACCTTGGGCAAGTTTCCTTACTCCACACATCTAATAATAATCTTTCCAAAACAATAACAATAATAAATTGGTCATTTTCAATCCATGACTGTTTGTGGGACATTGCTGTGTGCAATTGGCTGCCTCGTTCGCCCACAAATATACAGTCAATTCACTTTACAGTGTGTACTGTGAAGCGCTTTGGGACGTCCTCCCGACGTTAAAAGCGCTATATCAAATGCAAGGATTATTATTACATATTTGCCAAATATAGCCTGACTTTATCTGAATCCTAGTTTTATTTCAATCTTGAAACGTTTTTATTTTAATACTTTCTATCGTGTATTAACAAAGGCGGAAAAGGTTTAAAACACTTTTTAATATTGTGAATAAATGAAAAACAAATACTCCATCTCATCTCTAGTCATGACCACCTTTGTGGTCTGCACTAGCTTTCCTCCATGATATAAGATTCATACTGGGGTCTGGGTTCGGTTAGAATCATTTACAGAATTTCTTAGTTGCCAGGAAGATCATGCTTTGAAACTAGAATTACCACTGGTTTGAAAACTAAGAGACATGGAAGTCTTAAGATTTGGAGAAGGTAATCATCTGAGATGCCGTTTTGGACTCCTCTACTTAATAATAATAATAATAATAATCCTTGCATTTGATATAGCGCTTTTCACGTCGGGACGACGTCCCAAAGCGCTTCACAGAATATACTGTAAAGTGAATTGACTGTATATTTGAGGGCGAACGCGGCAGCCAATTGCGCACAGCAATGTCCCACAAACAGTCGTAGATTGAAAATGATCAATTTATTATTGTTTTTGGTTTTGGAGGGATTATTATTAGGCTCTGTGTGGAGTAAGGAAACTTGCCCAAGGTTTCGCCCTGACCTGCCTGGAATTGAACTCAGGTCTCTCGCTTGCAAAGCGAGTGCTCTAACCACTGAGCTACAGGACTCCACTTAGGCTTTGGATCTAGCCAAGGAATGATTTAGTCAAGTCCCTCTTTAGCTTATACCCGAGGACATTGGTCCCTGTCAATCCTTGCTTTTGTTTTGCTGTACATTGGTTTCAGGTTATTCACATATGCCTATCTGTTTAATAAAAACATATATTGAGTGAAAAAGGTAAACCTTATAAATCTAACCTAATGATATTTCATCATTTAATATTTCTACAGGTCTATAGATGGAATGGAAATTCATTTATTTTACATCAAAGCCTTCCTACTAATGGGGCTGTAAGCTTGACTCTGTTTAACCGAGGAAGTCTGCTCTACATGGCTGTTTCCCAGCTCAGTTCCAACCAAACCTCAGTCCTCTATCAGTGGAGTGATGGCGAATTCAGAAACCCTGAAAATCTGACTGTCCGTGGACCTGCACAAATTAGCAGTAAGACCATTGGGGCTGATGTCTACCTCATTTTTGCTAATAGGGCCATGGAAGGTAAGTGATTCGGTTATTCATTTATTTATCACATTCATATTATTAACCTGAGAAATATTCTGATAACCTTTTCATGTCACTTACTAGAACTCTTGATAATTAAAATGTACTTGTCATGAGAAGTGAAGAAACTAACTGGAATATGATGTGATTGCTGTAGCCTAGTAGTTTTACCTGGAATCTGCTGGGATATAAAAATATGTTTCCAGAAATCATCTTTGAAAAGTTTGTTTCTCTTTTACATTCATGTGGCATTCAAGTAAACTTTAATTTTATTGGATGTGATCAATGCCACAAATAATTTGTATTTGATCTGTGGTCTATTAATATATCTATTTTTCATGGAAGACTGCAACAGTTTGTGAAAAGCTTTTAGCTCTTTATTTTAGTGTATTTGGGAGCAATTTATTGACTCTAAACCATTGTATTTATTAGCTTTGTGTGTTTTTAATTTCATAGGCAACCTTGATCCCTGTCTTGTGTATATCTGGGAGACTGGACAGTCCTTTTTTAAATTTCTCCAATCTATTCCTGTCCATGCCGTGAGGAGCATTGACCTTTTCACACCTGCCTCTGGCTTTGGTAAGACGTTAGAAATGAATTCCTCAAACCAACAAGTATAACATTGAATGAATAGAATCATAGAATGTTACAGCAAAAACGTTTATCAAGTCTAGGTTGGCATTTTTATCTGCATGAGTTATTTAGTCTAATCCCACCACTTGCTCTCCACTCTTCTAATATTCTTATTTTCAAGCATCGATCTAATTGTCTTTTAAAATAACTTATGGCCTCTGCTTAACAGTGGCGTGTTGTTCTGAGTTCCATTCTCAACCAATCTGTTCTGACTTTTTTTAAATTCATTTTATAATATCTTAAGTATTGTGATGTGCATAAACATGCATGCATTTTCTGTATACCAGAGAAGTACAATACTTCTCTACCCTAGGAATCGAACATACTTTTCTCCAGATACTGAGCATAGCTGTTTAGTGTACCCTAGGTATTAACCCTACCAACGACCCCTAGTTATTAACCATACCATGGTGAATGTTTTCTTTGAATTAATGTTTACTTTGTTTGAAAACGTTACCTTCTCTGAATACTGTATTAATGTTGGTTGTATTATTTCAGTTCACCTCCTGCTTGCCAGTGAAAATCAGTCATTTCTGTATTCGTGGAATTCAGCAAAGAGCCAGTTTTCATTGGTGCTGGAAGCACCAGGAGCAAGCCAGATGCTTTCCGTCTCTGCACCTTCATTGAATGGAACCAAAACCCTCATTGTTTCAACTGGGGATTTGGGATCCCGGGTCTATGAACTTGCCTCAGTGTCAAACCAATCTGATTTCATTCCAATGTAAGAAGTTCCAATTTTCTATTGCTTTCTGGATTTTCCTGAATTTTTTCTTTATTTTTTTACTTTAAATAAAAACACTGAGAAATTAAAGAGCTAATCTTACCCAAACTGAAGAAACAACAAAACTCAAAATACTGCAGATCCTGTAAATCTGCAACAAAAATAGATGTCGGTGCTCACTTAGTAGGCCTACATTGCATTGTGGTCCATAAGTTTATCTTGCTCCCAAAGATGTTGGTACCCTTTGGTGACACCAAGTTTCTCTCTCATTTAGTCAAGTGCTCTGGGACACTACCCTGCATGAGTGGTGCTATATAAATGCAAATTGTTGTTGTTTATAATGTTCTCCAGTGATACACACATGAAATCCTTATTAGAGCTTTTGTTACCTCCCGCCTCAATTTTTCAACTGCACTCATTCCTTACTCGTTTTCCCATTTCCACATGCACTTCAAAGCACTTAATAGTGGTGTGACTTGAAGCCAACCCAAAAAGAAGAGGGAAAATTGGCCAAAGGCATTATCAAAGAATCTTCAGATGTGATTTGAAGACCGTAAAAGAGGGGTCAAGACGGCGGGATTGAGGCAGGGAGTTCCACTGGCTGAAAGCACAGCTGGCAATTGTGGAGCAGAGGGGATAAGGGATGGGAAGCAGACCTGTGCCAGTTGAGTGAAGGTGGTGGGTAGAGACGTAGTGTATGGAGAGGTAGGAATGTTCCAGAGGGTGAAGAGATTTGAAAGTGAGAGTGAGGATATTGATATTGATCTGTTCTGCAACAAGGAGCCAGTAGAGCTTGGGAAAAATGGGCTGATGTCGGTGCAGAGCCTGATACTGGTAAGGACATGGGCGGCAGAGTTTTATGTCATTTGGACTGTTAATAGTGGAGATGGAGAGACCGGTAAGGAGTTCATTGAAAATCGAGGTGAGAGGTGACAAAAGCACGAAGGAGAATTTCAGTAGAGTTTGAATTAAGATATGAGTCAAAGAGAGTGATGTGGCAAAGGTAGAGGAAGCCAGTCCTGGTCAGTGGACCCATTGTGAGGTAGGGAAGATAGCTGGGGATTGGACCCGACACTAAGGTTGCGTACAGATTTGGTGAGTCTGAGGCATAAGGCAGGGAAGGTTGATTAGTTCCACGGTGAGAAGACATTGACAGGAGCCAAGGAGGATGGCTTCTGTTTTGTCCATGTTCAGCTGCAGAAAGTTGGCACTCATCCACGCTTCATGTCAGACAAACAGGCAGTCAGAACATCAGTAGGACTGGGGTTGAGATTCGAGGAAGTAAAATAGATTTGGGTATCATCCGCATACATGTTGCCTGTGGATGATATCACCAAGAGGGAGCATGTAAATGAGAAAAAGGAGGAGGCTGAGAATAGATGTGAAGGGTGCTATACCAAATGTAAGGATTATAATTATTATTGTTATTTGTGTGTACAATCATCATCAATCAATGCATTAATGTCTTAAAATGCCAGGTTTGGTGAGCTTGTATTTGAACCTGGGGATGAAGAAGCTGTGATAGCAGTAAATATCCTGGATGACGATGTCCCAGAGGAAACAGAGTCTTTCACAGTGAGACTCAAAAATTCAAAAGGAGGAGCTGAGATTGGCTTCAATGGTCAAGTGATGGTGCACATCCTGCCAAATGATGATGCTTATGGAATAATTGGTTTTTCACAGGTAAGTTCTGATTTTATATCAAAATACAAAGAATGATATGCCATTGAAACAGGCCATTTGGTCTAACTAGCCTGTGCCAGTGTTTGTATGCTACATGCAAGCCTCCAACTCATATTTGCCTCCTATACTTGTTTCCCTTCTCCCTGATGAGTGAATCACCTTTCTTCTTAAATACGTTGATGATTTAATTTGAATTTTGAATAAATATCTTCATCATGATTTGGAGGCATTTTATGAGGTGTTATCACTCAAGTGCTGGATTTTTTTCCTTTAAAGTAGGAAGAAGTTGGTGGTGTAATGTTTTCCTCCTGAACCATGCAAAAATCCAGTTCAGTAAAGGTTCTCCTGATAGCTTTGTTATGAACTAAAAGCGACTGAGTCTTTGCTCTTAAGAAATGAGATTGGAAATCAGTTATGTGGCTAGGATTGCCAGTTTGGCTTGTCTGGTCAGAACATTGTGAGAGAGCTACAGACGGAGCTTGAGCTCATAATTTAGGTGGGTACTCCAATATTTTTGGAATGCTGTGTGTTGGAGGTAGGTATCAATGTGATATCATTCAAAAGATGGTTGGGGAAACATTTGACCTAGGTCTAAATTTACTCTATTTATATAGTATTTCAAAGAGTGCAGTATTTGGCCAGTTGATGAATTCAATCTTAACTTTGAATCCAATTTCTGTAGTTTTAAAAGAACTTGCAGAAAAATATCTAATCGGCTTCAAAATTAAGGCTGTTTTTAAGAATTTACCAAATTTCAATCTTTTTCCATATGATTTTGAATCCTATGTTTGAGAATAATTTTGCGCTTTTGAAATTGTAGCGTTTCAGAGCATATTTCTTTTTTCCCCAAAGAGTTCCTTATCCAAACAAGTTGAAGAGTTAGACCAGGACAGCATGGTCACCTTGAGCATTGAGCGGCTACGAGGGACACACAGCCCTGTGACTGTACAATGGGAAGCCAGTGGAAGCTTCAGTGACATCTTCCCAACTTCAGGAGTCGTAAGGAGATTCACTTTTTCTTTGTAAATAATAATTTTAAAGTTTCGGGTTGCCGATGCATTTGTCCTGCAAAGCCAAACCATAGTCAAAGCTCGGATATGATTTTCACATTGAATCGGTGAAATACTGAAATAAAATGGCAAATAATTAGCTGTCTTTCTACTTGATATAGAGTCAGCTTTCTGTTTATACTAAAACCATAAGCTCATGCTGTAACAAGATAAAAATGAGCTCTTAGATGCAGCACAATAAATTGTGATCACAGTGCAGACCCAGAATAAATGATCTAAGAATTTCCTGTCATGAAAAGCATACAAAACAACATAACAAGCTATTTTACATAACCGACTAGTTATCTGATCGACTTTGATGGTACTCAGTAGGCCACATATAATGTAAGTCAGTGGACGGTATCTGACTTCTGACCAGCAGACTAGTTTGAATAAACAAAAATACCAAACCTTTTTGCTTTGAGAGCCCCAGTTTATATTAGCAACTTTCAAGCTGTAAAAATAATAGCTTCACAGAACAGACAAAAATGAAACACTGTATTTGCAATCTTCATTTGCACAGAATTTGTAAGTATTAGATCCTACCAGTGAATCCTGTGTCACAACAGCCACAGGGAGGCTTCTCTACAGTGATCAGAAGTAGATTATGACAGAGCAGAGTCCCACTGGCAGCATTCAATATTTCTGAATTCTCTCTGAATCCAGAATGTGAATATCGTGCCCTTGACTCCAGTCCTGGTCACGATCTCATTCTTATTGAACAACTGAATGGGCGTGGATCAGATCAGAATACACAAGTAAAATAGCCTTAATGAATCCTTGCAAATTAGTGCTGAAGTGTTTCATCATTGGTCTCTGAATATCAAAATCTTCACACATCCCATGAGTAATCATTGCTTCAATTTTGCAGGTGGTCTTTGGAGATGGTCAAGCACTTGCTACTATTTCACTGATGGTATTGGCTGATAACATTCCAGAAGCAACTGAGATTGTAACTATAACACTTGTGAATGTTACCACTGTGGAATTGCAAGACCAGGACAGAGGAGGTGTACTTGACTGGGGCAAGAAAAATGCCATCTTGACCATTCTACCCAATGACTCACCATATGGTGTGGTTGGCTGGCACCCGGACTCCCTCTTCACCTCCGTGCAGGAGCCTGGAAGTAAGTTTTGTTTTGTGAATGCAGTGCAACAACTCTCTTACATTGTGGTCGTTAAAATCAAACCCTACGTTAAAAATGTTCTAGGATGCTGCACCGCATGAAGGATGCTGTATAAATGCAAGTTGTTGTTGTATATCATTGTTTGTTAAAAGAATAGCTGCCAATCAGTGCTTTTGGGTTGTGATAGCGCCTATTGATGTCACTTCCTGTTCACTGTGAGGAAACCAGCTCTTCGATACCTAACGTAAACCTCACCTCTGGTGCCCTGTGCTATAAGGGGACTTGTGTTACAATGGGGGTCAAATTATAGTCCAGGATTATAGTTTTGATAACCTTAGAATTTTTAAAAAACTTTCCTTTTGAGACAATTTTTACCCAAATTCTTAACATTTTTAAGGTATTTTATGTATCTTATTTATGTATTTTTTGGCTTCTGTGTTCACCCACAAAACCCACAGTCACTACACTTTACAATATATCCTGTGAAGTGCTTTGGGACGTCCGCCCGACATGAAAGGTGCTATATGAAATGTAAGCATTGTTATTTATCTTGAATAATAATCCCTCCAAAACAAAACATAATAAGTTGGTCATTTTCAATCCACGACTGTTTGTGGGACACTGCTGTGCGCAATTGGCTGCCGCGTTTCGCCTACAAATATACGGTCAATTCACTTTACAGCATATTCTGTGAAGCGCTTTGAGACGTCTAGAAGATGTGAAAAGCACTATATCAAATGCAAGGATTATGATTATTTTACTACAGCCCCATTGTGAATAAATTAAACAGTGTGGATGATCAGACATAGTGAGAGAGAAAGCAAAGTTAGAGAGGTAGTAGGGTTGTCATACTATCTTACTATGGAAATAATATTATTGTTCATGGAACAATGCAGGGAAACCCTATCATACCCGGTGGACTGGGTCCATAAGCATAGACTTCCCCCTGTGCTAAAACAAAATGTGAAAATGTCTGATTCACCTCTGACATTACTTTGTGCATGCCATGCATATATATGTACTGTGTCCAGCAAGCGCTACTGATATCACTTCCTTTGTGACCAATTTTACCTTCTTACCTCCCTTCCCCCTGCCCCAGGAGAAAATTAAGCAAAGTAACAACTTGTATTTATATAGTGCCGTTCATTTAGGGTAGTGTCTCAGAGTTTTTATATCATGCAAGAGGGATGAGAGGAGGAATGGGGAGGTGACCATAGGCGTGGTACCTGCACTGCACAAGTACCAAAACATACAATCAATTAAAAAAAATCCACCCCTTCAAAAATTACTTGGTTATTTATATCTGAATGCTCCCAATTCTGTAATAAGCAAAATGCTGGATCCAGATTTTGTATATACATGTTTTATTACTATAGTTGATATGAGCAGATACAGGGGTGCATCAATAACAACAACTTGCATTTATATAGAGCCTTTCTCCCACAGCAGCATCTCACAGCGCTGAAATACCAACAGTACAAAAATCATCCTGAGTTGTATGAAATGTGGGTACAGATTATATCCGTAATAATGTAATTGACAAACAGTGCAGAAAATGACATAATCTGTAACCCTTTGATTTGCGTTAATTACATAACCTGTACAGAGCATCTGTTATACATCTGTTTACACATAGTTTATATAATCCCTAGTTATGGGTTAGTTCTAAATTTAAATAGTCATATAAATAACTCTGATCAGAGTTTTTTTTTTACCAAAGATGTATATTCCTTTATAACAGAGTTGGTGAAGGATTAAAAACATTCTGAAGAAGTTTGCAATGTATAATTCAACACCTACAGTCAGAGAACATAAACAGTCATTTGCTTTTCTTTTGCCTCACTACAGTTGATCCAGTCAATGTAACTTTAATAATCCTCCGGGAACATGGATTTCTTGGGGACATTGCTGTTCAGTACAGCACAAAATCAGTGCTATCAATGTTACCTGCCAGTCAAGCATCTGAAAACCAGGACTACACTGCAAAGAAGGCCACAGTCATTATACAGGAGAATGCCACACAAGCATCCATTACAGTCACAATATTAACTGTAAGTTGTCTAGAAACTGATTTTCCTTATCTTTTTCAAAAATGTTGCAAATTAATTCTTGCAATAAAATTCTCGTATCCCCAGAAAGAGTCAGACCCATGATCAGTTATAAACAGAAAAACTGCAAATGCAATTGAAGGAGAAAGATAGGTTAAAAGTTTGGGTATCAACCTTACCCTGATGCAAGGTTGGTGTGAAAAACCCAGTAAAGATCCATTACAAGGAGTTGTTTTTGCAACTAGGTCTGATACCCGACACCAGTTAACAGAACATATAGTTTGGTAAATGCAAAGATGTTCACTGCCTTGGACTAAGTCAACTGGAAGCACAACATATATATATCACTCTTCCCACTCTTGCTTTATTGTTGGAAGCAATGTTACATTGTTATTAGTATTACAATGTTACATTGTTATCAGGCATTACTATTTCAGACTCATCATGAAGGTCTCAATAAGAATGACTTGAATAACTCCCCACAAGATCTAACAAAATATGTTTTCTCTTACTAAAAAGGTCCAGTGTTCGTTATCCTTTCTTTCAGTTTCAGGATCTGTTTTTATAAGTGCCATTAAGATTAACTTGCTGCCCACATGCCTATGCCTTAACTATTTTGCTTCAATGTTCACCAACGTGTTACAGGTAATTGAAGTGAAACAGAGCCTCCTGTAAGAAGTGCAAGTCTGCTCCATTAACTTGAATTGTTGAAGTGTAATGAAATTGGACTTTCACTTCATGGCTGTTTGTGGAACATTGCTGTGTGCAAATTGGCTACTGTATTAATTCCTCCCAAAATATAGTCACTGCGCTACTGCTGTGCGTACTTGATTGCTGCGTTTCGCCCACAAATATACAGTCAATTCACTTTACATTATATTCTTTGAGACGTCTTGAAGATGTGAAAAGGCGCTACATCAAATGCAAGGATTATTATTACTACACTTTACAGTATATCCTGTAAAATGCTTTGACACATCATCAAGAAGTGAAAGGTGCTATACCAAATATAAGATAATAATCCTTGTATTTGATATAGACTGTCAAGTCCAGAGGATGTCTCAAAACACTTAATAGGATTTACTGTAAAATATACTGACTGTGTATTTTGTAACCAAATGCGGCAGCCAATTTGCACACAGCAGTGTTCCATGAAAGGCTATGAAGTGAATGACTAATCTATTGTAAATCCCACTGCTGTTTTACTTTGTGCATCTATTAAAAAACAACAAAATAATTTGTTTGGAAGGACAAAATCCCCGAATTACGTGAAAACTTCCTGGTTAATATTACCGAGGTGGAATTGACTGGTATTACACTTGCTGGAGGAGGGCAGCCTAGTGTGAAGAGGTTGGGGATGGAAGTAGCAGAAATAGCAATTGAAGAGAATGATGATCCGAGAGGAATTATTCAGTTCAATGTCACAAAGGTAAGATTTATTGCATGATATTAGCTCATCTAATCTAATTTTCCTTAATAAGGTAGAAAGATTGAATCAGTTTTATACCCAGTATTAGCTTATTATTTTGTTCTATTACAAGATAATCAAAAACAGACTTACTTTTCTCAGTACCTGCTCAATTGGTTGGTTTCTATTTGAATGTGTAACAATATTCCTAATATGCAAAGCAGGTTCTTTAACAAATGTTGTTCTTCACAGGATATGAATGGTGCAGTTGTTGCGTATGAGGTTGATCCTCCAAGAAACCTTTTGAAATTGCCAGTAATCCGCAACGCTGGTACATTTGGAGCAGTAAATGTAGCTTGGGAAGCTAAGCCTGGAAGTGCCAGTCTCTCAGACTTCAGACCAGCCTATGGAAACCTCACATTTGCTGAAGGAAAGGTACCTCTTATGTACTGATTTGCTCAGTGATATAATTCTTTATCTGTTGGAGTGATATAGGCTTCCATGATTCATTCATGTTGTGTTGCAAACTGCTTTGTCTGAAGGCTGATCAATTAGTTTAAAAATCAACATGGTGACTGATTTAGGATGACTTTAGATCCATATTCCAAATGAAGACATGTTATTCCAATTATGTTTTAGCCAAATTTAACAATAAAATGAGGAGATAACTGGAGTTCAAGTTAAGATAATGATACTTTTTGTTTTGAAATTATCTATGCTATTTAATTTTTCCAACTGAATGCATTGATTTGAAAGTCAAACTCCTTAAGTTCAATCATTGACTGGACATGAAGGACAAGAAATTCCTCCTGTTGTGAAGTGAAATGGCTAAGACTTTGATTAAGTGAATTGACAAGGGCTGACATTGTCATTGTAGCTACATTTAACAGCAATAGGAATTTCTCACCTCAAGTTGTTAGCCTTTCTAAATCCAGTTACATATTTTGTCCTCTATCATTGTAACATGACATGGTAATGAAACGTTGGGTTTAAATCTGAACGTTGGAAGTATTGTTGAATCTGCACAAATGTTACATGGCTTTGAATTATCTTTCTTTCATGGCTAAAGTTTCTTCTTCTGGAAGTTTAAGATCAACTTCAAGGAGACAATTACAATGTTTATCCTAACACAAATTCTCTAAGCCCAAAGTTTTCAGAGTGTTATTTGATATTATGAAATAAATTGTGCAGTGTATGTGATAATATATGTGCACTGTTTCCTTTTTTGCAGGACTCTGGAGTTGTGGAGATATTTATTATAGATGACAATCTGACAGAGTTTCTCGAGACATTCAGTGTGATCCTGACCAAAGTGACAGGAGGTGCCAAAATGGGGGATGACATTGTAACTACAGTCAACATTCCAAACAACGACTCGCCTGTGGGGGTGTTTGGGTTTGAACAAAGATCTGTGAGTAACTTACTCTTTCTCTCATTCTTATTTACCGGCCTGGTTCAATGGCAATTGCATTTGCTCACAATCTGTCAAGTGATGGTTCTCTGCAAAGTTTAAGCATATCAAAACACGTATGTTTGAACTAGAAGGTTGCAATACTGGTAAAAGCATAACTTGACTAATACATTGTGAAATCCAGAACTGTTGATGTGCTTGGTACATATGGGATCACATCCAAATTTCCAGCACGAATGGTTGACCTCAAAAGGATAATGTTATTTTGAGCAAATAAGCATTACAAAACGTGCTGGAGATTTAAAAGGGTTTTGGTAAAGGATTTTGAGTGTGAGAGAAATTATTTTCAAAACGTTCTTTAGTTTGTGCCAATGAATACACTAAGAATACATCAATTCTTTGATAAATCATTAAAAGTAGGACATTTTGAGTACCAGATGGTGATTTGTACTGAATCACTTTAATTCCAATGTGGCCTCGTAGCTTAACCACTTTACTCCCAACCTAGAATATGGTAAGTTTAAATCCATGGCTCCTCATTCTCACTTTCAAACTTCAAATGGATGGATGCTTGTCTCTTCTGCTCAGCTAACTCGGGCTTGCCTTCCTCACCATGTCACCATCAGTGGCTGAGCTTTCAGATTCAACATCCACTAACATCTGGAATACCAGCCCTCTACCCTTCCATCTCGCTCCTTCTCTATCTGACTTTAAGCCCCATCTTAAAACCTACCTCTTTAAACTGCCTTTGTGAAAACAGACAGACGTGCAATTCTAAATTAACAACAACAATAAAATTGCATTAATAAAATAGTAATGCTTGCTATTGATATAGTGCCTTATCATGTCGTCTAGACATCTCAAAGCACTTCACAGAATATACTACAAAGTGGAGTGACTGTGTATTTTGTGGGCAAAACGAGTCAGCCAGTTAGTGCACAGTAATGTCCCACAAACAGCCACGGAGTGAGTGACCAATTTTTGGGGGTAACTCACTCTATGGAATACAGCACTTTCACGTCAGGAGGATATCCCAAGCTTCCTGACATTGAAGGGTTTGCACCCGAGCTGGGGGTGGAATCACGAGGGATGGAAAGCAAGTAGGTGGGAAGTTGACAGTAGAGATGTTCGAAGAGGAAGGTCTTGAGACAATCCTTGCAGGAGGCAAGGGAGGGGTGAGGTGGAGGGGCTTTGGCTGGAGTTCCAGAGAGTGGAGGCAGAAAGACTGAAGACCCGACCGTTGATGGTGGAGCGGGCAGGTTGGGGACATGGAGCAGGCCTGTTTCCACCGTGCAGAGGAGACAGGTTGGTAAAGGTTGAAACAGTTGTAAATGTTCAGCCAGTTAGTACACTATTTCAAACAACCATTTTTCCATGAAAAATCTTGTTTCAATTCCTTAAACTAGATCGCACCCGTCTTTTAGCATTAACACTTTATCACAGTAAATTGTGACAAAGCATAATCCAACCTCAGGTAACAATCCAGGGTCTCCTTTTCTAATTGTGTTCTGATCCCACACCCAAGATTTCCTGCAGCACCTGTTCTCAGTACTGGAAATGTTGCGGGAAAGTGTTAAATTAGGTTGTTTCCCACACGGGTGAAATCAGAGAAGAGTATTAGTATTATCCCTGGGATAAGGCTTCCAGGTTTTCTTTTGCTTAAGGAAGGAGCATTGTATAGAGAGATTTATTTTTAAAAATCTGCTAACTTACCATTTCCTTGCTTCTTCCTTCCTCAATCTTTACTTCAGATTTTCTCTGACGTTTCTCCTCTGCCAGTTCTTCTCCACCTCTCTGTGATTCAGTTTTCTTGCTCTGTTTACTTCTTTTTCCAGTCTTCTTATTTCCATTTTTGAGCTTCACATTTTCATTTTTGTGAGCCAGTGACCACTATAATTACCATTTGTCGTATTGAGTCACGTATTTGGGTTACTCAGCTTTGTCACTGTGCTTGTGTACAGTTTTGTCTCTGGGTGTACTTAATGTTGACACGTTGCACATATTCTATTTTGCTATTGTGCCTGTACTCAATTTTAACACTGTGTGTACTTGCTTTTGTTGCTGTTTGAGTACTCGGTATTGTCACAATGCACATGCTCAGATTTTCTGCTGTAATGTACTTAGTTGCTCTGCTGTGCATGCTCTCAGCTATGTTGCTGTGCACGTACTTGTTGAACTGTACAGGCTCTGTGCCTCAATCATGACATGCAGACCACAGGCATTCTATTGATCCATGGGTCATTTTGTGAGATTGGAAACAAAAGCAGGAGATTCATTGGAACAATCACAGGAGGTGTCTGGCAGTAGGATATTTCTGGAAGCTGCAGTGAGGCAGCCAGGAGTTCAGGAGCATTCTCAGACATGGGAAATTGAGATTTATGGGAGGCTTGGTAAGTTTGTGTCAGAGCATCAGTGGAGAATGCAAATATTGAGATGAAGCTAGATCTTTTACGAGATCCTTCTTTTAGAAGTCCACATTGCACCTGACATTGTCATATCTCCTTTGCAAGTGCTTAAAAGGTTTGCCATTTTGTGCAGCACGAAAAGTCACTTTGTATCTCACCTGTGCCAATAAAACCATTTACGTTTAATTGATGTACAGGTTTAATATTTATTTCAGCTTTTGAAGCATGTATATATCTACCTTTTGTCTGTGTTTGCCTATGTCTTCCATTTCAACGCTCACGTTTCTGCCAAGCACACTTCTGATTATCCATAGAGTGCACGGACCTAAAGTTGTAAGATAAAGAAGTATTTGCAAGTTACGTGTTCCAACTTATGGAGGAACACTGGTGATACAGGGAATGGTCAGCATTGATTGTTATATAACGAGTGCCAATCAAGCACAATTGTATTTATTTTAGGTGACCATTCGAGAACCAAAGACATCAGCTGACCCGGCTGGTCTGGTGTCCTTTACAGTGCGTCGGGACGAAGGTCATGGGTCAGTGGAGATTGTTTGGCAGGTGGATGACTCTGCAGAGAATGACCTCATACCTCTGACTGGCACACTCTCCTTCAATGAGGTACAAAACACAATTTTTTTCATTCCTCCACATGCAAATACGCGCAAACACGTATATTCACAGAGACACATCTGCACACTAAACTGTGTCCAATTTGATTAGTGAAACTGAAAAATCCAATGCCCTACCTGTTGATGCGTTTCACTACAGAAATTTGTATAATCTCAATTTGTGTCCAAAAAAGTAATTCAGGGTTTTATTTTGCAATTTTAGCAAAATCAAGTATTATTGATTTTACTTTCATCTGTGTAGAGAAAGTTTTATGTGTGTAAATCAACAACAAGAAATTATATTTGTATAGTGCCTTTCACGTCAGGAGGATGTCTCAAGGTAAAGGATGACCTGCAAGTTGGCCATTTTAACTTTCCATGCTCAGAAAAGACCAAATTTGAGGTCATTGAATCGCTGCTGACATCACTTCTGGCTCTATGGCATTCACAGTGCATAAGTGACCTAGGCGTCGGCCTATTTTTAGCACAGAAGCAGGTTCACAGGAAGTGAGCCGGTCAGCTGTGTGCATTCACAGTGAAACTGACTGTTGTGGCATCATTATAGTGTAGGTTGGGATTTTATTGGATCTCTCCATCACATTATAACAAGGCTCCACTGTGTACAGAAAGTATTCTTTGTGTATGATTAAAAACATTACTTTGTTCTGGGCTTGGTGACTTCTCTTTTTTACCATGTTAGACAGAGACCAGAAAGACTCTGGTTTTGCGCATTTATCCAGATGCCGTTCTGGAGGGAGAAGAACGATATTCGATTCAACTTGTATCTGCCACCAATAATGCCGACATCTCCCCTGTGTATGGTATGTATGTCACATTCACTAAATAGTATAATAGCTTTGACAATTAATAGAACCAATGTGTAGAAAGATGAAATGATTGTATATTCACAGGAGCTGGGCTTAGTTTTGTGTATTTTAAAGTTTAGAAAATGTTTCAGTTTCTTCTCATCAAATTATTTTTGTCTTTTTGAATGATTTTCATAAGTTTCTCCATCAATTTCGACAGTGCTGGAGTATTACTATTTATTGGTAACATTCTTCCAAGGGGCTTGCTTCTTAAATACTTGGTGCCTCTGTCTAACATGTGCTTAGATACAATTGGGTCAGCCGGAAATTAATCTTTACAGGAAATTGGCATTTGTAGCTCAGTTTTGTGTTTTTTTTTATGCAATTAGGAAAAAAAAGTTTGTGTTCGGGTTTTTTTCTGCTTTGTTAGATAAATGCTTCTTCCACAGGAAGTGCCACCATCATTATTTTGGGTGATAATGCAGCATCGGGGATGATCTCCATAGCTACGTCAGCACAGCATGTCCTCATTGGAGAACCAGTCGGCAGCTACAACGGAAGTGCTACAATAACGTACGTAATGGTTGGATGGGAAAGATAGATGAACCAATTGTTTACTCCTGCCTGAGATTGTTTCTCTTACTATCATCAACCTTGCCTCGAACCATCTCAAAGTGATTTGTAGCAATTTACAGCCCCTTCTCCAAGCCGCCTTGAAAACCTGCCTTAAGATCTATCTTGTTTACTGTGTTTTTGGCCATCTTTCCTATTCGCCACCACCACCATCCTCAGTTACCCCCACTCTTCCTGTTGCTCCTCGTCACTGAGTGAAGAACTTTGAGACATCCTTCTGATGTGAAAAGCACAATGTCTTTGTCTTTTGTACTTAACTACAACTTAATGCTTAATGTGGGGGTAGTGGGGGGGCACGGGGGAAATCAAATGAAACCTGACCTTTGTAAAGAAAGCCATGTTCATCCGGATTGCACCTCCAAATCTGCGCAGGCAACATTTTGATTTAAATATTTGGCAACTGTGAGGGAGGGAACACTGCTATATATAATTTTTTAGGTGATATTTATGCTATTAAGTTCACAACGAACAATAATTTTCAATGTATAAGGCAGAGTTCTTAATGGTATTTACTGATTTTTATTATCCCTACAGAATAGTGCGTGGTCCAGGCATTTTTGGTGATGCTACAATTAACTGGATTATTACTCCAGCAGTTCTGAATGAATTTGCTGAAACGGAAGGAACATTTGTAATGCGTGACAGACAGTCAGCTGCCACAATCTGGCTACAGGTATAGGAAGCAGCACAGAATGTTAAATGAGAATATTTGAGAAGCTCTATAATAATCCAAATTAATCCATATATTTAGTTATTTTGAGTGATCGCCTTGCCCTATCTTTAGTGAATAACAGACTCATGTATTCTGCTATGCCACTGTGTATGTTTCTAGAAGTTGTTGCATATCTAATATTTAATGTCCTTCATGTGTGCTATACATGAGTGCTGTGTGCAGGAGGCATTGCTTACATCACTTCTCGAAGTGCAGTTCTGTGCAACGGAAAGCAGTGCAATAATGCATTTGGACCATTCTGTGTCTTTAGGTGCACAAATAATTGCCTAATCCTTGTTTTCTGTCAAATCATAGGCTGCATTGCACATGTGTGACAGAATCCTGATAAATAATTCATCTTTGATCACAATTCTTCTGCCTTATTACATCTCTGATGTCTAAAGTGGAATAACCAGCCTCTGAATTGGTTAATTTGTTATGTAATCTGAGCAAATTCTTTAAAAAATCCTTGTCACCACAAGGGGTATAATGTTTGTAGCTTAACAGAAGCGGATGGTTTGTATATGGAATATTGTTTAATTTAGCTTGGTTAAAATTTGATGCAGTATTTAAAATTATAGGTCTTTACAATATAGTTTATTGAAATGCTGTTGAATTCATTGGAGCCCAGTTGTCTGCATTTGATGAGTTATAAATCTGTTCTTGTTGCTCAGGTGTTAGATGATAATATTCCTGAGGAAAGGCAATATTACCAACTTCAACTGAGAGGAGTCAGTGGTGGAGCTGTGATCAATGACTCGTCCGCCTCTTCTAACATCACCATGGTAGCCAGCGACTTTCCATACGGTCAATTTGCATTCTCTCGTGAGCTCCTTCAGATCTCTGAGAATGCTGAACAGGTGCCTAACTTGATTGTACTCTTTAATGACTAATTCTAGAGCACATTTCGTTTTTAAATGCCTTTATGAATTGATCTATAAATGCAAAGTGGGTTCCATCACTCTAGAGGAGCTTGTTTGTGTAATGTGCAGGTTTGTAACTCAAGGCTGTCTTACAGAACAATAAGTCAGCTTACAATATCACCATTTACCTTATTTACGGACAGGCTAACCTTACTGTTATACGGTCCCATGGAAGCTATGGTGGCGTTAGCTTGTTGTACCAGACATATGATGGGACTGCACTGAGCGATGCAGATTTCACATCTAAATCTGGACAGTTGCTGTTTGGACCAAGAGAGCAGTCAAAGTGGATCCTGATCGACATCATTGATGATAACACTCCTGAAGGCCCTGAAGATTTCTTTGTGAAAATTCTTGAAGCCGAGCTCCTGGGAGGCAGGTAAATAGTCAAATGACAATGTACTAGATTTCAAAATTGTGGGAGATGGATCTCCTTCAAAATCTTCATAGGAACGCATTTTTCAGACTGCTGCTAATTCTACTGCTGAATTTACACCCATCACAAACTAGCATTTTAAGAGTACTTTCACTGGTTCAATAAAGAAACAATTCAATAAACAAAAATATATTTGGTTAGCCAACCATAAAGGTTGGCGACTACTGGTGTGCGAATGACACACAAATCTCTCCTCCTGTACCCACTTCAAGTCCTCCGATGTCCTATCAGCTTGTCTGACAGACATCAGGACCTGGATGAATGCAAACTTCCTGCAGTTAACTGTGGACAAGATGGAAGCCATACTCCTTGGCTCCCGTCAAAATCTTCACTCTTGAGGATCTGAACTCCCCAATCTTCCTGGGCTCGCCCTCAAACTCAATGAACCAGTGCGCAATCTAGGCAATCGGTTCGACCCCAGCTGTTTTTTCTCCCCCACATCCGATCCCTAAGAGTCAGGCTCCATTGCTGTTAAGTGTTCTGAGATGCTACCCTGCGTGGAGGTGCTATATAAGTGTAAGTTGTTGTTTAATTCATCAGTCATGTGCCCAAAAGTTTATCCCAAATACAAATAGCCCTTTTTCTTCTCTTATAAAATAAAGTAATGTGTTTTGATGAAGATATGTCCCATTAATAAAAGTAGAGCATAGAATATAAAAACAATGGGGTATTGTTAAACTTGAATAAATCATTAGTTAGGCCACAGTTGAAGTATTGTGTCCAGTTTTAGACACTCCACTACATGAAGAATATTAATGCTATGGAGAAAGTGATTCACTGGATTCACAAAGATGATACAAGGATGAAAAGTTTTATTTATGAGGAGAGACTGGAGGAAGTAGGGTTATTTCCTTCAGAATAGAGAAGGCTGAGAGGAGACCTGATGAAGGTTTTTAAAATTTTGAGGGTTTTTGATAAAGTAAATAAAATTAATTCCACTGGTTGGTGAGTCAGTAATTAAAGAGCATTGATTTAAGGTAATTATGAACAGAATAAAGGGAATGTTTAGGAGATTTATTTTCTGTTTCATGTAACCTGTAAAGGGACTATAAAGGGTTTCAAAATAAATCTAGACAAATAATAGGAAATGTATCCAGTTCACAGTTATTGACTGATGGCTATATACTGATTATATTTTTTTCATCTGAATAAATGGATTTACTTTCATTGTTAATTCCAAAAGATGTATCATGGTGCTTAGTTCATAACAATGTCATGCTGACTGTGGGCTTCAGTTGAAAATATTTGATCCGAGGAGTACGTGAGTGAATATGAGCTTGTGACATAAACTGAAGCAAAACAAATAATAGCTACACTTCTCTGGAAATATAGGCTAAATGATCCTAAACAATTACCTCTGAAGTACAGCTCCGTAAACCTCAGAGCAATAATTTAGCAAAATAACTTTGAAAAGCTGCCTAAATTTGTATATATTTATACTGTGGTGAGCTTCTTGTCATTCAGATTTAACATTCTTGTACAATTGCTTTTTATTTGTTCTGAATATTGCCACCTCCACAACCCCCTAATATACATAATCTGCTATACTTTTAAAATTTGCAGTATTGTGTGTTTTTAACATGGTAACAGTATTTGTCAAGTTAAAATATCTTAAGGCTCAAGCTGATAGGGTTGAGGACATAATTCTAACTTCAACAACGACAACAACAAAATTACATTTATATAGCGCCTTTCACATCGGGAGAATGTCCCGAGGCACTGGACAGACCGAGTTACAGACCCGAGCTGGGGGTTGGGGTGGGAGAGGGTGAAGGGCAGGTGGAGAAGCAGGAAGATCAAAAGCATGGTTGAAGAGGAGAATTTTGAGATGGGTCTCGAAGAAGGCCAGAGAAGGGGCGAGGTGGAGGGACTGCGGGATGGAGTTCCAGAGGGTGGGGGCAGAGTGGTGGAAGGCCCAATAACCAATGGTGGGGCGAGCAAGTCCGGGGATGTGAAGCAGGCCGGAGACTGCTGAGCGGAGGGAGAAAACAGGATGGTAGGGGGTTAGGAGGTCTTAGTGGTAGGGGTGAGCAAGACCATGGAGGCCTTTGAAGGTGAGGACCAGGATCTTAAACTGTATCCTCTGTGTGATGGGAAGCCAGTGGAGTTGGGCAAGGATGGGGGTGATAGGGTCACGGAGCCTAGTGTGGGAGAGGACACGGGCTGCAGAGTTCTGGATGATCTGCAGCCTGTGGAGGGAGGAGTTGGGGAGGCCAACAAGCAATGAGTTGCATAGTCAAGCCTCGATGTAATGAAAGTGTGTATGAGGATTTTGGCGGTCTGTGGTATGAGACAGAGGTAGAGCCGGGCAATGTTACGGGGGTGGGGGAAGGCAGAGCGGGTCATGGCTCAGATGTGCGGTAGAAAGAATAGTTGAGGGTCAAACAAAACCCCAGGTTTCCGGACTGGCTTAGTAAGGTGGAATGTGCAACCATGGATGGTGATGCTGTCAGCGCCTGAAGTGAGGTGGCGCTGATGGGAGCCAATCAGGAGAGCCTTGGCCTTGTTGACGTTCAACTGGAGAAAGTTAGCTCTCATCCAGGACTTGATGTCTATGCCCAGGGCTATTTCTGTGCTCTGGGCGGCACGGAAACCCAATTCAAGGGGCTCATGAAGTGTGCCTTGGATTATTATGGAGCTGTTTGGCTTTCCTTGACGCATCTCCTCCAAGACAATTTTGCCCAAGAAATCCCCCTCCCCCCACACACCTCCGTTTATTTTACCTCAAGGGAATATTCTGGACTAGGCACTCACACTCAAGTTATCAACCTGAAAATGGGGAAGGATTGATTAGATCTACCAGGATTCAAACCCAGAACCTGAAACCCAATGACCACTGGTCAACCTATGCAAGAGAATGATGTAGTGCTGACACTTGATAATTCTATACTTATTCTGGTTTAACAGTTTTAATTATTAAAATATTCCTCTGAGGGATTTTATTTGTACTTTAATTGTATTTTATGGAAGTCAAGAACTTTTAACCTGCTACATTTTTGTATTAATCTACCAGGTTTCATGACTTCAATGTTGGGGTGAATGGTCTGCAACTCGACCAACCGCCAATGGTGGGGAACATATCATCTACCAGGATTGTAATACAGTCAAATGACAATGCAGAGGGGATTATAGAATTTGAACCACAATTCCTCAATATACAAGGTAAAATCTGTTAACTCTAAAGATCGAGTCTAGTGGTCTCAGACAGGAAATAATCAAGCTTAGACACCAACTTAATTTAACAGTTTATTATCAGAAAAGACATAGTTATCTAATCCAGAGAGCAGAGGTACAGTGGCTTCAGCATGTTATCTTCTCGAGTCTGCTCTCAAAAGCAACAACTAGTCTAGGCTATATTTGTACTCAAGTTGTTTACTAGATTTGTACACTCTTTCTTTGTCTTACTTCTGCATACCAGGACCATTTGGCTGCACATCCCTTTACTGCACTAGATGAAAGCAAAGACATTAGATATGGAAAAGACAGACATTACCTAATTTCTAGTAGGCTTACCAAAGTTTCACAACAAAATTTCACCTATAGGTACAACAGTACAAACTTCCAGTAGTTTTCCATTGTAGGCAAAATGCAAACCCGTACAACAGCATAACGGTCAACTTGATGGAGTTTATGGGGTCCACACATCAAAACATAATCACAGCATCTAGCACCAACTTTGCAGCAGAAACATAATTATGGCCAAATAATTGTCTCAGCAGTAATAATAATCCTTGAATTTGACAGAGAGCCTTATCTCATCATCAAGGAGTCTCAAAGCACTTCACAGGATATACTGTGAAGTGGATTCATTGGATGTTGAGTGTGAGAGTCAGTTGATTGATAGTATTTATTGTTGATTCACTGAAATCTGTTGATTTTACACACAGAACAATTAATACCTGTAGTGATTATATCTAGAATGATTGATACCCAGAGTTATTATATATAGAATGACTGATATCTGGAGTGTTTATTTATTGAAAAAACTGATATCTGGAATGTTTATTTATAACTGGAGTATAAATGCCTGGTATCTGGCGTGATTATTTATTGAATGACTGATGCCTGGAATGATTATTTATTGAATGACTGCTGCCTGGAATGATTATTTATTGAATGATTGATAACTGGAGTGATTATATGCCTATGGAGCGTACAAAAGCCTGAACAGATCCTCATTATGTATCTACAGACACACATTCCAATAGGGTCCACTGGATCAGGTATCAGTCATTCAATAAATAATAATGGATGAATTTCAGATGAATTTCAATGTGGAGAAATGCGAGGTAATGCATTTTGGAAGAAAGAATGAGGGGAGGTAATTTAGGCTGGTAATACAATCTTAAGGTGGGTGAAGGAACAGAGAGACCTGGGGGTTCAGGTAAATGAATCCTTGAAGGTGGCGGGACAGGTAGATAAAGCTGTAAAAAGTGCATATGAGATACTAGGCTTTATAAATAGGGGCATAGAGTGCAAGAGTCAGGAGGTTATGATTAACCTATATAAAACACTGGTTAAGCCTCAGTTAGAATACTGCACCCAGTTCTGGGCACCACACTATAGGAAGGATGTTAAGGCATTGGAAAGGGTGCAGAGGAGATTTACAAGAATGGTACCAGGAAAGAGGGACCTTGATTATGAGGAAAGGCTGGAGAGGCTGGGATCATTCTCATTGGAGCAGAGAAGGTTACGGGGAGACCTAATAGAGGTTTTCAAAATCATAAGGGAATTTGATAGGTTAGAAAGGAAAAACTGTTTCCACTGGTGGGTGTGTTGGTGATTCGACTTCACAGATTTAAAATAGCTTCTATAGGAAGCAGAGAGGAGGTGAGAAGAATTTTTTTCATGCAGCGAGTTGTTTGAATCTGGAATGCATTCCATGAAAGGTTGGTCCAGGCCGATTCGATAACAACTTTTAAAAACTTGGTGGATGGGTATTTGAAGAGGATAGGTTTGCAGGGTTATGGGGAAAGAGCTGGGGAGTGGGATTGACATTACATTGCTCTTTTCAAAAAGCCGGCACAGACTCGATGGGCCAAATGGCCTCTTTTTGTGTGGTACGATTCTATGATAGAGGTTGTGGATTAGGGGAGTATAATTAGCATAGCTGATTATACCCCTCCATCCCACAGCCTCTATGGCCAATTGTCATGATCCAACTATTCCCCAACTAGGATCAGATAACTCAACCTAAACTAGAGAATTAACCCTGCATATTTCTGAATAGCTTTCCGCAGACATTGTTTTGCCATATGGAGCCTAATGTGTGATGATAACCTGAAATTCCAATGCAAAGTGAAGACATTGTCTTTTTGTATGATCAAAAAATAACCAAAACTATTAAAGTGCAATCATAAATAGATTTGTGTGAAGTCTATAGACTCTGTTATTGAACAGAATGACAGCTAATAATTCTATTATTGTTTTTGTAACTTGAGAACTAACAAACATATCATGTTTCCTGTATTTACTTGTACAGCTGAGGAAAACATTGGGATAATTGGAATCCCAGTGATACGAAGACAGGGAACATATGGAGTTGTCACAGCAGATTTTGTCTCTCGTGCCATCACAGCATTTCCCGACGGGATTGATTACATCCTCACTAATAATACAATCCAATTCCAAAACGGACAGAACCAGAGCTTCATCAATGTGTCCATTATTGATGACACTGAAAGGTAAATCACTGATGCAATAGAAATTACCAAAGTCTAACCCCTTTGAACCAAGGCTGCAGGAATAATCCATCAATAATAAATGATGGTTATAGTCAATATTCACTGCTCAGTCAAAAACTACTACAGCAAATCTTTCAGATTCAAATGTATTATTCAGTATTTAGTTTGCTCAAAACTTGAGATGGCATCTGTAATTGTAACTGTTGTTTGAACTCCTGAGCTGCTTGTAAAATAAACCATTATTTGTATTTGATATCTGCAACATGTTTTTAACCCCAAATAGGCCTTATCCCTTTTCCATCTCTTTCCAAAATACACCTTTAAATAATCCTGCATGTGTTGATATTGTTTGCTAAAATATTTAATTTTGAGTGGTAGAATCAGAGAATGCATTACTTCCAGTTGTTTATTTGGACAGTTTGTAGTCTGTAATCTGCTTTCACCACCCTTTCAGGCAATGCATTCCAGATCCAAACAACTCATGTCTAAAAGATTCTGTGCTACTGGAAACAAACTGAACTAATCCATGTATTCTAAAAAAATAGTCAAAGGGCTCCAAGTTGGAAGATAGTATTTTGAAAAACAAACAAATTCAGTGAGGAAGCTAAATTTATCTTTATCTTAAATGTTTTATTTATCATAAAAGCTCATTAGAAAATGTCCTGACAGATTTGTTGATAATGGAGAGTTGCCACGATCTGCCCATTGAAATGGATGTTTGATGCTGTCTGAGAAGAGAGAGCAGTTTATTGTAGATTGTATTGGTGTAAAAAATATAATCACTTCCACTGGATTGTAATTACTTATGAAGTGCTTTGAGATGTTTCAACATGGTAAGACACTAAAAATGCAAGCTGCTTCCTTCCTGCTTTCTATTGTCCAAGCACAGTTTTACATTTTTATCTTTCTCTTTTACAATCTTCTGAGGAGGGAAAAACCAACATTTACAGTGTGCTCTTTCTGCAGAGAGTATGATGAGCAGTTTGAGATCCAGCTGATAGCAGCAACAGGGGGAGCAATTCTTGGGACTCATCTTAGTACCAAAGTAACCATCCGTAAAAGTGATTCCCCTGATGGTCTTATACGATTCCTAAACCAGTCCCAGTTTATCATCCCAAACCCCAGTGTAACACAGAGGCTAATGTTGATGCTGGAAAGGACTGGGGGATTGAATGGAGATGTGGAGGTAAGTTTGGGTTTAATCCCACGTGGTTATCATACATATTTTCCTGAAGTCTTTTAGGAATACAGGTTGCTATGAAATGGTGAATGGCCCCCTTGATGGCGCAATAAGTAATGTAGTTCCTGGAATGCTCCTCAGCCACTCAGAGAAGGCAGGTCAATTTCTGGTCTCTCTGAACAATATTCTGAGGTTGTGGTGGTACAAATGGCCTCAGTGTACCTTGGTTAGAGAAAGGATAATTCATTTGCGACTCCTGCACATGGCGGTTATTCCACCATCTGTGGAGATGGAATCAGGATTGTGTTTGATCATTATTTCCCCCAAAGACACTGCTAGCTCTGATTTCCCAGGTTTATCAATGAAGATAGACACTTGGTCTACCAGCCCCTCTGGGCTTGTGATTGGGCCCAGCAACAGTCACGAATCTTCAGATCCTATCCAGGAGGAGGGATGGGAGAAAATGTAAATACAGTGTAGGAGCTGTAATAAGTACCTTTACTTATAAAACAATTCATGTGCATTACTTCCAGCTGTTTATTTGGACAGTTTGTAGTCTGAATAAAGTGTAAAGATGCTTTTAATAAGATTTATTTTGAAGCTCCTGAGCTCTTTTAGCATTTTTTTGTGTCTAAAAGTTCTGTATTTTACTTAGTTCATAACTATTTATGTACTATAAACTCTCAAATGCAATTCATTATGCCATCCACTGCTACTAAGTATCTGCTTCAATTAGATGTATTTGAGTTGTCTCTATTGAAAAATTGCCAAACACCATCAACTTGTAACAAACTAGTTTGGACTTTGCCTTGAAGGGGATTAGTCTGAGCTGCATTGTATTTTACAAACTACAGTGAGTATTAACATCCTCATAAGGAATCCAGTACATTTTCCTTTCCCTGTAACCATCTGGAACATTTGTGTAGAACAAAACCTGCAGTTTGCAGACTTTGACAACTTGTCTCCACTTAATGGTATTTTTTGTCAGAGAGCATGTTATTCCCTCCCCTTGCTAAATTTGGTAGATTGCACATAAATACAGTATTCAGCATGAGGATTGCTCACTTTTCTACATTTGCTTTTATGCCCTTTAGAATGAAATCCCTCCTTATCATTTTCTTAAATTGAGCCATCAACATAATCTTGTTTAACAAGCAAATTGCTAGTCCTGCAGCTCAGTGGTTAGAGCAATCGCTTTGCAAGCGAGAGACCTGGGTTCGATTCCCGGCAGGGTGGAACCTTGGGCAAGTTTCCTTATTCCACCCACCGGATAATAATCCCTCAAGAAAAAAAACAATAACAAATTGGTCACTTCAATCCACGACTGTTTGTGGGACACTGCTGTGCGCAATTGGCTGCCGTGTTTCGCCCACAAATATACAGTCAATTCACTTTACAGTATATTCTGTGAAGTGCTTTGAGATGTCTAAAAGACATGAAAAGCGCGATATCAAATGCAAGGATTATATTATTGCTGTGGAAAATTCCTAATTGCTTATGCATGCTGCATTTTGTATCTATGCTCTTGTGTACAGTATGTATAGTTATGTAAAGAATTAACTCTCATTAATTGCTGATTAATGAAACTGGAATAATATTTAATGAAATCTGAATATTGATTTAGTGAAGTCCTTTGAGATGTTATAACATAATATCAAGATTGTATTATTTTAACTTGCTGCTTATCTTCCCCAGGTTAAATGGAGCATTTTGGGTCCAAACTCAGCAATGGTTTTACCATCATCAAATGCAGACTTTGGTGGTTTTGTGAATGGATCATTCAATTTCGGAGCTGGAGAGGCAGGGATCAGAACCATTGAATTGCAGGTCTTACCTCACGGAGAGATTGAAGTGCAAGAGACATTCATCATCAAACTTAGTCTGGGATTTGGTGAAGCGGAAATTGATGCTAAGGCTGGAAATGTATCATTAATGGTAAGTGACTTCAAATTCAGACGTAATTTGGAAGCTGGTTTTCTACATTTCTCAAAAAGACTTTAATTTGAAACTGCATTTAAGAATTTTCCAAAATTCTTCATGATCTAAATTGTAAGATAATGGTCTTAAGGCAAAGACCATGATTTATTTTGGTCCTCTGATTTCATAAGTTAACACAAAATTCCATAAAGCTAGGTATTTATCTGTAGTGTTGAAGCTGCATTGCGTTACAATATGGAGCTCTATATAACTGGTGAATGTCTCTCTGATAAAATTGCTACTAATTCTATATTGGTTTGTAGATACAGAAATTTGGGGATCCTAATGGAATTGTTCAGTTTGTAGAAGAAGCTTTGTATACAAGGACTTATCTGGAGCCATCCAATCAGGAAAAGCTGTTAAATATTACATACCTTATAAAAAGGACCCAAGGATTGATGGGTGACATCAAGGTAATGCTAGGATTTGCAATATTCCCTTTACTCTTTGCATATTTAAACATTCTTTCTGTTAATATCCAAAGAAATTAAATGGACAGAGAATTTTATTTTTCTGTTTTATCTTCAAATAAATATTGAAGTAGCGAGAAGTGAAACAGATATTGAAGCATATTATCTTATTGCCTCTTGTAAATGAAAATACGATGTATACTGATGTCGACTATACTATTTATATATAAGATATACACCTTGCTATTTATATATTTGTTATATTTTGACTTACTATTGATAGTGACTTGTATCTATTCTGACTATGACTGTCGTGGTGATTGATTACCTACACTGACTGACTTAGCAAATTTAATTAATGACATTAATACATTTTTAAGTTTTTATTCCATAAATGGTTTGTTTCCTACAATTTATTCCAAGAATTATTAAAGGAACTCAGGGTTAGTCTGTTGGGTTCAATTTCAAAAATGGAAACATTTACATGTATAATCCTCTAGAAATCTTTCAAAATACCATGGTTTCTCCATATTTATTAATAGTTATATTCATCGAAGTTGCCAACTATTTATGCATCTTTTAAAAGGTCCACTGGGAGCTGCAGAGTGATTCTAACATGACAGGAGACTTTTCTTCAACCAGTGGTATAGTCATCATTCCCGACATGCAGCGAAATGCAGAGATAGGCATTCGATTGCTGGCTGATGATGTCCCAGAATTGGATGAAGTTTACACAATTAGTCTGATTGCTGTGGAAGGAGGAGCTACACTGAATGAGGAAAGGAAGAGTTTAAAATTGAATGTTCCTGCAAATGATGACCCTCATGGCGTGTTTGCCGTCTATTCAAATTGGCAAACTGTGATCGTTCAACAGGATTTAAGTCGCCACATTCAGATTAATATCACGAGGCACAGTGGGACATTTGAGAATGTGATTGTGGATTACAAGCTCACATCAACATTTCATGGGCAAGGCTTTTTCATAGATGGATTTTTGGGAACTGTGTTGGCCAGAGATGGCACCTACTCTGCTGTTGCCTTGGTGCCTATCATAAATCAGGTGAGTAGGACGGCATAGGTAAAGCATGATCAAAAAGTTTTGCTTGGTCGTCTGACTCAGTAATTGAATGATGATTAAGCTATGATGAAAGAGGGACAGCATGCTACTTCAGGTCTTAAGATTGATATTGATCTTATCAAAAAATTAAGATCGGCAGAGTTATGGAGAATTCATAACTTCAGCCTTAATTTGGAAGCTTGTTCCTTATAAAGCCTCAGGAAAAAAATCAGAATAAGAATATATTAAGAAACAAGCGGAGAGAGCGGGCAGGATGGTAGGGCATTTGGAGTCCTGTAGCTCAGTGGTTAGAGCACTTGCTTTGCAAGCGAGAGACCTGAGTTCAATTCCAGGCAGGGCGAAACCTTGGACAAATTTTCCTTACTCCACACGCCTAATAATAATCCCTCCAAAAACCAAAAACAATAATAAAATTGGTCATTTTTCAATCTACGACTGTTTGTTGGACATTGTTGTGCGCAATTGGCTGCCGCGTTCGCCCACAAATATACAGTCAATTCACTTTGCAGTGTGTTCTGTGAAGCGCCTTGGGACGTCCTCCCGACGTGAAAAGCGCTATATCAAATGCAAGGATTATTATTATTATTATAAGGAGGTCGCAGAGGTAGGGGGGAGCAAGACCATGGAGGGCTTTGAAGATGAGGACCAGGATCTTGAACTGTATCTTCTGTGTGATGGGAAGCTAGTGGAGTCGGGCGAGGATGGGGGTGATAGGGTCATGGAGCCGAGTACGGAAGAGGACACAGGCTGCAGAGTTCTAGATGACCTGCAGCCAATGGAGGGAGTAGTTGGGGAGGCCAACAAGGAGTTTGCATAGTCAAGCCTCAATGTTATGAATGTGTGTAAATTTGCCCAAGGTTTCACTCTACAGGTCTCTTGCTTGCGAGTGCTCCAACCACTGAGCTACAAGTCTCCAAGTATGCTTGGACTCCTTTAACAACTGTTAGCCTTTTTATCTATATTTTCTGTTCATAGGCTTTCCTGGGATTGCATTTTAACTTTACTGTCGAATTAACAAATGTGAGTCTTGTGGCTGGAAATACCTCCATTCCTCCTCGACTGAATGATGGAGCAAGCTCAGCCATCATATTTGTACCTGCGGAGGCTGCGAATTCAGAGGTAAAATATATTTTGACTCTTTTCAGTTTGAAATTTTAGCCTACAGGATTTATTGATGAGAACTATAAAGCTATAATACTTAGTATTAAGACATCCACATTCATTCCCCTTTTGATATATGAAGCCATTTTTGTGAGCATAGCCTTTGCACCACTATTCCAGTTACGCATATTTCAAATTTATTCAAGGTATACTTTTCCCTTAAAGATCTCCATGGAAAGCGTGAAATGGACCATTATACACCATCATACTTGCTGTGCAATTTAACTGTGGGATTTCATGCTCATAGTAGTAGTACTTTGAGGAGATTTACAGTAAATACTGTTGAAATGCATGAATTATTTTTGGACCCGATACCAAATGTGATTGGGTGACTAACAACAACGCATCCAATGATGATTTTGTGGGTTTAGTGCACCTGTCCTGTGTGATCTATAAATGTTTTTCTTTTGCTTGAGTAACGTTGAACACTCTGTGTTGAAGTTGCAAACTGGTTAGAAATCAGGAAGGTTATGTGAATCAGATGTTGAAGGACTCAAATAGTCAAGAACTACTGAAGAGAGTGTAAATTCAAATAATGTACAGTCGCCATTACTGCACCTCACAACAGGTTGTCAATTCAGCTTGTGTGTCTGTCAATAAATGAATGTAGATTGTACTTATAGCATCAAATGTTCTATTAAATGGACACAAATTTTATAATTCAATTTCGAGCACATTTTGTAGATCATGAAGAGGCTCTATTGCAATTTACTGAAATTACAGTGGTTGTTATTAATGCAATAGCAATGTATGCTTAGTAAACTATTTTTTATTATTGAATTACTGTGCCGCTGCCCTGCTCCCCAATGTTGCAGGCAAACTGCCACCAATGAACATCATACTTTCTCAGCATATTATGAATTACGAGCTTGGCTGATTGTTAACCTCCTGTTTAGGTTGGCTTTTGATTCTTTGGTTCTTCGAGTTTCCAATGTTTCAACTGGCTCCTGTCAGGCTGTAATATCACGGAGAGGTGTGTATGGGCTTATCCTTGTGGAGTGGAGGAGTGGCTACCCTGATGGCATAGTTCCTGGAGGAGTTACACCTGCTACTGTTACACCTGCATCAGGTTAGTGTCACTGGCGCATTGTGTTAAGATTAACAGTGAGAAGTGTGGATCATCAGATAGGCAGGGATAATAATATTAGCAGCACTATAAATTGCTTTAGAGGACAGGTATAAGAGATATAGATGCAGACACAGTGAAGTATTTATGGATGTGGGTCTTAGGAAATAATACTTCTGGAGACAAATTATATAAATGATAGAAACTTGAAAGAACTAAAGAATTAATATAAAAGGTAAATTTAAAGAAAAGAGCAAACAAGTTGTTTCCAGTGCTATTTTGCCGGATGGAGAAAATTTGAGATTAACTTGTTGGAGCTATCAGTTTTCTTCTTTTCTAAAATATCGTATGGTCAAATAATCTACAAACAAAAAAAAATGTTGGTCACAGAACAATAAAGTAATCAGAGGACTTATTGAATTTATTGCATTAATCTTCTGGGTACCTTTGGAAGTCAGTACTTGATTTTGGAGGTTTAATCTGTGGTGAGTCACCTCCCTCAGAAGATTAAGTGGGATAATTTATTTATTGGCTCTTTTATGTATATCATTGGTTGATGTATAAGTGGGCAAGCAGAACTACTCGTAGTGAAAATTTATTTTTATTTCAATTGTATGCAACTGCAGGTTCAGTTGTCCTTTCTCATGGTGAACAAAGCAGACCTGTGCTCATCAATGTTCCCACTGAATATGTGGGAGAAGAATCCTTCGCTCTACATTTGTCTGCAGTATACAGCAATGTTACTGGTAAAGCTAAACTGAGGTAAACTGTTTATATAAGTACTATGTATGATGAATAATTAAGCAAATCTTATCTCTTTTAGCTTTCTATGATTTTTGCAGTTGTTTGAATCTACCTGAAGCTGTTCATTTATATTGGCAAATAAGTTGCTTGGTAATAATTTTGTCATTTCAAGAAGGAACAACTGAGCTCTAATACAATCACGTTTAAGTTAAATGCATCCTAGTTACTTTGTAGGAATTGTACCCTTTATGATTTCAGAAAAACAAATTATGTTTATAAAGAATCTTGTTTCTGAATCAGAATGTATTAACCATATTAATCATCGTGCCCACACAGACACCAAAGGGTCTTCTGTGCTGTATAATTCTATGATATGTAGCAAATATTTTGGATATTGTAGAATCTATCAAAGGGTAGAAATCGTAATGGAATATATTATGAAGGTAAGTAAGGTAATTGTTGTGCATAGTTGTCACTCATGGTAGCATTCTTGCCTCTGTGTCTAAACGCTGTGAATTCAAGCTTCACGTCTTGACTTTGAGCTTATGGTGTAGGCTCACACATCAATCTACCATTGCAGTGTCAGAGATGCCCTCCTTCAGATGAGACATTAAAAAGAGATCGCATCTGCTTGTGCATGTGGACATTAAGGACCCCATGGCACTATTTGAAAAGAGAAAGGAGCTTCTCCCAGTTCCCTGCCTACTCTCTCCCAGATGAAATTGGTGATTCGCTCCATAACTGTTTGTAAGATATTGCTGTGCACACAGTAAATCCTGTGAGGCGCTTTGAGGTATTTCAACAAGATGATATCAAATGCAAGGAATATTATTGAATAGAATCTTTGTAAAGGGCAAATGATTTGCCAATACCTCACTAACATAATTTCATATACCTCTGGTTCTTCCTGTTACACATTGTAATGTGATATAACAAGCCATCCTTTCCATTTCCCTCTTCTTTAACTAATTCATTTTACTAATGTCATGTAAAGTGTGTCAACATTTTCAAAAGACCACCAGTTACAGCACTAGCTTAAAGGGCATTCTGTTGCATCAAATAAAACAAAAGCTCCATAAAATAGCAAACACCCAAATAAACATGTTTAAACCGAGAAAACACTAATTGCTGTCAACTGTTGTGAACCCCACCATTTAAAAAAAAAGCCCACTGAGTTAAAATAAATTCTAATTTCACATTTGTGCCACACAGAGGAAAGGACTCTAACTATTTCTGACATAGGAAAGGTGCTGTTGAAGTTGCATACAAAGAAATAAACATATAATGATAGAAATAACATGGTTAACAAAGTACTTTTGTTGTTTCCACTGATATGAGTCCTGCAGAAAGATGAGCACCGAATGGCACAGCTGATGTTCTAATAACCTTTTGTGTTTTTCCCACCAGTTTACTTTCCTGAGTCTCAGCAGTGACTGTCTTCTATCATTGCTACAGTGAGGAATTGTAATATGTGGCTGTAATTCTACCATTACATCTACCATTTAATTAACATAAAATTTGAGGCCGTTTTGTGTTAAAGTGATGTCGCATGAGTTACAATTAATTTATTTGATAGTGTTTTTCAGCTTACATTTAAAAAATTAGCAGTAATGATTTGCTGTTTGGTTTCTATAGATCAGGGTTTACTGTAGCTGAAATTGAGCCAATGGGAGTCTTCCAGTTTGCTTCCAACTCGAGGCAAGTCAGTGTTGAAGAAGATGCAGGAACAGCTACTTTGTACGTCCAGCGGTTGTTTGGTTTCCGAGGCAATAAAACAAAATGACTTACTACACAACAGCAGGAAGTGCCAAACCTGGTGAAGATTATGAGCACATCCAAGATGGTGAACTTATCTTTGAAACTCACCAGACTGAAGCTAGCATTAAATTGTTTATTATCAATGATAACATTTCGGAGATGGATCAGGTATTCTATCTAAATTTATCTGGTGTTGAAGTTTTGGGTTTAAAGCCAACTAATCCAGATGAGAAACCGCGTTTAAATCTAGACTTTAATGTGTCATTTATAACCATTGTTGCCAATGATGTTTTTAATGGTCTTCTAAGTATTGGACCAGCTGTCACACAAATTGTGGAGGACACTGACAACAGTACAGCAAGAGAAGTATTTCTTCATATCCGAAGGACCATGGGATTTACTGGGGTCATCAATGTATCTGTAACAACGTTTGGAAGAAACAAAGCTCTGGGCGGTTTAGAAGGAACTCCTTTCCAAAACAACCATGAGAGTGGCAGTTTTTCCTGGGCAGAAGAAGGAGCAGATTTTGATGATGAAATTTTGCACGTTACCTTGCAAGATGGAGAAAGAGAGATCGCAGTGTCCATCCAGATTTTGGATGATAATGAGCCAGAGGGACAAGAATTGTTTTATGTTTACCTGACAGATCCAGGGGGAGGTGCACAGATTATAGGAGGAAAAGATGAGAATGGATTCACAGCTTTCGCAGAGATCATTATCTCAGGTAATACGATTATTTGGGACGGTGCGGGTCATGTTAACTAAACAATCTTAACTAAACACGTGTTGGAATTGTTTGCATTCTTACAGCTTTCATCATTATAAGTGAAAAGATTCAAACCTCTTCACTGTGAGTGCAAGAAGCAGCTTATAGTTTTCAATATCCACAAATTCTATAGTTTGCATATTTCCTGAACATCTCTTTAAATAAATTCAGTAGAGACTGATACCACTTCAGACTTCTGCCTTATCCTGTAGCTTTCTGCCTTAGATTTCTGATTTCTGCCTTATCCTGGAGTCCTGTAGCTCAGTGGTTAGAGCACTTGCCTTGCAAGCGAGAGACCTGGGTTCAATTACCGGCAGGGTGAAATGTTGGGCAAATTTCCTTACTCCACCCGCCTTGGTTTACCTAGCGGAAAGTAGGATCCCAGTTGTTAGTCGATTAATGGTTTGCTTTTCCGTGGGGAATAATTCCTTCAAAGAAAAAGTCTTTGAGATGTCTTGAAGACGTGATAAGGCGCTATATTAAATGCAAGGATTATTATTATTACATTGGGTAAGAATTTTGATCCAAATTTAGATCTAGGCTATTCAGATACTTTGACTGAGTCCCAATGGACAACCATTCCAGATCTGCACTCTTACCTTTGATACAACTTGTAAACTTACAGAGACATACACTTGTACAAAGTAAAGAATTGTACAGTGCCCAACCCCAACATTTTAAACCAGTATAACGCTTATTCAGATGTGGGTCTGGCTCAGTTGGTAGCTCTTGCTAAGACCCTATAACAACTGTAAAGATTATTATTATAAAAATCCGCAGTAATTATCTCCACTCGTCTTAAAAAAGCAGCCTTTCAAATGTTCTATTCTGAATACTTTTGTTTTGCATTTTTAATTTTAAGACAATGGACATTTGACTTAAACAAAAAAAAATTAAAGCTAATAAATCCAACTTTCATATGAAAATAATATTTCAAAAACACTCCATTGGAATCAGCCAATCGCAGTGTTTCTTGCATAGTACATGAGAAACATTCAGATCATAATCAGATCATATCGGAGGCAATAATCATTTTATACTGCACACTTGTTGGTGTATTGCTGCTAAAATCATTGATGCTTCACCCTGAAACATTGTGCACAAATGCACCATTATAACCTACTTATTTCTAATATTTAGTGTGTTTATCGGTTCACGAAAATCAGAGAGTAGTCATGAGGAACAGAGGTTTCAATACCAATGACTCGGCGAATTGGCTTTTTATATCGAAAGCATCACTTCTTTTTTTAGTGATCAAAGTATGAAAGGTCTAATATCAGTATCAAGTACTCCTAGGTCAGGTATAACCAAATGCAATAAAAATAAAACTTGCCTCTATTCTATTCCAGCAACGTGTTCCAAATCCTACTTCAAGAAAGTACAGTATTTCCTACTGCACCAGTGTTTTTTCACCATTTCTTACACCAGCCTGAGTACTTATGCTTTGTCTGAGTAAGATTCCCATTTTTGCTATGTTGTGATCTTATTTCTTCATAGCCTGAAATTCTTCATGGTCTTACTAAGAATTGTTGAAAACCAGCTTCCAAATTGAGACTGAATTGAATAATTTTCTAAAACTCTGCTCAATCTTAAATTTTAAGACAATGATCTTAAGACTAAAAGCATGAATGCATTGTCTGAAAGGGTGGTGGAAGCTAATTTGATAACAACTTTCAAGAGAAGTAGATAGATATTTGGGAGGACAAATTTGCAGGGCTATGGGGAGAGCGCGGGAGAGTGGGATTAATTTGGATAGCTCTTTCAAAGAGCCAGCATGGACACGATAGGCCAAATGGCCTCCTTCTGTGCCGTATAATTCTATGATTCCATGAGGAATTTCAGTCCCCTAACTCCTCCAAAAGCCCTTAACAGCAAAAGAGAAGATATCCAACTAATTATCTTAGGATGAATTTGAATCTAGGTCATGCATCACAGAACAGTGTGTTTCCTAGTTCCTGCTCATATATGTTGTGCTTCTATATTTGATACAGGAAGTGATCTGCAGAATGGCATTGTAGGATTTAATCTGATCTCTCAGAATAACCTGGTGTTGGATGAAGACTCTGATAATAGAAAGATTCACCTGCAACTTCAAAGGCAAGAGGACAGGTAAAATCCTTTTCAATGGTGCATAGTCATAGTGATTTGTTTTCACATATTCACACGCACAAGGTTTCCTCTGGGATAAACTGAAAGTTTGCAAATCACTGTGATCTCAGATTGCTTCTGTGAAACATGGGTAATATGAGCACAATAAGGTCAAGAACTGAGCCTTCTCTTTGTTGTTTTAACCTACATTTCTCTGTTCTCTGTGGAGTCCTATAGTTCAGTGGTTAGAGCACTTCACCTCGCAAGTGAGAGACCTGGGTTCAATTCCCGACAGGGCAAAACCTTTGCCAAGTTTCCTTACTCCACACGCTTGATAATGATCCCTCAAGAAAAAAAGCAATAATAAATTGGTCACTCAATCCACGACTATTTGTGGAACACTGCTGTGCACAATTGGCTGCCGCGTTTCACCCACAAATATACAGTCAATTCACTTTGCAGTATATTCTGTGAAGCGCTTTGAGATGTCTAGAAGACATGAAAAGTGCAATATCAAATGTGAAGATTACTATTATTATAATTGTCAGCTTGGCTCTCGGCTAGATAACCTGACTAGAAGCAAAAGTGCTGTTGTTTCGAATCCCACATGACCTCATAGTCTGGACGGACACTACAATGCATTCCTGGGAACGCAATATAATGTGAGATATGCTGTCTTTCAGATCATGTAATAACCTGTTATTTAGGTGGACATTAAAGATTCCAAAAGAGGAAGGAGTTTGTCCTGATGTTCTGGCCAACACCTGTTAGTTTTTCATTCATGGCTATTTGTAGAACTATGCTGAACGAAATGACATCTGCCTACCTAAACAATCAAAACAATCTGACAGCAATGAATAATCTTTTCTGTGTGACTAATTATCTGGAAAGCTCTTTGAGACATGTTGACACGATAAGGCACTATTAAGGATGCAAGTAAGTTCCAATCTTTAATATGCAAAATAGTACCAGAACCTGGCCAGCCTTGGTTCACCAGAAAAAAATGGCTTTTATAGGGAGAGCTGGTAATAACAATAGACAATTGTTGAGGTTGATGCATCATTGATACAGACAAGTAAACATGCCCTGGCCAACAATACAGTTATTCAATTAGATGGAGTAGGGCACCTGTTCTCTGAAAAAAGTCCTTTTAAAACACAGTACAAATGTTTGCAACATATGACAGTTCATAATATTCATCCCTTTAGTATTTATATTTAAGACATTTGCAGTTTTACCTTTTATCTTTTTATCTTTTGCTGAAAGAACAATAAATACAAAAAAATGTAAATTTATATAGTGTCTTTCATGTTGGAAGGACATTCCAAGGTTCTGGACAGTCCAGGGTTTGCACCCTAGCTGCAGGTGGGGGGAAGGGGAAAGATAGCTGAAAGCGCAGTCAAAAAGGAAGGACTTGAGTAAAACCTTGAAGGAGGCGAGGGAAAGGACAAGTTGGAGGGACTCAGAGATGGAGTTCAAGAGAGTGGGGGCAGGTATGCTAAAATTCAACCGTTGATAGGGTGGGGAATATTAAGCAGATTGGTGCCTGCTGAGCAAAGGGAGTGGCTGGATTGATAGAGTTGAAGAGGTTGCAGAGGTAGAGGTAGCACAACCATGGAGGGATTTAAAGGTTAGAATGAGCAACTTGAACTTGATCTCCTGGGGGATGGTGAGCCAGGAGAGCCAGGCGAGGATGGGATGATAGGCTTGCAGAGCCTAATGAGGGAGCTTAGAGCCTAGAACATTTAGGTGTTGAATCACAATCTTCTTTTGGACAGTTGAATGATTGGGTATAAAATTGAAATGGCATATTTTGGAATTGCCAATATCAGCGCCTCATGTTCATGACATCGGTATGCAGATTCACAAGGCATTAGTTTTAACACAATAACATAGATATCAGAATTAAGCCACCACCCTGTGAATTGGTATTGCAATACCACGATCCAGTCCCAGTCAAGTCCAATATCTACCGTGGCCAGTCAATCCTTTTGAGTTATCAACTGGCCTGAATGACTGCATTTATCAATAGTTTAGTAATTATTATTAGTTATAATGCATCAATGGTCTCAGTTTTGATTTCCGTTCATATTTATAGCATTTGCAGTTTTACCTTTCATTCTTTTATCTTTTGGTAACAGAACTTTTGAGGATGTGATGATTTCTTGGCGTGTGACCTTTGATAAAACAACTGTTCTGTTGGAAACAAATGGGGTGAATCTAGTCAATGAGCTGACGGCTATTTCAGGCAAAACGACATGCGCCTCTGGACAGACTGAATGTACCATCACTATTGAAATCAAACCCGATAAGGTCAGTCAAAATGGAAGATGATGCTTTTTAATTAATTGTTTCAGATAAAAGGATATTGTTTGAACTACTTGCGAATTTAGGAAACATAGAAAAACAGGAGCAGGAGGAGGCCATTTAACCCATTGATTAGGTAGAAGTTGATAAGCTGTTTCCACTTATTGCTGGGCCCAAAACATTGGGGCATAAAACATAAAATAAGGCTTAACATTGCCAGAGATTGATGCCGAGCTAGAGAAAAAGAGGAGGTGATTAAAGAGGAAGATCTTCAGATGCAATCTGAAGGCAGAAGATTCCAGAGGTTAGGGCATAGTCGCTGAAAACACAGTCACTGATGGGGTGGATAGAGGAGGCTGCAGTGCTGAGAGATGCTTTTGAAAGAATTGTTTATTATGGACGATTGAGGATTGTAGCTGTACTGGATTATTCAACAAATTACACTTTTTAAATTCTTCTTTAATACTATTTATGATGTGAAATATTTCATGCATATTCTGTTTTCTTTGAACTCACCTTTATAGATCCCGGAGTTCGAAACCTGGTTTTATGTAGAAATCTATGATGTGGGAGCAGGTGCCATGATAAACAACACTGCACGATTCTTAAACATCACTGTTTTGGAGAGTGATAAGCCTCGTGGATTGATCTTTTTTGCCATAGGATCTCGACTTCCTGTTGTTCAACAGAAAGCCTCTTTACTCAGCTTACAAATTGTCAGGGAGTCTGGCACCAGCACATCTGTCAATGTTAGTTACAGCATGCAGGTGAGGATAACCAGGAAAAATTGTTTTATAAATCCATGAGTTTTTCGACATATAAATTTGTTGTTACTTGCCAATATGCCACTGTCTTATTGCATAAATAGTTGAAAGCTACTTGTGTAAATATATTTCTATATTGACAGGTTGAAACCAAATTGGTTGGATCTCTCACCACATATGTATTTTTGTACGAGACAATAGTTTTTCTACTGTTTATTGTTTTACTCTTGGTTAATTCAGTTGAACATGACAATTATGACAGATTTTTGATCTATTGAGGAACAGTGTCCACATTGAAATGATTATGAAGTTCTTAAATTATTTAATTCACTTTTAGGATTGTTACTCATGAGTAGATGTAACTATGTCACACAGTGCTGCTAATGTGAATCTGTTCATTTTACGTGCAATATTGCTCCTGCATATGTGGTCTGTGCTTCTGCTTTCCCTTCCTGTTATATCTGTTTCTCACACTGCCCCCCTTTTTGTTGATAGTACAGCATCATCATATCCATTATTAATATGGAATTCTCCCACCTGCTGTACCTGATCAAGTGAATTCAGAATCGAGGGCTATTCTAGTGTGTTCTTGGCCGTTACTTATTCTCTATAGTGAAAATTATATAACTGTATCTTTATCTTTTGTCCATATAAGATCGAGCATCACATTTTCTCTTTTGAGTTGGGAGAAGACTAAGAGTTGACTTTGCACTTGTGTACAAAGGCCATTATAGACGGCTGTCTTGCGAGGTATCCCTGATAATGTTGTGCTTGTCAGTGGGGTATAAAGCAATGTAAATATCAGTGTAAAGCTATCATGAAGTCAAGACGCTAAATCACATAAGTTGAAACTCTGAATGCAATCATTGGCTCCTACTTGCAATGTTAGAATGGGAATGTAAGATTCTTTATCAGCTCCAGTGGAGGAGCACAGGCAAGGCAATTTCAAGGCAGCAATTTCAGATTGTGGGCTGCAGCTGCAATCTCTTCATTCACATTATTTCACTGAGATGTTTGCTGGACATGCTCACGATTTACTTTCTGTATGCATCTTATGCATGATTAGTAATTAATATTGTCACAGAGGGTAATCTAACAACTCAAATAGGTTGCCAGGAAAGGTGACTCTCTTTTATTTCATGTACTGATGTTGACTTCTCTATTCCACTATCTTTAAGATATCGAACATAATTGCAGTACATGATTAGGTACTACAACAACACAACAACAAGATCCCATTTATAGAGCGCCTTTCACGTCGGGAGGATGTCCCAAGGCGCTGTACAGTTGGGTCAGTCAACTACATCACTGTGTTGGATTAATGCTTAATGTAGCAGTAGGACATGGCTTTGACCTGCCACTACTCTGATCTCTCCAAGGCCATCTGCAGGGAAATTCACAAGGGAAGGAAAGGAAAACCAAAGGATGAGTTGATGTCTTTTGTGTTTGTATCCTAAGAATCAGCTCGAAAATGACTGACAGAAGCCTGGGAGCATATTAGATTGAGTTACACAAGAAAACACAAAGGAGGGGATAATGGATCACTGAAAGTAGCAAACACCATAGTGAAGAAGAATTCTAAGTGGTGTGACAAGAGAAAATTGATAGCAATGCTTCTGTATATGAAACGCAAAATTTGAAATATCAGCAATACTACCATAAAACAGCAGGTGGTGCTCTACCCACCGTTCAAGACATCACAGGAAGCTGCATTGGTTTTAATTTACAATACTTATTAAAACAGCTTATTGATTTTTTTTATCAAGATACCTTCCATGCTAACTTAATGCATAGTGGACTTTGTTTTATGATTTTTGATTCAGAATTCTGTGTCCTGCTCTGTTCCATAATCTCCTAAATTATAAATGTTTTGTTCCACTCCACCCCCGCCACTCACCCGCAAATGTTTTTCTTTGTTCTGGTTTTACAGATATTTTCAAATGTTTCTGTTTCCCTATGGGCCACTGAAACTGTAAACTAACTCTATTACCGTTGGCTATGGTGGCAACTTGTGAATAGGAAGCAGCTACCCAGCTCAGTGTTTCTATCACATTAGTGTCTCAACCTATCATTTCAATGATGAATGCACCATAACTATGAAACCTTCAAACAGTGCTCATTGCATGGCTAATGACACTCTTAAGGATGAATGATGTGATTTATACTTTGACCATAGCTTTCGTTTATTTTCGTCAGCCATAGCTTTCGTTTATTTTCGTCAGCCAAATGCAGAAACCCAACACCATGCTTAAGTGTATAGAACCTGGGAGCTACACATCTGTAGGCCATCTACACATGGAAATGTCCCTGTGTCTAGAATGGAATGCGCACTATCTCTCAGGACGCACCCCTGCTTACTTAATTCCCGAGAATATTAAGCAGTTTGGCAAGATCCAAGGCCTTGGAACCAGCTCAGCTTCAAGGAGACGATTTACACTTGCCTTCTCTCCAAGAAGCACAGCTTTCTTTTAAAGGGATTATGATACCATATTTGGTGTTTCAGACATTCCGGGAGCCAAACATTGAAAGAATTTGTCAGTTTACAATTTTTTTTGCACTCGCTCATTTGCGTTTACATATTATGGGAGAAGCATACGTCTTGCCCAGATAATTTCAGCAAGTGGAAAGTGGTGCAGCCAACCACAGCCTAGCATGGGCGGGGACCACTGACTGCCTGGTTAGTGAGATTTACGAGCTCCTACCACTTAGCAATAACGCAAGGGGGAGGAGATACCCAAGGTTGGAGCCCAGTACATTGAAGTAGGTGTCATATTTGTGTCTGATTTAGCCCTTACCCAATGGTAAGGGTTAAATCTTACCATGTATTAGAACTGGGCCCCATTCGTTCTGCTTAGTTCTGGCAAATGCCAATTGAACCAAAAGGAAAGACCTTCTATTTGATGAGTTGAATTAGTTTTAAGTGAATATTTGTAACTTTATTGAGGTGGACATAGTAGTGAATAAATATCACATCATCAAGACATCTCAAAGCGCTTCACAGAGTATACTGTAAAGTGGATTGACTGTGTATTTTATGGGTGAAATGCAGCAGCAAGTTTGCGTACAGCAATGTCCTGCAAACAGGTTTGGAGTTTGTAACCAATTTTATTTGGGGGATTGTTGGCCAATATACCGGAAGAGACTCCTTACTCCCTTCCCTTGCCATTATTAGTATGTTTCACATTGTTCTGGATACAAATATGCTAAACAATGGTGGCATTGCTTCTGTAATAAATGTACCATAACACTTTTTAACTATGTGGTACAATTGTATCAATATTTTCTCCTTTTCCTTTATCAACCATTTCTTTGGACTATGGAAAATGGGATGCCATAAGCACATTGCAAAACACTATGCCCCCTACAGTCTATGTTTCAGTTTGCCGCGCTATCAAAGATGGTTTTCTGTAGGTAAATAAATAAAAGAAAAACTGGTTTAAAATGAAGGCTGTAAGAAGTTACCAAATACTGTATTCTCTGAAATATACACCCAGGTGGAATTTCTCCCTACAGTTTTCAAGGTTAATCAAGAAGTCAGTTCACAACCTTGCACTGCCTTATGAGACCTGTTCAAGTTCAATGTGGCCAATCCACTTGTGTCTCAGCTGGCCCTTTAGATACAGCACCTTATAATAGACATTTTGTTTTGTGAAGTTGAACAAAATTGACTCACAACAGTTCAAAGTTCCTCAGTAAATCCTATTTTAATTTTCTCTTTTTCACTCGGATATTATGTGTTTGTGTCCCTTTTCTTCGTTTTCTCTGTGTCTCTCTCTCTCTCTCTATCTGTCATATTTTACCTCCCATTTTCCCAGGCTTTGTATTTTTTTCTTTCTATTGCAATTTCTGTACATTATTTCTGTACAGACACTCCCAAATTCAGCTTGGAATCTAAATCTCATTTATTTTTCTCTCAAGAATGTGACTAAGAATGTAGCCTAATTGACATGGACTCATGTCACTAACATAGATAAATGTTCAATAAATCAATCACTATGCTCATTGTGTCATACAGCTATACCAGCTGCTGTTGCTTTGCATCAATAGAAACATGCTTCTACATTTACATATAATTGACTTAGAACTTCCACAGTAAATGGCACCTATTTTGTTCTTCACAAGTCAATGAGATTAGTTCGGATGAAGAAGGCCCTGCGGCCTATTTGATCTCATCCTTCCAGAATACCTACCTTACCTTCTTCCCATCACAGCATCGAGATTCTTTTCACAAGATTCACCTGGGTGAAGACGGTCCTTTGGCCCATCGGATCTAATCCTTCCAGTACACTCACCCTATTGTCCCCTCATCATTGCATCAAGCTGGTTTTAAATGAATCCCGTGTCCAGACTTACCGCCTTTCCTGGTAACCTGTTTCAGTTATTGATTACCCACTGTATAAAGAAAAACGTCCTGGTATCTGGGCTAAAATTGCCCTTTACAACTCTAAACCTATGTCCTCTTGTTCTACTGTTATGGTGCGTCCTGAAGTATTAATGCGGACAGAAGCTTTTTTTTAAATGAAGTCCAGTGTCTTGGCCTCAACCACTCTTGCGGGCAACCTGTTACAGTTCTTAATTATCTTACAGTGTAGAACTACCAATCTTCATCTCTTAATTAAAACACAAATTATTCAACACTCTTTCAGTACCAGTGATACATAGACAGATGGACAGGGGAAGCTTGGCAATGATTCCTTTCACACTTCACTGAACAGTAGCAATGCCCATATCTATATGAAGGCACTAAATAGTTTAAATTGTCAATTGGATTTGATTTAGTTGACTTATTTTCATCCTATACTAATTTGTATGCAGTTCATATAACATGATTTTGGTAACTTCTGCTGTAAAATAGAAATTAGTCTTGTAATATCATCTGTTTAGCATATAAATGTGTACATTTTATACTTAATTAACCCCCACGTCTTCTCACTATTCCAAAGAATCATAGAATTACGGACAGAGGAGATTGCTTGTCCTTTCAAGGAATGCTGTTCTAGTTCATCCATTGACACTGTGTAAGGCTGGCTCAGTTGATAGCATGCTCACCTCTGAGTCAGAAGATTATGGGTTCAAGCCTCACATCAGGACTTTGGAGTCAAGAACCATTCTGCGTGTCATATTTGGAGTCCACAACAGCCATCTTCCTTGGCTGCACCTTCCTGAATCACTTACTTTTTTTAGGCCCAGCAAAATAAATGCACAAAATACAAACATTAAGTTTTATATTCCATGCATCGTCTCCCCCACAAAATATACAGTCAACTCACTTTACAGTATATTCTGTGAAGTGCTTTGAGACGTCTCAATGATGTGATAATGCGCTATATCAATGCAAAAGGTTCTTATTCTTATTATTTTTCCTACAACTTTGTTATTTTCCTTCATGAACAAGAGAATTTTTTAATTAAGTCACTTCAAAGTTTCATTTTTCCCAATGAGAAGTTCAGCTTCCTTGAACTATCCTCATAAGTTAAATTCATGATACAAGCATAGATATTCATAACTTTTTTTTGTTCTGTTTCTCCTCTAATATAATCCAATATCTAAACTGCCATTTTTTTAAACAGTACTGAGCTTTAACTTTCATAGATTTATACAGTGTGGATCTCTTTCCTGAACTGCATGCTATCTGAATGTTGCTTCCTAGTTTAGTTGCTTAATAACTGGACCTTTTGGCCCATTTATTTATAAAATCCAAACCCTTTTGGATTGACTTCCTTATATTTCCTTATCTCCTCATGTTATCAGCTGCAAAATTGGAGATATTACTGACAAATTCTATAACATATATAGAGCAAGGGTATCCTGCCTTCCTGTAATGTCTTCAAAGCTTGAAAATAATTAACATTTTGCCTACGTGGGAATTGCGATGAGTTCGAAACATTTCAGTGTGATAATAGTATTAATATTCAAGTTATTACATTATTTACCAAGCTCAATAGATAAATGCATTAATGCTCTTTATTATTTTGCAGGAGTTGAGGAAAGCTGAGCTGGTGGGTTCCACTTTAATATCACCAGCTGTGGCTGGGATGGATTTTGTGAAGTCTGAGGGAATTGTAACTTTCCAACCTGGGCAGAGTAGTATTGGATTGGACATTATGCTCACTCCAGAGCTTGCATCTTCCAATCCACTTCCCAAGCGTTTTCAAGTGGTACTGTACAGCTCCACTACAGAAACTCAACTCGATGAGGACTACAGTACAGCAAATATCACCATTGTCTCTGACCCTGAGTCCCAGTTCTTCTGGGGTTTACTCGATCAGTTATACCAGCCCCTTGATGATAACATATTGAAACGGGTTCTTCAGAATCTGCAAAACAAGATTGTTACAGAAACTACAAGAGAACAACTCAGCGGAGTGGTGAAAGTACTAGAAAAGGTGAAAGTTAGGAGCTGATAGTTCATAGAGCATGATTTCTCAAATTACCTTTATTTTTCTAAAGTTTATCACAGTATTATTGGGTTAAAATGTGTTTATGCAATATTCCTGTGTAAATGAAGAAACTGCACTGTATTAGAAAAAGATGTTCTATGAAATCTTTCTATTCACTGTCTAGCAGTGTTAGCTCCCAAGGTTGAGTACCAGACAGCGCTATAAGGCTATGGTTTTTAATCTCCTCGGGTTGATAAATGGGGTCTGCAAAATACCTGGCTCCAAGAAATACACCTATGTTTGCCTACAAAATGCACAGTCACTACATTTTACATTGGATTCTTTTAAACACTTTAAGACCCTCTGATGTGAAAGGTGCTCAATCAAATTAGGGGAATTATTAAAACAGCATGTCTGCAAAAACCTGACAAACCTGCAGTAGCACTAGACCCCTTTGGAGATTCTCAATATTAAGGCTAGTTGAAATGGAGAAATATGTGATCTAAACCATATCAACCTGTGATCTAAACCATTTTCAACCTATAAGCTATAGAAGGAGAGTAATTGGGGAAACTGGAAGGGAATGCAAATACGAACAAAACAGTGTAGATCTTCAGGCCTCAATTTTTATAAACTATCTTGCTAGTGAGATGATTTTAACATTTAAGATTTAAGACCTCACACAATTGTGGAAAATTCTTAAATTAAATCATAATTTGGAAGCTGATTCATTTTAAGAACAGCGTGCAACCAGCTTCCAAATTAAGGCTGAATTAAAGAATTGTCCACTTTTGCATAATCATAAATTTTAGATGAACATAATCTTACGATTTTAAACTAGATAGAATTACGGGCCTTTGAAATGCAATGGAGGCATTTTGTTTGTTCTTTGGGACTCTTTATTTACTCCCATTCTTAAATTAATTGATTGACATGCTTATGATCCAATAGGTGATGAAGGCAGGAGAGAAAAGCCCTTTCAGTGATGCCAACAGGGGACTGGTTTATGATATTCTTTGTGCGCTACTGGATCCTGGACGCAAAGATACTCGAGGAGTCAGTCAATTGGCTGAGGTGACTGAGAAGTTTGCCTTCTCACTCCTTACTGATGTACAATGTGGATCCCCTGGTCAGAAGTAAGATTATTAAGCCATTTACTCACAAATAAATGCCCGGTATAGAGGTCATGTTTAACTCCGAGTACCAAATGTGATTAGTTAAGCTTTAGTAAATACAACATGATATCACAATCGACAAAATGTATTTAGGCAATACTTTCTTTCAATGTGAATTTTCTACTGTTAATTCCACCAAAATAACTGAGAAAAACTGTTTGGAAAAATATTAATAGTAAACTATTCAATTGTCCGAAATAGATTTATTGCTGAATATTAATCTTTCTCCACAAAACTAAATACAGTAATACAAGGGTTGTCCAACCTTTTGGCTGCTGAGAGCCAAGTCGGCATTTGAGAAATGTCTGCAGGCTGCGTAAGCAATATTTGTGTGTTTCCTTTCCAGGAACATAACCCATAAAAATTATATAGAATTCCTATGTTTTAAATTGTGTAAAGATTCATAAAATGTTAAAACAATAATACACTGTTATCAATAAAGTACATAAATGCAAGAATAATCATTAAATTCTTCGGGCACACGTAACACTTCTCCTGTCAGGAATTTCCGACTTATTTCCTCGGGACTATGTTACAAAATGAAGCACCTCAGTGGCTGTTAAAAATGAGCTGGAGGTGGTGGGGGGGGGGAGTAAAACTTAATAGCTAGGGACTTTTAATGTGAAGCTTGAATAGATGCAAATTGTATCCGTTCAAGCTGTACATTAGACCAAGTGACCTTGAATATGCATCTTGAATAGGTGCAATGTTTTCATTCAGATCACAGTTTAACCTTGCCCTGCACATGTGCTCTCATCGCGGTTGAAAAAGCACAAGCACGATCTCTGTTCCCCGTAGCGTAGATTGTGCAGTTTTCCCTGTAGGGACAGGCATAGAAACCCGCAGTCTATAGGGAAATCCTGTAGAGTTGGCAGGTATGCAGAACGTTTGTCAGGCCTGATGAAATCATCCCCCGGGCCGGATGTGGTCCGTGGGCCATCAGTTGGATCATCCTACAAAGTTGGTTAAAGTAAAAAATTGGTTAAAAATACACCACATATCATTTCTGATTCAGTTGTATCTGTCATTATTTAAATTTTGAATCTACTGAAATTATTTTCTGCTTTTTCTCTCTGTTCTAACCCGAATCTTCATATTTCTCCGATCAGTAATACGATTCTAGATCCTAAAAAAAATCGACAGTCTAGACCAGTCAATAATATCAAGCAGAATTATTTAAAAGGGAACCGGATCAACATCTGAGAAGTTAAAAATTTTAAGGAATTTGTAGAAAAAGATAGAAAGTGAGTTATTATTTTAAAAAACAGACAACAATGGCAGACAAGATGACTGAGTGGCATCCAATACTGGAAATTTCTGTTTCTTTTGAATTCCCAAGATCTTAATTAGTACCTCTTTGAAACATTGATTATTTCATGATGTGCACTTGAGAGATTTTTTTTGTATCACAAGTGCTCCAATGTTGCTGAATTTTATTTGATTCTCTTTGGTGTAAAACAACAGCAACAACAAAATTACATTTGTATAGCGTCTTTCACATCGGGAGGACGTCCCAAGGCACTGGACAATTAGCATTTCGGACTTTTAAGCAACTGCAACTTTTAAGCAACTGTAAATATTACAAATTATTACAGTAACAAAATGGGAGAGTAACAACTTTTTTTTCCTATATATTGTGAGAGTAAAACTGACAAGGAAATAATTCAGTATTTGAATTGACCCAATGACCAATGTTACCTGACACAGCTGTGAAACAAGCTGCTTTTTATTTTGGATGTTTCAAGATTCACAGAAAAATAATATTAATACTTGCATGTGATGCATCATGCATCGTCATGCTAAAATGAACATTCACGGTGTCTTCATCAACATATTTGTACAAATCCTGTTTTTTCCTCTGAAAAAACAGGCTTAATAATTAAACAGCTCATGAACACGAACAATGCAAAAACAGCAGTGTGCGTGCTGGAAATAAAGACCTCTGGGTTTTACAACAAGATTCTTCTTTGTTGATGTTCTTTCATTCTGATGACCTACTTTAGTCTAGCATGAGATATTGCTTTGCTAGTGAGAGTGCAGTATTTTTTCCAATTTAATTTTCTCAACTGCATGGGGGTTTGTATACATTCAGTGCTTGGATGAGCATTGTGTACAACATCCAGCCCTTCTGGAAAGGGCCTTATTAATTTATATCTCCAGCTGGTCTTTTCTGCAACTATCATTTCTTACTGATGCAATCTCCAAGCTTGTGGGTAGATGTCAGCAGATTATTTTTTCTCATCTGCATGATATGGAGGATGGATGCGTGGAACTTTCAGACTGGTTTGAATGCTCTTAAGCAAGGTTTCATCATGTGTCAGAGACCAGGCTGACTAAAAAATGATCAATTTATTTAGTAGTTGAAGTTTTTGGCTGCATTATCTGCTCCATGGACAAATAATGCAACCGAAAACATGAGGAAAGATTGGGGTCATTAAAAAAGGGCCATTAAATACTCTTTGTTGTGCTCCATCTGGTGGCCCTATCAGGAATTGACAAATCTAGACCAATATGTTTCAATTTTAACGGGTATTTGATCTTCCCTCTAGGATTGGTAATACAGCATTGTTATCCATTCTGTCAATACAACTGTAACTTCTGGCCATAAAAATACAGTCTTGTTTTGATTGAACTAAATTTCAAGTTTGGTCCAAATTGAATCAACCTTTGTCCTCCAGGATAAAATTAACCAAAATGATTTAGCTCAGATTTTTATCCTGAATTTAGAATCATCCCTGGTAAACATAACAATTTTTATTTTATTTTCTGATGACACAGGGATACAACAGTTCTTGACACCTGCCAGTACCTCACCATCGAAGCATATCACTGGTATCCACAGCAGATTAATGGGCACATGTTTGATGGCAAAAATGGTGATTCTCTACGACTTCCTGAACGACTGTTGGAAATTTCTGCTTCTTCCTTGGAAACCATGAGCAATGGCAGCTGTCAGCGTTTGCAGTTCACAGAGTACAGCAGCCAACAGTGGTTTCAGACCAGCATAAAAGGAATGGCACTCAACGACAAAGTAGGATCAATGAGTTTGAAAAAAGTCTATTTCAGAATAGTTGTACAAGACCTTAGCGACCATATACAGATAGAATAACACACTGTGAGAGCCAACAACTTTAATTACTATTTAAAGAATATAACTCCAACAGAGTCCACCCTATCAAAATGCTATCATTAGGAAGAGGTGATAAGGCGCTATATCAAATGCAAGGATTATTGTTCTTATTACTTTAATATATTTTTCAGATAGATTCATAGAATTTTTAAAATCTTATTTTGCTTAATCTGATTATTTTGTGCATTTAATCCAATGTCCTGCTAGCCGGCAATCCAATGCTTAGAACAGTGAACAAGAAGTCAAAACGTGGGTGGAATCTTGGACATAACTACTGAAAATTGTGGTGGAGGGTGGGATCTGGGTTCCACCTCCAGCAGACCCAAGGACTCGTTTATGTGATAATAAAAATAATCTTTTAATAGTTCTTGCATTTGATACAGTGCCTTATCATGTAAGGTGCTTCAGAGTTTTTCTCTAATGTAAAGTGACTGTAATTGTGTAGGCAAGTTCCATGGTCATTAAATTGACTTCTAGTGTTATAGAGCACATATGATTAAATTACTTCATCAAACATTGCAGGATGTACTCCCTAGATTCTGCAACCTACTACTCTGTTCTAAATAGTCCTTTAAGAGGACAGACCCATATTTTAGTTTGCAAATGTGTTACGATGTTAAGGTGGTATTAACAAAGCAAAAGTGTGTTGATTCCAAGAGGAATATCAGAAATGGATGTTTTGAAGACAATAAAGGGCTTTTTTAATAAAATAAAAGTGTTTATTTTTATATGTAAAAAAAAGTTTGCCCTTTTTAGTACTGCATACACAAAAATAATTTTGTCTATTGCATCCTAGATATTTTCAGTGGGCCTGAAGGATCGAAATTCAAGACCTCTTGCAGACAACAATGAGATAACCTATCAGATTCACACTCTGGAGAATCGAATTATTCCACACAAATCTTCATGTCTTTTGTGGAATCAGGCAGCGAATAGGTAATATTGGGAAAAAAGTTGATTCTTTGTTTCTTTCACATTGCTTTAATCCCAATCATGTAGAACATTAGATATTTTATTTTCGCTGGCAGGATGTGCACATTCAAAAAAAACACATTGGACGTATGGTTAAGAGAGAATAAAGCTGAAAAATATGGGGGAAAGAAGGGATTTGCGTCTAAGGGTGGAGTATTAAAAAACAGTCAGACTGGATGGGCCGAATGGCCAGGTTTGAGCTGTATCTTCTTTGATTCTACAGGGTGACCCAAAGTTGTGATATCTACCCTATTATCTAAAAAAATACACATCATAATTTCTTTAAGATTTGTTAGACATTGTAATGGTATCATGGATCAATAGAGGATCAATAGAGCAAAACTAATATTTGAAAAGCAGCAAATAATTTTCTAAAACCATTCCAGTCAGTTGGAATATTTGTAAGCTGCAGATAATGACATATTGTCAAAAGAGCCCAGTTTCTTTATCTGTTTAAGCATATCCCCTCCAATGCCAGCCATTCAAAGTAGAAATAAATTAGTGTGATTTGTGGAGGATAATGCTGTAATAATAATAACCCTTGCCTTTGATATAGCACCTTATCACGTCTTCGAGACATGTAAAAACACTTCACAGAATATACTGTAAAATGAGTTGACTGTATATTTTGTGGGCGAAACATGGCAGCCAACTGCACACTGCACAGCAGCAGTATCCCACAATAAGTTGTGGATTGAGTGACCAAATTTTTTTTATGTAAACAGTACACAGTATTTATTAATGTGTTTCTCCATCCTGTGGCAAATTGGGCTGTTTTCCACACCTACCATATCCCCAACACTCCTTTAAGTCTTTCTCACTCCGCCTTTAGGTTTCATTATTTCATTTCAACATCGTAATTAAAATAATTTGGAGAAAATACATGTGTTTATAAATTTCCAGAGATTTCAATATCATATTTTAGACCACACTGTCTAAATATATATATTTTTCTGGGTGGGAAGGGGAGGGGACAATCACAAATTGCGGATCCTTCTTTAAGTCCTTTATTGACCTCAGTTTTTTTTAATAGTTGGTTATCAGACGGTCAGTTCTGTCGAGTGGTTGAAGATACCACTAACTATGTGGAGTGTGCCTGCTCACACATGTCCATCTACAGCGCATCTGCCCAGACAGACAACCTTTCTTCTTATAATGAAGCTTTCTACTCAGCTGGATTCATTTGCATTTCAGGTATGTGGCAGTTGCAACAGAATTTTGTTTTGGAGAAATATGTGATAATGTTACACAAGATTGCCATTGACTAGCTAGTGGAGAAACGGTGGAGTTGATGCAAGACACATTTCCTGAAAATAAATGGTGAAAAACTCCAGTCTTTTAAAACTGATATATCCATGTCACTTAGTCTGCTTTAGATCTTCTGTTTGAAACACTAATTGTAAAACTTCAATTTGATGTAACAGGACATGTCACTTGACAATCAGCTATACAGAGGAACATCACCATAACAAGCTTGTCCATTATAAACAGTTTTCTTGATTTTGATTGAACTTTTCTGTCATTACTTTTCTTTCAATTTCCCCCCTCCCCTCCTTATCCTCTGTTTATAGATTTGACTCCTTTCCTTTTACCAGGATATATTTTTAAAGGTGCTTGGCACTCTCCAGTACCTGACAGTGAGTAAAAGCAGATGTTACACCTATTTTTTTTTAAAAAAGGTAGCAAAAGTGACCCAGGAAACTGCAGACCAATGAGTTTGACAAAGGAGCTTCACAAGCATAAGGCAGTGGATGTTGTGCATATGGATTTATTTGTAAGGCCTTTGATACAGTTCCTCTCGAAAGGCTAGTAGTGAAAATAAAGAAAGCGGGAAGCCAGAGGAAATATCTTGCAATAGGCTGAGCGATAGAACCCAGAGGGTTATGGTACAGGGAATGTCATCAGGCTCGGAGAATGTTACCAGTGGAGTTCCACAGGAATCTGTTTTGGGACCTCTTTTATTTAACATCTTCATAAATGATATGGAGCTAGGAGTCACAATACACTAGCTAAATTTACAGATGACCCAAAACCAATGAAGGTGGTCGACTGCAAAGATGATCAGGATAGGTTACAGAAGGACTTGAACATACTTGGGAATTGAGCAGATCGATGGCAGATGAAATTCAATGTAGAGAAAGGCAAAGTGTTTCACATGGAGACATAAAAACAGGAAGGGACTATTATTTCTATGGAAAAAAAATTATCTGTATGGAAAATGAAAAGGACCTGGGGATCCTGATTGACAATAAATTGAAGCTATCACAACAGTGCTCAGTAACAGTGAGTAAGGAAACCAGATGCTGGGTTGTAGTAAAAGGGCAATATTGAGCTGAAATAGTGGGGTAATCCTGCCAGTTTATAAATCATTAGTGTGACCCCATTGGGAATATTGTGTGCAGTTCCAGTCACCATAAAATAAAAAGGATATTGCAGCGATTGAGAAGATACAGAGGAGGGCAACCAAAATGATTGAGGGGATGGAGGGACTGGACTATGAGGAGCGATTAGGTAAACTGGGCATGTTCACACTGGAGAAGAGAAGGTTGAGGGGCGATATGATTACGGTTTTTAAGATTCTAAAGGGACTAGATAATGTAGACCATGAAACGCTGTTTTATGTTGTAAGGAACGAGAGAACCAGAGGACACAACCTGCGATTGAAGGGGGGGCTAAATTCAGAACAAATCTGCGGAAACCCTACATTAATTTATGAGTAGTAAATGTATGGAAGAGGCTACCTAGGGACACTGTGGAAGCAGAAAATGTTGATTCATTCAAGAACAAATGAGATAGATTTCTGTTAGGAAATAATATCTTGGGATACAATATACAATCTGGGACACATCATGTCATGAGACTGCCAAGAAGGTGGAAGGCGAACTGGATTGACCTTGGTCTTCTTTTGCCTAGCAAATTCTTATGTTGTTATTGGCGGGCACATGACTGCTGAGCACAATCGTGCCCTCACCATGGACATATACTTTCATGTTCCAGTAGGCTTCAAGGGCTATTGATCAACAACATCTTGCAGCCAGGGATCATTGGCACAAACACGTTGAGCCGAATGGCCTCCTTCTGTACTGTATAATTCAATGATTCTATGATCAGGCACAGGATCTCTGGCTGATTTTTGTCTCCTATCTGAAGGACAATTGTATTGCCTCAAATTCTGCCCAACCAACTCGTAGAACAAGATTTGAAATTGGAACCTTCTGTCTGGTCTAACTGATCAGTAGACCATTGGGGATCACTAGCTAATTTTCTGAAATAGATACAAAAGGATCGCAAATCTCAGGAATGTGAGCTATGAATGTATTCCATGAATTTGCAGTAGGAGGTTTCACATACCTTTTACTAGCAGAGATGATGTAAGAGAGCCAGATTGGGCAATTTATCTTAAGATGAGCATGTCAACGTAATATCAATGAAGCTTGGTAGCTTTAACAATGCAGTACTAGATACTCTCCTGGTTTTAATTCTAGCCTTGAGTGACATTCAAATGCTTCAGTTGACAATGGTTCTGATTCTTAGCCAAGCTGCTACATGGTATACATCAATTTGTTTTGGTCAGCCGGATGTCTTGACATATGCAGAAACCCACAACCATGCTTAAGAGTATCCAAACTAAACTGAGAATTCCATGAATCCTGCCTAAACTTGGAAATTCCTGCACTCTCTCCCTAGAGTGTGGCATCCTGCTTACCTAATTCTGGAGAATATTAAGTGCAGTTTGACAACAATCAAGGTTTGGGGACCCCAAAATGTACATTGGGGTACTGCTGGAGTCTATCCAACTGAAACCGCATAGCTTGACATTGAAAGTACTGGCTGGCAAGCTTTCCCACTGCGTATCTAGATAGGACCATCCTACACGTTAGGGCTTTGACTTGCAGGGTTAAAGGTTAGCGGAAAGAATCCCTACCAAGATGTCCACAGAGTGTTGGCTTACTTCTGACATTCAGTTGCCAAACATGTGACCTTGGAGCCAGTTCAGTTGTGGTAATTATTCATGTGTAAGGTTTGACAGTGAGTATTGGCAGGCACGTCACTGTTGAGCATGGTCCTGCCCTTACCATTGACATACGGTTTCACATTCCAGCAGGCTTCACTGGCTATTCTTCAGGTGCCAATGAATCCGGCTGAAATGTGAAAGAACATTTCCGCTTACCTCCCCCAAGGAAGATAGTCACTAATTGGAGAATTTACATCTACAAGCGCAGATTTGAGCCCTCACTAGGTGGATGATAGGTAACAGAAACTCCTTGTGAACTTCATTTTGTGGAGTCCCATAGAGTATCGTTTAGAGCACTTGCCTCACAAGCTAGAGGACCTGGGTTCAATTCCTAGCCAGGCTGAAGCATTGGCAAGCTTCCTTACTCAACATGCCTCTGTTTATCTGGTAGTAAGTAGAAACCCAGTTGTTAGTCGATTGGCAGATCACTTTCAGGGGGTAATAATCCCTTCAAAAAAATTAATAATAAAAATTTGGTCACTCAATCCACGAGTCTCTGCAACACTGCTGTGCACAATTGACTACCATTTGTCACCCACAAAATGTAGTCAGTTCACTTTACCGTATATTCTGTGAAGCACTTTGAGATGTCTCAAAGACGTGATAAGGCTCGATATCAACAGTAAGGATTATTATTATTGGTGGGCAACACAGCTCAGCATAAAATGCGTGATAGCATTGCCACCATCTTCCTGCCCAGATCTCAGACATACATCCCTTCCCATTGAGTTATTGTTCCACCAGTTGGCAATGCAGAGAATAAGCAGCAACTCCTTTCCAATCAAGGTGGATTCAAAGAGCTGGAGTATGAGCATGTGTTCATGAAATCAGAGTCCAGGTAATGCCTTCCAGCACCTATCGCCTCAGGCCTCAGAGTTTCCTCATCAGCTATCTGATGGATATCTGTCTTCAACATAATGGGAGGACCTTTAACAGGACAACTTCTGATAAGCTAGCCACTTGATGTTCTCGCAGTCCAAGCCCAATATCAGGCCTACTCAGCACCAGCTGTTTAATTCAGCTCCTCAAGTGAGGGTCTTTGACAAGCAAAGGACTGTGAAGCAAACTTTGCCCTCAGGGTGTTCAGTGACAGGTCACTATAGGCTGGAGAGCCATCCCTGGCTTCCTGTGTTCGGCACAAATCTACCTCACTGCTTGATCCTGGACTTCGCAAATGGGCCGGAAGAAGTCTTGCCACTGCACCTGCAAGAGCTCAGAACTAAAAAGAGAACATTTTGCACACAAGTCTTATACGCCATAAGCTTGACCTGTATTGGGACCTTGCTAACCTTGAAGGGAGATGGTGCACATCTTAAAAGCACAGAAGGGAGGGATTCCCTTACTAAGACACATCACATCCAAGCTAGCGACTAATATTGCACAGTGATGACAGAAATTGAAACATCTGCAATCCAGTTTGTGTCACCCTGACTGAGAACAATGTAGTGACGGAAAGCAGAAGCAGGGATCTTAAGGGGGAGCTGTGAAATAATAGGCAGTCATTAACATTTAAACTTGTGAAACTCTGTTTGAAGTACTTTCCAGGGGCAAAAAGATGCCTTTTAAAATGAATACATTGTATGCATTTATTTTCACATTGTTGGCCACTGATGGCATTCCATTACATCCCTTGCAGTATTGATGATTGACAGACGATGAAAATAAGAAGTGAAAAAGAAGCTGTCTTTTTTGATAAGGCTATTCTTATTTTCAATGAGTATTTTTATTTAAAGAAGGAAACATTATTTTCGTCAAGGTTTACAAAATCTTTTTTTCAGAAAAAGTTAATTTTAATTTTTTCTTTTGACATATTATAGCTGTGCATTTAGTCACAAGGTTCAATGTTTTAAAATGTTGGCCATCTTTCCTTTTATACCAGTTTCCTACTTCTGTTATCAATATTTTTTTTCTTTTTTTAGTTTCAACTTGCTGTACATGTTTCTACAGCTGAAAGACATTCTGTTCCCAGCACTGCCAACGCTGTGCTTATTACAGATGCAAAGAAATACAGAAGGACTGGGAAGATTTTCTCTCCCTCCCTATGAGAGACCATCTGCTCTTCATTTTGTACCTCTACTGATAGTTTAGGAGCGATTGAAAAATCACAGCACAGAATCATAGAATGTTACAGCATATAAACGTGCCATTCTGCCCCTTAAGTCTATACTGAAGATTTTCTTCACCTCACCTATGTAATCTAATCCTATTCTCCTTACTATCCAGTTTAGCTCAGTTAGCTGTCTCCCACACATTTTTCCTTTGCTTTAATCTCATTTTTGTTCCCACTTCTGGTCTCCTGACTTCATTTATCAATTATTTTTTGCTGTTTCTCCTTAGTTTTTATTCTCTTACGTTTCCTTCATCTCTTTTTTTTCTTGGCCCTGTTGTTTTTGGCTTTATAAGCCCTAAGCTCTGCTTTTTTCACCTTGTGAGTCCATCTGTCTTATCTTCGGCATACCTTTTCCACCTCTGTCTGTATCTCTGTGTTGCCCATATTGGCCTTTCCCTGTGGTCTTCTACTACCTTTCTCCCACAAAATATACAGTCGATTCACTTTACAGTATATTCTGTGAAGCGCTTTGAGACTTTTCAAAGACGTGATGAGACGCCAAATCAAATGCAAAGACTTATCTTCAATTATCTGGCTCTGTCCCCACAATCTTTTATTCTTTGTTCATTTTCCCAGTAGAAATGTGTTAACAGTGTGTCACTCCATCTGCCGGGGTCGAGTATTGCATTATTATCTTTCCTAATGCTATCTGTATACCCAGACTAAGAAAATTAATGTAGGCAGGAATAAGTACAAAAGTCTGTGGTAGGACTACTAATACTAATGTCTGTTCAACTAATACTTTCTTTCACGTGTGACAGTTGTCACGAGTCCCTTCAAGTTTGATTATCCAAATCTATTCTTATTTACTTCATTGCTGTTTGTGGACATTACTGTGTGCAAAGTGGCTGCCGCTTTTTCCTCCACTACATCTGCAGTAAATCCTGTGAAACGGTTTACGATGTTTCAACAATGTGGTAAGACGCTATATCAACTGCAAGGATTAACATTATTGATAATAGATGCTCAACTATCACAAGTATGCGACTGATACACAAATTTACTCCTCTTCCTCCTCCAGGTCTGCCAATGTTCTGTTGGTTTGTCTGGCAGACATTGGGGTCCTGATGAGTGCAAAATTCTTGCAACTAACTGTCGACATGACGGAAGCCATACTCCTACCTTCAGCTCTGCCACATCGCTCGTCTCCAACCATACCTTACCCCAAACTCAGCCGAAACACATGTCCATGCATTCATCACCTCCCGCCTCGACTATTCAAATGCCCTTCTCACTGGTCTTCCCAGCTCCACATCCACAAAATCCAGCTGATCCAAAACTCCACCACCCGTACTAAACTCGGTACCTCCATCACACCAGTTCTAGCCAGGTTCCAATGGTTCCCTATCTCTGAACGGATTGATTTCAAGATCCTCAAACTTGTTTTCAAATCCCTTCATGCTCTGGTACCTCTGTTCCGACATCATAAGACGCCAAATCAAATGCAAGGATTTATCTTCAATTATCTGGTTCTGTCCCCACAATCTTTTATTCTTTGTTCATTTTCCCAGTAGAAACGTGTTAACGGTGTGTCACTACATCTGTCGGGGTCGAGTATTGCATTATTATCTTTCCTAATGCTATCTGTATACCCAACCTGCTTACTCCCCAACCTACTACCCACTGCCTCCGTTCAACCTGCATCGCCTTCTGCATGTCCCTCGAGCCCTTCTTTCCACGATCGGTGGCTGCGCTTTCAGCCATTACGACCCAAAACTCTGAAACACTCTTCCTCTAGCTTTCCGCCTTGCCCTTTCCTTCTCCATGTTCAGATTGCGCCTGAAAACCTTCCTCTTCGAACTTGTCTACTGTCACCTCCCCACGGCTCAGCATTGTACTCCACCACTGTCATGCACTTTACACTGTGTGAAAGGCGCTATCTAAATGTGAATTGTTATTGTTGTTGTTAATGTTATAGAGATGAGGAAAATCACCCATTACTCTTAAGGAAGAGCTCACATACTGTGTTTCCTTCCACCCCTCCCCCAATGTGTTTTTTTTAAAAAAGGGAGCTCATGTTCATAGTATCATACAGCACAGAAGGAGGCCATTCAGCCCATTGTGTCTGTGCTGGCTCTTTGAAAAGAGCTATCAAAATCAATCCCAATTCCCCACGCTTTCCCCATAGCCCTGCAAACTTGTCCTCCCCAAATAATTATCTATTTCTCTCTTAAAAGTTGTTATCGAATCGGCTTCCACCACCCTTTCAGGCAATGCATTCCAGATCCGAACAACTCGCTCTGTGAAAAAATTTCTCTTCACCTCCCCTCTGTTTCTTTTAACAACTATTTTAAATTGGTGCCATCGGGCTACCGACCCACCCGCCAAATAATTTCTTCTTGTTCACGCTATCGAATCTCCTCATAAATTTGAAAACTTCTATTAAGTCACCTCTTAAACTTCTCTGCTCCGAGGAGAATAATGCTAGCTTCTCCGGATAACTGAAGTCCCTCATTCCTGGTACCATCCTGGTATATCTTCTTTGCACCCTCTCCAATGCCTTGACATCCTTCCTAAAGTGTAGTGCCCAGAACTGAACACAGTACTCTCGCTGAGGCCTAACCAGTGTTTTATAAAAGTTCATCATAACTTCCTGACTTTTGTATTCTGTATTTTAAACAGCACTACCTACCTGTCCTGCCACCTTCAAAATATTTACTTATATGAACCTGCAGGTTGTTCCTTCATCCCCTTTAAGATTGTATCATCTTCCTCCCAAAATGTATCACTTTGCATTTCTCCACATTAAACTTCATCTGCTACGTGTCTGCCCATTTTACCAGTCTGTCTATGCCCATTTGCAGTTTGCTACTATCCTCCTCACTGTTTACTACTTTTCCTAGCTTAGTATCATCTGCAAACTTGGAAATTACACTCTCTATTCCCAAGTCCAGGTCATTTACATTGATCAAAAACAGCAGTGGTCCCAATACACACTGCACACTTCCCTCCAGTCAGAAAACCAACTGTTCACCACAACTCTCTGCTTTCTGTCTCCCAGCCAGTTCTGTATCCATGCTGCCACTGTCCCTTTAATACCGTGGGCTTCTATTTTGCTTACAAGTCTCTTATGTGGCACTTTATCAAATGCCTTTTGAAAATCGATATAAACTACGTCAACTGCGCTACAACAACTGTCCCTAAAATCACACCTTGTCTTAGTCTGTAAGAATTATTTTGTCTCAAAATGTAATAAGATTGCACTTGAACAATCTTACGTTTTAAGACAAATGTTTTTTTTACAGATTAAGCCTCTATGGGATTTAAGCACTTTCAACTGGCCAGTTTATAAAGTTATTAAATAAAGTCACAAGATAATCTTTTTATTAATTAACAGCACACAATTTTACATTTCTGCACAGAGTAGTGTCAGGAGTGAAAATGGTAAGTTTGTTTCAATTAATGAACTAAGTTTTAAATTGGACAGATATTTAATATTATTCATCTGTCACAGATCTTTCTACCTATACCTGTCTGCACTCTGTTGTCAGTTTGTTTGTATGTATCAGAATGTATACACAGTATTGCGGAAGTTAAATTACTGTGTTAGGAGTGGAAATATATCTACTCTGTTTTTATAGTAGTGACTAAAGCTAATATGTCTGCATAAAAGAGATGGAAAATAAATGTGTGATATGTGAAAGGTAGAGAACACATGTACGTGAATGTGGAATACGTAAAGAGCAAGTGTGTGATCGTGAATTATTGTGTGATTTGTATGGGTGAGATTGAGAATGATTGTGGGAGTATGTGAGGGAGAAAATTAATGTGTTTGTGTGTGAGGTAGATGATGTATGTGTGTGAGGTAGAGATTGAGTGTAGAGAACAAATTATTGGGAACATTTTTCTGAGAGGGATTTATGAAGTAGAAACTTGCATTCCACTGGCATGGCTCCCTGTAAACTGTGCTCTGTATTTATTGGTGCAAAATACAACCTTTGCTGAAATGTTGAGCACCACCAAGACTGAAGTTAGCATTTAAGCAAATATTTTACTTGAAATACACAGTGGAATGAAAATTGTAACATTTTAATTATCAACAACAAATTGCATTTAACAACTTGCATTTATGTAGCACCCTTCACGGACAGTGTTTCGGAGTGCTTCGTCTGAGATTATCACCTAATTTGTTGAAAATAGTGCTGATAATAGTACAGCAGCAACTTTCCAATGAACCATTTTAAGCCTGACTGAATGTGCATTAATATTATTTCCATTGTTTACCCACAGGTTTTGCTTTGGCTGTTTTGTCATATTTGTTTTGCTCAAGATTCTCCATGTTTGCAGCCAAACTTCTCATGCACATGATGGTCGCCTGCCTCGGAACACAGGTAATTTTTATCAATGCTGCTCTGCACTGCAAGATTGAACAAAATTTAAAATTTATAATACAATATTCTGCTTTCTGCGTTCTGCTTCTGGCAGTTAAGACGTTGCCGTATAATAATGTGAGCTTCCAAATCTTATCATAAATTTCTGAATTATGTCTACACTGATATCTATTAGGCTGCAAGTTATACAAATATTTGTTGGTTACCAGTCACAGTAGGCTGCTTAAAATCCCAATTGTCTTACAAAACATGACTTTCCTTCCAGGAATGCAGTATTATGTCAGACTGTAGAAGGATGCAGTTCATTAGTGAAGTCTATGCTGGTGACAGCTCTTCCACTGGGTCCTCCTTACGTATGTTTCAATTCTCTGTTCCTTCCTGGTTCTCAGTTAGATAGATCCTCTTCAAATATTTATTTTGTATCAATTTGTAACAAAGCATTTCACAATTGAATACTTCTCTCTGTGTAAGAACATTTATTCCAACCACCAACCTTAATTTTCCAGTGATATTCCAGCCGGGGAATGTGGAACAGGAAGCCAGATTTATATATAAACAAAATGCAAAATACTGCAGATGCTGGAAATCCGAAACAAAAACAGAAGTCGCTGGGAACACTCAACAGGTCAGGCAGCATCTATGGAGAAAGGAAAGTGAGTCAACGTTTTGGGTCCATGACCCTTCGTCAGAACAACAATTCCAAAATGTTGACTCACTTTCCTTTCTCCATAGATGCTGCCTGACCTGCTGAGTGTTCCCAGCGACTTCTGTTTTTGTTTTTGAGCCTGATTTATATGCTTCATTCCACATGGCATTGCATTAATCAGGGATTGTTAAATCTAACTCCCAAATTTGGCCCAAATCCAAAATCAGGTGTTAGTTTTTAATGCTATGGGACCGCCCAGAAGTGACTATCATTCAAATTTGGCACCTGCAAAGTTATTATGCTTTTCAGTGGATCGCTAAATAAGTTGTGGAGTACCTGCGGTATATGTATTGTAGCTCTTTGATTGAACTGTATCTAAAGTTCATCTCAGTTGTGGGATTCAGAATGATTGACACTGGCTCAGCCTTGACTTATTTGCACATTTTGCCATGAAAATAATTGCAATTCACTGTGAAATGTGCAATATGACTGGGGCATTAACTTCTCACTTTGAGTACCATGATCATTATTTTCGGTGGATGCGAGCAACAATATTTTGTGACTTCAAGTAGAAAACCTGCTTGGAGGGAAGGGAACTTCAGAGAACTTTGTTATAATTCAAGACTGAGATTGATAGATTTCTAATGGATAGAGGGATTAATGGATATGGAGATAAGCTATGATCTTATTAAATGGCGGGGCAGGCTCGAGAGGATAAATGGCCTACTCCTGCTCCTAATTCCTATGTTGCTTTAATGCTCTTCAATATAGCAATGCCTTGTGTATAAGGCCTGTAGGTAACAGATCACAACATTTTGTGACATCATTGCATCCAAATCCTTTTATCACAAGAATAATGCAAGAGCATCATAAACTGTTCTCCTAGGGAGAGGAGGGAGCTAAGTGAGGTTTCCTTGGGGCTTTGCTGGTCCAAGATGATGCGCATAGCAATGGAGGGTCAGAATCAAGTTAACCCTTTGTGGCGGTCTCAATTGTCCAGTTCCTAAGCTAGGGATGTCTAGTATACAAACCACCCAGCCTTACACATCAGTAGAACTTGGACAAGGAGACCAGTCATCGGGAACAGGGATTACTCCCCCTCAAGAGAAATCGCTAACAGATAGGGTGGTTCTAGCTGGACAAGCAGCAGAAGCTTGCCAAGCTAGTGCTCACAATGGCAAGCTTTGCAGTTTTAATTGGTTAAACTCCAGCACCCAACTCACAGTCCTTAAGTCTTGTCTCTTGCCAACCTCCACAGAGAACTTCTGATAATAAGACCTTGAGTCCAGCTTTCAGCAACATCATCACGTGGATTATATCATGCTGTCAATAACCCAGCCACTTCCCATGCAAAATGTGAATAAGGACCACTCCCCCCCCCCCCCCCCCCCCCCCGCCCTTATCTCCTCACTCTATTATAATACATTAGCTGTAAACCCTAGTGGCCCTGGAGGACTCATGCCTACAGAATCACCATGGATAATAGACACTAAGCTCTTTTCCCTTGGAGTGACAATATATCAGGAGCTTATCGTACTTTTCAAAATTAGGTAGCAAAGTGAGACCCTCTGGGGAGAGATTGCACATTCTATTCCAGACAGATTTCACAGGGAAACTCTTATCTGGTGTGGATCCTCTTAAGCAATAGATGATAGGTTTCTGCAGGTACCAGAAACCTGGCTGACCAAAAGAACATTGTGCATCACAAAAGTAAGACATACTCAAAAGGGTTAATTGGCAGCAGCTATTTAGCACTATATTTTATAAATCCAGGTTGAAATTTTATGGATCCTTACAGCTTTGTTACAGTAAAGTTTTACTGTACAGTATTGTTTGAAATTTGTAATTGTGCTTTTCTACATCCATAGTAATCTTAAACATTTGGTTTCTCTAATGTCATATTTTTCTCTTGATGGTTATTTTCCCTTATGGATAGTAGGTTTTACTTTTACTTCTTTCCAACTGACCCCGTAATCCTCTGTGTCTCCTCGCATCTGATTTTACAATCCTCACAGGGGGTTTGATTGCCATCAATCTGAACGTATTAAAAGAGACTGATGGAGCAGGGATACAATATCTGAAACTGAATTCACTGAGATATGATGAGCATAACCAGATTTGCCAGGAGCTGAGGGAAATCAGATGATGCTAGGATTAGCTACTTTTTCACTTGAAATTGGGTCATGTAGGTCCACATAAAGGATCTTGCCCCAATTTTATTGAGTGTTGGCACTAGTATTGTCAAGTACTTTTATCTGACTTATGCTTTAGGTCATGAATCATGAGTAATAATCCCTCCAAAAAACCAAAACAATAATAAATTGGTCATTTTCAATCTACGACTGTTTGTGAGACATTGCTGTGCGTAATTGGCTGCCGCGTTCGCCCACAAATATACAGTCAATTCACTTTACAGTGTGTTCTGTGAAGCGCTTTGGGACGTCCTCCCGACGTGAAAAGCGCTATATCAAATGCAAGGATTATTATTATTATATTATTATAATTGTGAAGCTTTGTCTTATTGCTTAATCAGCTTTCGACACAACAACAACAACAAGATTCCATTTATAAAGCGCCTTTCACGTCAGGAGGACGTCCCAAGGCGCTGCACAGTTGGGTCATGACCCGAGCAGGGGGAAATGGTCAGGGTGAGGGGAGGGAAGGGAGGGAGAGAGGAGGGGGAAATGGTCAGGGTGAGGGGAGGGAAGGGAGGGAGCGAGGAGGGGGAAGAGAGTCGAGAGGGGAGCTGAAGGCACGGTCAAAGAGAAAGGTTTTGAGACCGGCCTTGAAGGAGGAAAGGGAGGAGGCGGCGAAGGCACTGGGGGATGGAGTTCCAGAGCCTGGGGGCTGAGAGGCTGAAGGCCCGACCACCGATGGTAGGGCGGTTGGGGCGGGGACGTGGAGCAGACCGGAGCCAGAGGAACGGAGGGTACGGGCAGGTAGGTAGGGGGATAGTAGGTTGGAGAGGTAGGAGGGAGCAAGGCCGTGAATGGCCTTGTAGGTGAGGATGAGGATCTTGAAATCAATCCTCTGGGGATGGGGAGCCAGTGGAGGCGAGCGAGGGTGGGAGTGATGTGGTCCCGAAGCCTGGTGCGGGACAGTACACGAGCTGCAGAGTTCTGAATGACCTGCAGCTTGTGGAGGGAGGTGCCGGGAAGGCCGGCGAGGAGAGAGTTCCCATAGTCCAGCCTTGAGGTGACAAAGGCGTGAACCAGGGTTTCAGCAGCGTGAGGGGTGAGGTAGTGCCGTAGTCTGGCGATGTTCCGGAGGTGATGGAAGGCGGTGCCAGTTGTGGTGCGGATGTGAGGGAGAAAGGACAGCTCAGGGTCGAACAAAACGCCGAGGTTCCTGACTGGCTTTGAGAGGTGGAGAGTGCAGCCTTGGATGCTGATGGTGTCAGCGCCTGAGGTGCGGAGGCGCTGACGTGAGCCTATCAGGAGGGCCTTCAGCCTCTCAGCCCCTAGGCTCTGGAACTCTATCCCCCAGTGCCTTCGCCGCCTCCTCCCTTTCCTCCTTCAAGGCCGGTCTCAAGACCTTTCTCTTTGACCGTGCCTTCAGCTCCCCTCTCGACTCTCTACCCCCTCCTCGCTCCCTCCCTTCCCTCCCCTCACCCTGACCATTTCCCCCAAACGGAGGCGGTTGGTTAAGTAGGACTCAAACCATCCAAGTGTGGCCCCTCTAAAGTAGATGAGGAAACGTTCAGGAGCACTTTACAGAGACTGTGCCAGAAACCAAGCAGGGAGGGTGGGAGAGGAGGAAAGTGCCCAAAGGCACAGTCAAAAAGCTAGGTGGGGTTTGAAGACATAAAGAGATGGGATGAGATGGAGTCCGCTTATGGAGCAATTTCTAGAGGGTCAGGTTATAGTGGCTGTATGAACTCATTTACAATTTCTGTATATATGCTTTTTTCCTGCTCGGGTCCTGACCCAACTGTCCAGGGCCTTGGGACGTCCTCCCGACGTGAAAGGCGCTCAATAAATGGAATCTTGTTGTTGTTGTTGTTGCCCGTATTGTTCCCCTTATTGCTAATATCAGCTAACAGACTGGAATTTGAACTTGTGAGCTTCTGGTTCTGTATCGTCTGAGCTCACTGGGCAGTGGCCTTTATCTGCTAAACTGAAGAGGGAGCTAATCGACCACAGTTTTAAAATTTCAGTGTAAGAGTGAGTGACAAGGAGAGCTGTGGAATATGCAAATGTTCACATTAATGAGAAGGATTAGAGGAGATCTTGCTTAAGTATTAAGCATCCTGAAGGGTATAGATAAAGGGCACTCAAATACTATATTTAGCAAAGACAGAATCTAAAACAAAGGGACACAGTCCTAAAAAGGGGGAAGGGAAAAAATCATGATT